ACATTTTTCGTTCATCAAGGTATAAACAATGTAAATGTTCCCTCAAGGGTACAACAGTGGTTTTAAGGTCCAACTGTGAACCTTAAATACGTTTTTCCAGGTGAAAAGTTCGTATTTGTTCCTTTTCATAACCGAATGTTTTAAAACAGAACAGTAAAATAAAAGCCTGGAGACGAGACGGGGTGTGTGGAGTCAGTACATCTTAGAGAATATCATTTCAGTGGATTATGGTTCAGTTATGTTCCCTGACTAAAGGTACTGAGATGGACCCTTGAGGGAACCACCCCAGTGACAAGAGGGACACTGCCCCAGTGACAGTTTACTACCTTTATTTCTGAGAGTGTGGTAGTGGGCAGCATAGCAGTTCATCTGGTTGAAATTGTGTAATATCACCAGAGACACGAACTAACAAGGTGTAAAAGGTCAATTTGGACTCCAGATTAAGTCAAAATGTGTGCACAGAACTCTTGCACACTCGTGCGCACGTTTAAAGTGTTAGTGGTGTTGGTTCAGAGTGGAGGGAGAGAACGAGATTGCTGTGCTCCGGGTCTCGGGGTCTCTGTGTAATCACTCTGAACAGATGTGCAGCAGCCAAACACAGTCACTGCTCAAGCATTTCATTTCATCAGCCTCTTCTGACGCACAGAGAGAGAGAGAACGAGAGGGAGCGATGCTTTATATGTGTGTTATTTCAGTCTCTGCTCCATGAATAATGTTATTGTGTTAAAGCAATAGCTCACCAGAAAATCTGATTTACCCAGTTTTTCCAGTTTTTTCCCCCCGTTTGCTTCTTTAATTTCACACATCTCATATTCGCCTCAAACTCTGTGGAATTGTTCAGTAATTTCGAATAGACTCGCCTACGTTGTTGACACACTGTTGCCTATAAACATGAGCAAAAGTATGGACAGAATTCACGTTTAAGATGGCTGTTTTGTCCATAAATATAGATGTAAATGTACTAAGTATTATTTCATTAAATAATGCAGATAGAAAGTAGTTTGAGTTAAAACAAACAGCTGCACACAGTCAGAAAGATGTGAGGAAATGTAATTGATGGGCGACTGGGTGGAATAGAAACAAAGAAATAAAGTGTAATGGGTGTAATAATAAGGAGTAGCAAGAGTAATAAAGTGTAATATGTGTGATATTAAGCTATAACAGAAGTAATAAAGTGTAATAGTTGTAATATTAAGGTGTCACATGAGTAATAAAGCACAATATGGGTTATATGAAGGTGTAAAGGGAGTAATAAAGTGTAATAGGTGTAATATTAAGGTGTGACATTATTAATAAAGTGCAATATTGTAGTATTAAGGTGCAACATGAGTAATATAGGGTAATAGTGTAGGCTTTAAGGTTTGATATGTATAATATTGAAGTGTAACAGGTCTAATGATGTGTAACAGGTGTAATATTAAGATGAAGTAATAAGGTGTAATAGGTGTCATGTTACACTGTCGCAGGTTTAATAAGGAGTAATAGGCATAATAGTAAAATGTAATAGGCATAATAGTAAGATGTATTAGGTGTAATATTAAGGTGTAGTAGGTGTAATAAGATGTAATATTAAGGTGTAACCAGTGTAATAGTGATGTGTAGTGGAGTAATATTAAGATGTATTATGTGTAATATTAGTTTAATGGTCGTATTAAGGTGTATTAGGTGTAATATTAAGGTGTAATATGTGTAATGTTAAGGTGAAATAGGTGTGATATTAGTAGTAGTAGTTGTATTAAGGTGTAATAGGTGATGTAATATTAAAATGTAATAGGTGTAATATAAAGGTGTATTAGATGTAATGTTCGGATGTAGTAGTTGTATTAAAGATGTAATAGGTGTAATATTAAGATGTAATATTACAGTGTAATGGGTGCAATGTCAAGGTGTAATAAGGGCAATGTTAGGGTGTAGTAGTTGTATTAGGGTGTATTAGGTATAATATTAAGGTGTAATAAGGGGAATGTTAGGGTGTAGTAGTTATATTAAGGTGTAATAGGTATAATATTACAGTGTAATAAGTGTAATGTCAGGGTGTGATAAGTAATGTTAGGGTGTAGTAGTTGTATTAAGGTGTAATAGGTGTAATATTAAGGTGTAATAAGTGTAATGTTAGGGTGTAGTAGTTGTATTAGGGTGTATTATGTATAATATTAAGGTGTAATAAGGGTAATGCTAGGGTGTAGTAGCTGTATTAAGGTGTATTAGGTATAATATTAAGGTGTAATAAGGGTAATGTTAGGGTGTAGTAGTTATATTAAGGTGTAATATGTGTAATATTACAGTGTAATAAGTGTAATGTCAGGGTGTGATAAGTAAAGTTAGGGTGTAGTAGTTGTATTAAGGTGTATTAGGTGTAATACTAAGGTGTAATAAGTGTAATGTTAGAATGTAGTAGTTGTATTAAGGTGTAATAGGTATAATATTAAGGTGTAAACTCGGGGACTGAGATGTGGAGATATAGGAGTACTGAGGTAGAGATAATGGCTCCGAATGTTTGCTGTATGTTTGAAAGAAAGCAGACTGTTCTGGGTGAATTATTAAAGTCATTCTGCTGCTTAATAAAGTCAGCCCTGCAGTTCAGTCACTGCTGCAGAAGCTGCCAGACTTCTAACAGTGCCGTGTTTAGAGGTGTGTTCCTATGGAGACAGGAGCTGAGATATGTTCTCCTCTCTCTCTCCAGCTCTCTCTGGTTCTCTCTCTTCATTATCTCTTGGTGGGGGACTGGATGGTAAAGTCATCATTTTCCTATCTCTGCTACCACAGCACTTTTCTCTTAAAGGAATAGTTTGGCAAAAAATAGAATTTGGACAGTTTTCACTGATCCAGAATATAGTTCATCAGCCTTAACTCACTTCTGATGTTTGGTGTCTGAAGTTTGCTTTCTTTAGTTTTAGCTTTAGTGTAAGGTGAGGCTAATGTAGCTAACAAGTAATAGTAGCTTATACCGCAACAGTTAGCATCATGCAAACAAGGTTTGAGACGTGAGTGTGGCGATTTAGGCATGCAGTGTGAAACAGACTTGCTAATGTGTTTCCTGACGCTGTGTGACCTGCCATATATCTGTACACATGGACAAACGTATATTAACATAGCTAATGACCTGTCAGCTACATTAGCCTTGTAGCTTCAGTGTAAAACCAAAGAAGCAAACTTAAGACACCAATGTGTCCAAATTCGGACTAAGGGGCTGGGCAGCTGTGTAAATTCTGTAAATTGAAATATTGCTGAACTAAGGTTGTACTGAAATGGGAGCGGCCTAGAGAGAGAGAGAGAGACACTGAAGAAGAGAGAAATTGACGTGTAAGAAAGAGTGAGAGGTAGAGCTATATAGACAGAGAGGAGGAAAATAGAGGGAGAAAGAGGAAATAATAGAAAAGGAAACAGAGAGGAAGTGACAGATACAGAGAAAGAATCTAGTATCTAGCAGAGAAAGGGAGAGAGAGAGGGAGACAGAGAGAGAAGAGGAGAGAGGGGGCAGAGAGAGGGAGATAGAGGGAGCAGAAGAGAGAGTGAGAGAAAAATGGGGAGAGAGAAAGACAGAGGCAGAAGAGGAGAGAGTTAGAGAGAGGTGGGGAGAGAGAGAGAGAAAGATAGAGGGAGAAGAGGAGAGAGATGGGGAGAGAGAGAAAGACAGAGGTAGAAGAGGAGAGAGAAAGTGAGAGAGATGGGGAGAGAGAGAGACAGGGAGAAGAGGAGAGAGGGAGAGTTAGAGAGAGATGGGGAGAGAGAGAAAGACAGGGAGAAGAGGAGAGAGAGAGAGAGAGAAAGATGGGGAGAGAGAGAGGAGGATGTGATTAAAGACAGCGGAGTTTTGATTTATAATGCATGAGTGCTGCCGTGATCGTTAAACACGTTTGTATTATTTACTATATCGCGTTTCTCACGTCCTTCACCAGCCGCCTGTCTTTCACCCCTCGTCTCCTTGACAGTGGTTTCCATGACGACAGGGTCATTTGGGGTCAACACCTTTTCAGGGAGCAGCTGTGAAGGGGGAGGGGCCGTGGGGCGTGAAGCACAAATTTTACTTATCTGACTTAACCTGTGTGTGTGTGTGTGTGTGTGTGCGTGTGTGTGTGCATGTATGTTTGTGCGTGTGTGTGTGTTTGTGCGTGTGTGTGTGTGCGTGTGTGTGTGTGCGCATGTGCGTGTGTGTGTGTTTGTGCTTGTGTGTGTGTGTGTGTGTGTTTGTGTGTGTGTGTGTGTGCGTGTGTGCGTGTGCGTGTGTGCGTGTGTGCGTGTGCGTGTGTGTGTGTGTGTGTCAGGGATGTAACAATAGGATGTTTCATGCTTTATCAGATTGTATCACAGCATGTAGTATTGTATCGATTGTACTGCTTAGTATCATATTGTATCGAATTGTATCACAGGGTAACGTACTGCATCAGATGCATCGCAGCAGGTTGTATTGCTTTGTACCATATTGTATTGAATGTATTGCAGCATATTGTATTGTATCTCAGTGTATTATGCTCTATAAAATTCTATGAGTTTTGTGTTCAGAGGAAAATGTATGTATAGATTTGTATCACTGCTGTCGGAAACAAAACCTCATATCTCCATTTTTGTCGTTGTTCAGTTTTTGACAAAGTGAAAATGCCTGTTGCCCTTTATATTGTCTGTAAATTTTAATGGAGAATGGACCAAAATTACTTGGAAACAACTCTGGTTCCATTGACTTACAATGGAATTAAACTTACTTTTAAAGTAAAGTATGTTTTTTGCTTCTCCTGTAAAGTTACTATTTTGGAAATTCAAGGTTTTGTTTTGACAACAGCGATATATGTATATATGTATATGTATATATATATACACACACACACACACACACACACACATGAATGTATGTGTTTTGAATTTTAGATCTTAGAACGCTCACTTAGTCTCTCTCTTTTTCTCTCATTCCCTCTTTCTCTTTCTTTCTCTCACCCTCTTTATCTGTTTGTCTGTCTCTCTCTCTCTCTCTCTCTCTCTCTCTCTCTCTGTCTCTCCCTTTGCAGGGTTGTTAAGGAAGAGATATCAGATGACAACGCCAAATTACCATGTTTCAACGGTCGTGTAGTGTCATGGGTGAGTAAGTGTGACTCCCACAAAACACACACACACACACACCTGTACGCCTGTCTGTGCTCCATCGTGCCTCAGTGGTATCAGACAGTAACGTTAGGCCTGTTTCACACATGCTATCTCTGCATGGTCGAGCAGCGTGGAACATTTTTTCTTTTTAATTTTAGTGCCCATAACGTGTTTCAGAAGCAGCACAGCGTCTACAGTCTCAGCGTCAAGCCTTTTGTTCTGCAAAATACAGTGAAGTCAATTCTAAAAGCTAAAAAACAAAAAATTTGTGAAGCACCAAAATTAAATTGCTTGGCTGAAATTGGAACCTAATTTCAGATTCATACTGGATTAAAATCGCTCCACAATTATTGCTGTCAGACTGTAAAAACTACACACACTGCAGATTCATACTGGATTAAAATCGCTCCACAATTATTGCTGTCAGACTGTAAAAACTACACACACTGCAGATTCATACTGGATTAAAATCACTCCACAATTATTACTGTCAGACTGTAAAACTACACACACTGCAGATTCACACTGGATTAAAATCACAAATCTTATCGGTAATCATGCAGATTACAGAATCTTCCCAGGAAAAACTCATCTGGTTCCAATAAGGCTTAATGTACCTGCATTTCCCACAACACTGGCATTAGTAACATAAACTTTACCAGCTTTTTATAAACCAGGGCCGTAACAGAGCACTGAATGCTGTACTGTAAAGCACTCTGACTTTCATCAGATCGACCCAGACGTGAGGACAGATGTGATGTTAGAGTGTAATTGAGTGGGGTGGGTGTTGTTTGTCTGAACCCCGTGCTGAGATTAAATTGACAGCGAATGTTTATCAATTATAAAACAGCTGCTGCTCATATCTGCAGTTCTGTTACCACACAGAACATGTGAAGATGGACACATACAGCAGCTGTGTGTGTGTGTGTGTGTGTGTGTGTGTGTGTGTGTGTGTGTAATTGGGTTCTGCATGATCTGTTTTACCTTCTGTTAGTCCTGTGAATCTCAGGAGCAGGTGTTTCTCTGAAGTCTGTAGCCTTGATAAGTTAGCTTGTGTGCATATTCATTGAGAGTGTAATGATTTCAATACAGTGTTGAAATTTGACGTTCAGAGCAGTGTGCGTGATTGATTTCAGGTTACCGAACCAAAACTATTATCAATATCATCTGTAATACCAATAATAAGAATAAAAATAGAACAAAGAACAAGTTTTCACATTTTATTCTGTCCAGTCGGTGCGAATTCAACGCTGTAAAGTTTGGTCAATAGGGGGAGCAGTGAACTTACCGTTTGACCTCAGACTCCTGCGATCGCAGACGTTGGCTCACAAGCTGCTGAATGCTGTCATTTTATTGGCTCTCTACCGAAACATCTGCATATATTAGGGTGTGTTTCATATAAATGATATCTAAATGAGGTGCTGGTATGCTGGCACTTGATTTCACGCACTGGAACTGATGCATCATTTGTGTAGTAGTTTGTACGTCACTGGCAGCCAAATCTGCACTCTTTTTACATAACTTTGATGAATACGGGCCAGTGTCTGTCAATTTGTGGAAACCGCTGCCAGTGATCAAAAGCTAGGCATCTCGGTGCATCCAATCAGAGTAGTGGGCGGGGCTTATGCTGCATCCACTCTGAAACGACTGGGCTTTTTTTCTGAGGTCTTTTATGAATTCATGCATGACTTTTGGGGTTTATTTTGTTAGAGGGCGGTGCTGCAGACATTGGAAAAAGTTATTTATTATTTATTATTATTTATTTATTATTTATCCGAGCCAGATCTGTCGGTGTGGTGTATTAGAGCTCTGCAGAATCAAGACATTTTTAACACAAAAAGTTTTAGGTATCTGAGAATTAGATTTAAAAAGCTCATAAAAACACTAATATTACAATAAATACAAATAACCTTAAAACAGCAAGTAGCGATTTTATGACTGTCAGTGCTGTAGTGCTATGTAGTGCTATAGTTGTGCTATGAGCATCTTGACCAATCACAGCTTCACATGAATGTTGCTATTAGTTTTTAAATGAGTCTAGTTGTACATGTGATCGTACCAATAATGCAGGCCAATAATAGTCAAAATAATCCCTATTTAAAATGAAATATTAAAAAAAGGCTAAATTTGTAGAGTGTGCGCTGCTGCAAGTCGCCCTGTAAAGCCTGAAATAACCATTTAAAGTCAGAGTCATCATATCATAAATCTTTACATATTAATATCACAGGTACAGGCTCAAAAAGAAGGTCCGGCTCGATGTTTAGGTCTCAAATACAAAATCAACATTATACCGGTGAAGACCTGATGGCAACGGTAGATAATTCACTCACATCCTCGAAATGCACATCGTTTACCAAGTTTTCACTGAGTTCTCTTTGAATTCTCTTTCATTTATCAGATTCATCCACTCAGGGAAGGGGTCTCAAACACAACCCACATTTCAAAGTGTTCTTTCACATGTAGCCTGCAATTACACATTTCCACCAGAGAGGTCTTCAAATCCCCAAAACCTACATAGTGCAGCTTTAAAGGGCCAAAATCTTGCATTATCTTGTATTTAATTTTTTCACCGAGGTCCACTTACAACATATGTGTGGATTTATTTACCAAAAACAATCTAATTTACTAAGTTATTTTCACTGGACCATTTTCCAACCTCTCTTTGTGCCTTAGAATTAAACAGTCTGTTTTTGTAACTGTGCCTTTACGACTGAAATATGTAAATGAACACTGTTCTGATTGTCCGGTATTGAGCCTCATTCAGAAAGCAGTGTGAGCTGAAATTCTCCTTATAGCTAAAGAGGCTGACATAAGTAAATGCATTGATTTTTGTGAAATTACAAAAAACGGTGGATTCTAAACTGGCTGTTCTGCAGCTTAGTTTTCATATATGGACTGTATAGACTGGGTCATAATTGGTATGTTACATTTTAAACGTGTTCACATAATATATCAGACACTTTTTCATTCACAATGGTGAGGAAAATTCAGTTTTCCGTGATATGAGCCCTTTTTAAAAAAGGGTTTTTTAAGATTTTGCAAGGTGTATCTCAGTATTCAAAACTGTGCAGCCCCAGTGTTCATACCTGATAGGATATATCTCTGTGTCTGAGTGTTTGTGTCTGTCTTTGCCTGATATGATGTGTTTTTATGTGCATCTGTGTGTGTGTGTGTGTGTGTGTGTGTGTGTGTGTGTGTGTGTGTTAATGCCACTCTTGGATAATTCATTACTCATATCTCTATGGCTGTGCAGTGTGCTGTAATGGAGAGAGCAGAGAGCACGCTTTGAAGATGAGCCCAGCCCACTCACTCACTCACTCACTCACTTACTCACTCTCTGTACACAGGCACTGACTCATACTTGCATGTATATAGCTGTACTGGCGTTTCTGTCCTCTTTATTTATGCTCACTAAAACACATAGATTGTGTATATTTACCCAATTACCCAATGACAAACACTGACTTTGTTTTGGAACTGTGCTTTATTCACCATGTAGGGCATCTGTAATCCATAGAATAGTGATTAATGACCATTTCTGTTCTCTATAGTGGTGTTCTATGTAGTGCTCCAGTGTAGTGATTAGTGATTAAGGGGCCTAGTCTGTTCGCTATGATAGTGTTCTATATAGTACTCCAATGTGATGAATAGTGATTAGTGGCTATTTCTGTTTACTATAATAGTGTTCTGTATAGTGCTCTAATGTGATGATTAGTGATTAGTGACCATTTCTGTTCTCTGTAGTGTTCTGTATAGTGCTCCAATAGTAGGGAATAGTGATTAGTGACCATTTCTGTTCTCTGTAGTGTTCTGTATAGTGCTCCAATAGTAGGGAATAGTGATTAGTGACCATTTCCGTTCTCTATAGTGTTCTGTATAGTGTTTCAATGTGTTGAAAAGTGATTAGTGACCATTTCTGTTCCCTATAATAGTGTTCTGTATAGTGTTCCAATGTAGTGAATAGTGATTAGTGACCATTTACGTCCTCTGTAGTGTTCTGTATAGTGTTCCAATGTAGTGAATAGTGATTAGTGACCATTTCTGTTCCCTATAATAGTGTTCTGTATAGTGTTCTAATGTAGTGAATAGTGATTAGTGACCATTTGCATTCTCTGTAGTGTTCTGTATTGTTTTTCAATGTAGTGAATAGTGATTAGTGACACCATTTCTGTTCTCTATAGTGTTCTGTGTGTAGTGTTCCAGTGTAGTGAATAGTGATTAGAGACCATTTCCATTCTCTATAGTGTTCTGTATAGTGCACCAATGTAGGGAATAATGATTAGTGACCATTCTGTTCTCTGTAGTGGTGTGTATAGTGTTTCAATGTAGTGAATAGTGATTAGTGACCATTTCTGTTTCCAGTAGTAGTGTTCCAAATAGTGGTCCAGTGTGGTGAATAGTGATTAGTGACCATTTCTGTTCCTTGTAATAGTGTTCAGTATAGTGCTCCAATGTGGTGAATAGTGATTAGTGACCATTTCTGTTTTCTATAGTGTTCTGTATAGTGCTCCAGTGTGGCGAATACTGATTAGGGGATCATTTGTGTTCCCTTTGATTAAGGACATATGTTTTTGCCATATTGCATAGTGTTCTCTGTAGTGCTCTGATGTAGGGAATAGTGATTACCGCATTTATCTCTCCCTTCCACCAGCCAGTTAGTGTGCAGACACAGATGTAGCTACAAATTCCATCAGCTTATGATTTCTACTCAGGGAGCGTACACCCACTGCTCTCTCATTCTCTCCGCTCCAAACTCACACATGCCTTTCTCTTCTTCTTTTTGGCCAAGAGACACACAGGAAGAATGCATTCATTCAGGCACACACACAGGGCCTACGTTGCCAGATCCCCCTCTCTTTAATCCCCCCATTCCATGGAGAAACAGAAGGTGCGCTCTTTATCGCCGCTTTCCTCCCCGCTGCCTTCAGATGCTCTTTTCCAGCATGCTAACAGCGGAGGCCGGAGCCTGGGGTTCAGGGAAATATGCGTGTCCTCCACTTCACATTCATACCAGCCACTTTCTCATGCAGCCCAGGGCCTGTGGAAACCTTTAGTGAAGGCGGATCTTGGCACTAACGTTGCTTCACTGCAGTCTCTGATGTTGCAACTCATGGCTGGTAGAATGAGGAGCGCCCTCTAGTGGACACTGCACTCATAAGAACTTGGACTGGATTGAGATTTGAGAAAACGTATACAATTAGCAACCAACCAAAGACAATATGTTTATAAGTATCTGATTTAACCGAATATATTTTATTCCAGAATATTCCAGTTTTGTTCCAGAGTATTCCAGTTTGTTCCAGTTGGTTCTAGCGCATGACGACCCAAAAATGAGGCCCACAGGCGGGAAGTTTGCCCACAAGCACGTTTCATTTGGCTGGACCGAAAGTTGCATTAACTCCTCTGCCCCTTCACTCAATGAGAGAGCAAACATTTTTATACAGACATAAAAACACTGGAATAGTAAGTCATTATTACGAGATACTGTGATTATTTTGACATAGTAAGTCAAAATTTTGAGAAAATAAGTCATTACACTGAGAGTAAGTCAATATTTTGAGACAATAAGTCATTATTTTGACATAACAAGTCAATATTTTGAGAGAAGAAGTCATTTTTTTGACATACCAAGTCAATATTTTGAGATAATAAGTCATTATTTTGACATACCAAGTCAATATTTTGGGAAAATAAGTAATTGGTTTGACATAACAAGTCAATCATTTGAGACAAAAAGTCATTATTTTGACATACCAAGTCAATATTTTGAGAAAGTAAGTCATTATTTTGACATACCAAGTCCATTTTTTGAGACAAAAAGTCATTATTTTGACATACCAGGTCCATATTTTGAGACAAAAAGTCATTATTTTGACATACCAAGTCATTATTTTGAGACAAAGTCATTATTTTGACATACCAAGTCTATTTTGAGACAAGAACTCATTATTTTGACATACCAAGTCAATATTTTGAGACAAAAAGTCATTATTATGACATACAAAGTCCATGTTTTGAGAAAATAAGTAATTATTTTGACATACTAAGTCAGAAAATAAGTCATTTCGACATAGCGAGTCAGTATTTTGAGAAAACAAGTCATTATTTTGTATTTGTATTTGTATTTACCATGCAGGAATGAGCTTCCATATATAAGAAATACATCTTTACCTCTGACAGCCGTGAGCTGTTTATGAATGGGAAGGTGCTTATTGACCTCTGCTAAGCCTTGTGTCTTTGTGTTAGAGAGAACAGCGGACCCTCACACGTCCCCCTGATTGGATTAGTTAAGTGAAGTCACAGGGTGAGTGAAAAACACTCCAGAAATATCCGTCCGTAACAAGAAGATTGAATCAGAGAAGCGGACGGGGTGCAGGGCATTGTGGGCCGGCGTGCGGAGGCTGTGTGAGCGGATGTGTGCGTATAAATGAGCCTCTGTCCGTGTGCTGAAAAACAGTCAATGCTCTCTTTCTCACCGGCCTCTTACGAAGGCACAATAATCATCCTCACCGCTCACTTTATTACCTTCTGATTCATTTATTTCTGCCTGAAGAACTCGGTTAGGACGTCCTGTGTGTGCGTGTTTCAGACAAACTGTGCAGGGTGCTTATTTCCTGCTTTTCTCTATGTAACAGTCTATCTCTCTCTCTCTCTCTCCCTCTCTCTCTCTCTCTGCTCAAGACCAGGGCTATATGTGTATGGATTGCTTGATTATTAGAGATGCACAAAGTTATGAGATGCTTAGATTGGACTGACATCTCAAACCAATGTTTGATGACGTATTTCTTGAATTCCAGAGGAGTGGACTGTTTAGGAGACTCCGGGTTACGGCAGTAATGAAGGGATGTTATATTTCTCCATAATTAAATTAAAATTTATTAAATTAAATTAATAATGCAAGATCCACCCCTATTAGGGTTGAGTGATATAACGGTAATAAGGTATACTGTGGTATTTAAAAATGACCATGGCACAGAGCTCTGAACTTTAGAACCAGCGATTCTGCACTCAGATATTCTCTAAACGGGGGTCATTTCAACATCAGTTAGCTGGAACAAAGAAAATAAAAACTCTTACAGAACAAGAAAAAAACATTCGTAATTTTTTTTTTCCCCAATTTTCTCCTCAATTTAGTCGTCTCCAATTCCACCCACTAGTTAGGACTCCCCCAATCACACGACACCACCAGCACTACCAGGGCAAGGGCTAACGTGGGGTTCCTCAGAGACCAGTGAAGCCCCACCGCGTCTTTTTGAACTGCCGCTCACGCAACGTCATTGGACAGCCGAACGCGCTTGGAGGAAAGCGCCAACCGCCAGTTCTGTTACGTCAGCTAACAGATGCCTGAGCTGACTAGCATCGCGCTGAGTGATGTGGGGAGACAGGGGGCATCCTACCCACCCAGAGAGCGAGGCCAATTGTGCGCTCTCGGACTCCCGGCTACGGACAGCTGTAGCATCACCAGGGATCAGACTCGCGATCTCCTGATGATACGGCCAACGCTTAACATTCTGACCTTTAAATGGTGTTTTTTCCTCAACTATGTTTTAAATGGAAGTTAATATAACATGATTTTTTTCCAAGCACTTTTGGAGCGTTTCTGTTGGTCCGTTCAGTGTGAAAATTTGGCGGATTTCAAAGGTCAGCTAGCATTTTGAAATTCTGTAAAGAAGTACAAAATATGCTGCGGTGCACGTTTGGCCTGCCTACTAAGCTCTCATTAGCTTAGCCAAAATGCAGAGCTGCTATCATGCTAGCTAAGCTAATGCTAACCAGCTCATCTCTCCTAGTTAGCAGCACTGTTTAGCATTGAACCATTGTTAGATAGATAGTTTAATGTTTATTGAATGATTGCTTGAAAATCAATCGCTCTGTTCACTCATCGTGACCGTGTAGGTAAACGGCTCGTTTTTAGTTTTTTTTTTATTTTGAATTAATGCAGGACGAGACAGCACAAAAAGTGTTATAAATGGTTTTATGTAACTTAGGACAAATTTGGGCACTACAGAGAACACACCTCTGTACATTCGAATGCACAATTACTGTTTATTTGCTAAATTAAACATAAAATTTAGCCTGAGCAAAACTTTTATTTTTATGGGTTTTTTCCAATATGCTAACTCAGCAGATTAATAGAAGCTATTTAAGCATGTTCTCTGTAGAGAATGAGTTCATTTTACTTAGAAAATCAACACAACGGGTCATTTGACGAGGGCTGCTCAAACTGTAGTGTTTTTCTGTTTTTCTATCTTCATATGAGCCCATTTTTATTGTTTAGCCTTTTTCAAAAACTGATTACTCGATTATCCTCTTAAATGGCTTAAGAAGAAGCCAGTTTGCAATGTAGTCAATGCGGTTACTGAATTTTAAGGGGTCAATATGTGTTTAAATATAAAAATAATTAATAGATTACTCAGCAGTGACAGCACTAATCTTTTCGCTCTCCCTCTGGTGTTTAATCATGTTGTTTGCTGTATATTTCTTGTAAAGCGACTGATCTCAGTTAAGGCACTAAAAAGTAAACTGATGATGACTCACATTCTGTCTCTGCCTCTCTCTCTCTCTCTCTCTCTCTCTCTCTCTCTCTTTCTCTGTAGCTGGTGTCGGCAGATGGCTCCCATGGTTCAGATGGAGGTTCAGGTTGTGGTGCTGAAAGCCAGGCAGAGCTGCCTCCTCCATTAGAGCGGACGGGGGGCATCGGGGACTCTAGACCGCCTTCGTTCCAGTGAGTGACCCCACTATGTGTATGTGAGAGAGTGAGGGTGCAATGCGTTGATGTTAATCAGTGTAGCACTGCACACTAGCCGCATGCGAGATAGATAGATAGATAGATTGATTGATTGATTGATTGATTGATTGATTGATTACACGCCCACCTGAACACTAAAACACCATTTAAGAACTCATCATTTCCACTGCATTTAGGACAAATGACATCCTGTAAATATTGTTTGTAGCTCTTGACGCCCTCCATCACCTGCCTGATGGAAGCTGCTCAAACCGTGAATAAAGAGGATGGAGACGATGAAATAACTGAGGAAACAGCCAATCAGAGCATCTCTTAAACGAAGAGCTACACTCTTAAAAAAAGATGGTGCTTCAAGGTTTCTTTTGTAAAGGAAATGGTTCTATATAGAGCCATGAACACTCAAAGAACCCTTTGCATGATTAAAGGGTTCTTTGCATCATGAAAGCGTTCTTCAGACTGATGGAGAATGTGCTGTAGATGGTTCTATATAGAACCTTTTTGGAAATGGCTCTATGTAGCACCCAGAAGGGTTCTTCTATTGTTACGGAGTCAAGCTTGTAACAACAGAAGAACCCCTTTGGGTGCTGTGTAGAGCCATTTCCAAATAGGTTCTAAATAGAACCATTTTCTTTACTGAGCATGTTTTTTTAAGAACGTACACTCTGCTAAAGTTTAGTTGCTTTGTAAACAAAATAAGACGTTGCAGGTTGTGTTAACTTGCGCATTACTGTGAAAAACAGAATGTGGACAGAAAGCACTCTTTGCTTCATCAGTGCAATACGCTCGAGTCCCGTCTGGTGTGAAAGAGCAAGTGTTGCGGAGTTTCTGGTGTGAAATCGGTTTAAAGGCCCAGTCACAGTAGCAAAAGACACAGTGGACTTATCATGTGCTTTACTTCATAGATCCTCAGAAAATCGATAAAAGGAAGTGAAATTATGTCATCAGTGTGATTATTATTTGAAAATAAGAAATTTTTTGTTATGCGGAAACACCAGTGACACGACTCCTGGGGAACTTTCGTTATATATTTTATAATATTTGGCATTTGTTTTGTTTATGTCATTTAATTTATATATTCCATAGTCATGTATAGATTATTGTAGTTAAAATTGCAGAAAAACACGTTTTCTTCAAAATATGGCCTCAGCCTTTACACACGACTGTGAGGACGAGCTCTTCTGTGGTGCTTGGAATTTTATATAATTGATTTAAAAACCAATATTACTAAATTGATGACTCAGGAAGGTGTAACTGTTAAAATAACGTATTGTTTTATTTTAAAATATAAATAAATTGTAACCCTTACATGTTTTTCAAGTGTAACGTATCTGTAAACGCTAGGGGCACAAAAATGGACGTTTCTGTGGAATGACCCATATACCAGATGAACCAGTATACTGCCCACTACTAGTGAAGATACTGAGAGAAGAGGAGAAGCTGAAGCTGCCACAGTCATTACCCCTCCGTCCCAAAGGCGCAGACGTCCTCTAACTAAACTAATCACCCCCGTCTCCTTCTTACTGACCGAGAGCTGGGGGTCAATACCTGTAAGTGGAAGTGGCCTGGTCACTCCGAGTGTGTTTTACTAAAGTGTGTGTCACTGGCCAATAAACCTAAGAGCCCGTAACCTGTAAATCTGATTAACCCCCAAGCTCATCACCCACACTCAGACTCTTCAATATGGATCAATATTCCTCTGCGAGAGCCTCCATTAACCTGAGGCTTCACTCTGTTTATGTGTGTTAGTGGTCATGTGTATGTTAAGGCTAACTGTGATGTGAATAATGATGTGATAGAATATATATAGTGTCATGCAGAAGTCATAGGAATGTAAGTAAGTTGTTGAAAATAATTTTATCTGGACAGTAACACTTTTTTTGTTCGTAAATACACCACTGGAATAAATGCAAACAAACATTAATACAGTAAAAAGTAACAATAATTTGTTGTTTTTAAAAAAGTAGTTGATATCTTTTCAACTGTTTAGAAAAATATAAATTTGGTTTCAGACTTGTCTGGTTTCTTCCAGCCATCACGCGGATTTGTTAAATTCCATCATCACGTCTGATTGAACATAATGAAGTACTGGCTAGTCAAATCAGACAACTGGAGTTAATACTGGGCTGCTATGAGGAGAGGTTTGGAAATCATTAGATAAGATAAGATGTGGAGCTACATAAAATCAACAGTTACTGCATTCATGTTTTTTGTATTTATTGTAATGTGAGTGTTTTTCTAAGCAAAAAACTCAGGAAAATTGCACAGTTTCAGTTTTCACAATTTCAGTTTTTGCGGTTACACACACACACACACACACACACACACACACGTATATTGCTGTTGTTGGAAGAAAACCTTGTGTCTTCATTTTTGTTGTTTTTCTGTTTTGTGTGTAAATTTCATGATGAGTGGACCAAATGTCCCAAAATTACTTGGAAAAAAAGTCTGGTTCCATTGACTTACATTAAAAGTAAAGTATGTTTACACACACACACACACACACACAGATATATATATATATATATATCATATATATATATATATATATATATATGTCACTGTTGTTGGAATAAAACCTCATATCTCCAAAAATGGTAACTTTACAGGAGAAGGAAAAAACATACTTTACTTTTAATGTAAGTCAATGGAACCAGACTTTTTTCCTAGTCATTTTGGGTCGTTTCTTTTGGTCCATTCATCGTGAAATTTACCCACAATGTAAAGGACAACAGGCATTTTCAATTTGTCAAAAACAAAAAAAAAATGGAGATATGAGATTTCCTGCAGACAGCGGCTATGTCATGCAAAAACCCCATAAACCACTCAGATGTTATACGGGACAATAAATGTACGCTGTGGGCCCTTTAAAGCTGTAGTCAGGCATTGCCGTAACATCAGCACAGACCTTAGTTTGACTGTACTGACTGAAAGCATAGTGAATGTGTGGACAGCTGTGATCCAATGAGTTTGTTTTTTGACATTTTGAAAAGTATTCTTGTTGTAGCAAAAGACCCCCCGTCCCCTCCCGCCAGCCGCAGGAATTCAGTGTTGGAATTTACCATCTGAATCCCCACAGGTTTAGATTTACCCACAGCTCTGTGTGTCTGCTGCCCACTGCCTTTATCTGTGTGTGAACATATGTGTGTGTATGGTTGTTTGTCCTGCTGGCGTTTCCTGTGTGTGAGTGTGTGTGTTTCCTGCTCTGCCGGCCCCCCTGAGTGTACAGCTTAATTATTAAATCAGTGGAAATGTGGCTGGGAGCAGTTTGGAAAAGTACAGCAATTTATGAGTGCCCTCTGCTGGCGGTAGAGCCCGGAACACACTCACAAACACATCAAACACACACACACACAGTGGCATGCGTGTTGCTCACGGCGTTCTCAGGCTTGGCTGACATTAAAAAATCCTGACGGTTCGATAACAGCACTTGACATTTAGACAGCGGGGGTCCCTTAAAAGGCGCTGGACTGTACATGAGCTGGTTTGTGTGTGTGCTGTGTGTGTTTGAGTTTGTGTGTGTGTGTGTGTGTGTGTGTGTGTGTGTGTGTGTGGTGGAGCCACAGCCTTTCTATCTCTCTTTCTGCCTTTCTTTTTTATGTATTTTATTTTTGAAGGAGCTTCAATGGACAGAAATAATCTTATTATGCTAATTTTGTACAAAGTTACCCTCCCGCTGCCCTTCCCTCAAGCAACAACCCACCTTCCCTGAAAGCACCCTGAATGCATTTGTCTTCATATATTCACTTGTATTGAAAGGGGAATTCCACCAGTTTTTCAAATTTTCAAAATTAAACAGTTTAAATGTGAACCAAGTCATTCAGAGTGGTTTGATGTGAAATGGTTCTACAACACAAATATTGCCATTTTATTTACTATCCAAAACCAACAGTCAACCTTCACACGTATACTGAGTTTTTATGGAGTGACGATGATGGTAAAATAGTCGAAGATCTGCAGCGTTTTCTCCAGGATCTCCAAACCATGTCTGAGGCATGAAGTGGTATTTCAATCAATCAACCTATATATTGAGGGTGACCCTCATTTACAGTGTAGCCGAGCAGGGCCTGGGTTCGATTCCCTGGCCGGACGACCAGGGTCCCTTCTGTGTGGCGTTTGCATGTTCTCCCCGTGTCTGTGTGGGTTTCCTCCCACAGTCCAAAGACATGCAGTCAGGCCAGTTGGACATGCTAAATTGCCCCTAGGTGTGAATGTATATGTCTGTGTTGCTGTCCTGTGATGGACTGGTGACCTGTCCAGAGTGTTTCCTGCCCTCTGCCCAATGACTACTGGCATAGGCTCCAGCGTCCCCCATGACCCAGAAGGATAAGCGGTTTAGAAAATGTGTGTGTGTGTGTGTGTGTGTGTGTGTGTGTGTGTGTGTGTGTGTGTGTTCTCCACCGGTTTGTGCCTCTCCTGTTTTACCACCTGACGTCACATTTCTCTGTTTCACCATCTCTGCAGTGCCAATGCAGCGGGCAGTCAGGACAATCTGGACAATGACACGGAGCCGGAGGTTGGGCCATCAGCGCGGAGAGACAGAGACAGAGAGAGGGAGAGGGACAGAGAAAGAGAAAGAGAGAGACCCCGCAGGAAAGACACCCATGACCATGGTGAGACTGACCACCTGTCCAGAGCTCTTCGTTTGCGCATAGAGGGCGTTTACATGCACTCAGTAATCCAATCATAATCGGATTTCTGCAGTTATCTGATTATTCAAATGGTCATGTGAACACCATACTCCGATCTAGAAATCCAATTAAGAAATCTGATAAAGAGGCTGGATTTTAGCTCAGTAATCAGATTTCAGTGCATGTAAACTCCTACTCTGATTTCTTTCGGATTTCTCAGTCTGCGCGAAAACAGACGGCAGTACCAGAAATAAGCGAGCAGCGTCGCCGCGAGACGCAGCAAAACACTGAAACCAAATACATTCACTATGAAATAAAGAATTTAAATATTCTTCATCTTCTAGATGATGAATGTTCATATTTTCAGGTAAAGTGGGTCAACGTTTTAAAAAAAAAGCCGCGGCATGAAGTTTGAGTTTTACATTATGTCACGTCTTCTTCTGTGAGTTTACTGGCTGGTTGAAAAGCAGAAAGCTGATTACTGTCTGACTCATGTAGACCCAGAGTTTTCCCATTATCTGATTAAGTGTATGCGTTGATTGGATTACTGACGAAATCTGATTTTCTGCAGTTATCGGATTATTAAGTGCATGTAAACACACTCACAGTCTCAGTCTCAGATGCTCCGCCCACAGATATTTATTGTGCACTAAGATGGTCAGAACAGTACTAACTGCAGGGGTTCCTGCTGACCCCATGCTCTGCACATTTTTGTGTTTTCCCTTCTCTACACACCTGATCCAGCGCACAAAGAGCTTGCTCATTAATTAGTGAGTTGAATCAGGTGTTCTAGATGAGACAAAGCACAAAAATGTGCATCATGTAGGGTCATCCAGACTGACTGGAAACAATTGGCTAAGTGCCAGCTCTGTTACGTCAGCTAACAGGCGCCAGTGTTGTCTAGCATCTTGCTGAATGATGGGGAAGAGGGATGGCTGTTGCATCGAACTTGCAATCTCCCAACAGTAGGGTGAATTCTTAGACCAGAAGTCTTCAGATCCAGACTTTAAATCTAGTTTCTTGTCCTGGATTTTTTATCACTGGTTGGTGGACACTAGGTGGCCAATTGATTACATCAACAATTCAGCTACTACTGATCCAGGACTGGATTCAGGATCCAGTTTTGAAGACCTCTGGCTTATATTGTTGAACCACTCAGGGGAACCCATGCACTGGTTTTTAACAGTCTGATGGAAAACAAATCACTAAGCCCCAAAAACAGATTTGTAAAGCTCATGGCATCACGTCTTTAAACGTTACTCAGACTTTCAAATTCAACACTGTGGTGTTTAGGGGCCTTACTGCTCACGATGAGCAACCAAAACTCACCAGGTTCCTGGATGACAGGCAGAAATCTGGCCTGCAAGATGAATTTTCTCTGAACTACATTGGCAATTTTTCTGATCGATATTGCAACAGATTATTTTCTGTAAATTGAAGTCCAGGCCTGTTATTTTGGTCAAGAAGACCACAACATCCACTTTTGGTGGCTTGAGACTTGAACACTGAACATGCCAGAGAACTCGTCTACAGGCACTTTACAAGCTCTGATATTAGGTTAATGTTCATTGATGATAAAAAAAATGCAGTAATTGAAATTGCAGCTCTTTTAAATTGTGATTTCAATATAAAAAAGACTCATATTTCAGCCCCAGAACTACATATGCAGATGTTTAGCAAATTTATCAGATTATATCACTTAGTGAGAAGGCTCTCAATAGTAGGCCCAAAAAAATGATATGACGCTATCGTTCTCCAAACCTACTTTACTTTTAATGTAAGTCAATGGAACCAGACTTTTTTCCAAGTCATTTTGGGCCGGTTTTTTTTGGTCCATTCATCATGAAATTCATAGAAATTGGGCAACAGGCATTTACACATTATGTCAAAAACCGAAAAACAACAAAAATGGAGATACGAGGTTATATATATATATATATATGCAGATGAATAGTGGCTTATTGTGATGTCCCCTTTTTGACAACCAGTGTGAATATAATGTTTTTTTTGTGAGAAATCGTTGTAGGAACTCCTCTTACTCACCTTAAAGGTGCTCGGTGTTGTTTCTCATCTAAACACGTCGACATCTTTTTGTTCATATTTTCTGTTCCACCTTAAATGGAGCAGCGGTTGCATTCTGGCACCTGTACAGAATGTTCCCCCAACCGTTAGACACTGCCTTGATTTGGAAAATAATATACTCAATCACTTTCAGTACCAGCTGGTCCACAGCTTGTTTCGTGCATAAGATCCTGACCGCCGCTCATCTGACGCTGCTGACGGTCAGGCGGCTCATCAAGCGGTACAATTAAACAGACGTGGCAGTTGCTCTGGTGTCCATGCTAGAATAAGGCCAACCCCAAAAGACCAGGCTTTCCTTTTGTGTCTGCTGCCTGGAAATCAAAGTGGATTATTTCAGATGTAGCAGACTAGACCGCGGCGGGTGATTTAAATCGTGACTGAAACATCTCTGACTCAGCGGCTCAGCTGAACAGGGTAACGTTAGCGTGTCTGTACATCATGTTATCTATGCTTATTTGTGGTATAAGTGGTATAACAGTGATGACAAAACTCATACCTTAGAAGAATTTCAACTGGATGAGCCGGTATACGGACTCCTGAATTGCCCCTTGAATCCTGTCTTCTTTCCTAACCTGACTCTCCGTGTATGTTTCTGTATCTGTGTTTATTTCTGCATATGTCTGTGCTGTAGGTGGCAGGCTGAATGGTCACTCTCGGCCAGAGCGAAGGCCTGAGATTGCAGGCTATGAGAGCTCCTCGACGTTAATGAGCAGCGAACTGGACACCACGAGCTTCTTCGACTCAGAGGAGGACGACTCCGCCAGCCGGTGAGATCTGCACTCGCCAAAGTTCTGTAGTAGGACTGGATTTACAATCTGAGCAGTTATATAGATGTTCTAATTACAGCTAAGTTCATAAATCAGAAAATAATTATAGATGCACACAGATTGATTCCTGTTACACTTTACTGTTACCAATAATGTTTTATTTATATCTGTAATGATACTCTGAAAAAATAATTCAGTCGTGCCGGTCATTAATTAAATTCTTGCCAAGAGACGTAACCTGAAAGATGTCAGTTGTGTTGATGTAATGTATTTTATCTATGTTGAACTGATTGACACGTGTAAATTCAAAGCAATTAAATTCAAATTCATTTTTTAAGATTTATTTATTAATTTATATAAGAATGTCTGCAAAATTGTGGCACGTTTTAGTCAATATAGCTATGATTTCTCATGGTATTTTTGTACGAATAGTAGACGTTTTTAACTTATTTGTAGACATAATTTTGCTTGTTTTTATTTTTCTTGAACAAAATAATTTGCCAGTAGAAAAAGACAGCTTTTCTCAATAAAACTACCTTAAAAAGTCAGATCTTACAATAGGAAATATTAGTTATATTGACTAGATTTAAGATGATTTCACAAGATATATTTTTTTGCAATGATATGAGGAAATCAAGGATCAAGGCAAGGCAACTATTTATATAGCACCTTTCATACACTGCTGTCATTCAAATCAAATCATGTTTATTGACATCACATTTACACAGGTGCGAAGGTGAGTGAAAAGCTTGGGTGCAAAGCCGTCTTGTAGTATATATATATATATATATATATATATATATATATATACACACACACACACACACATTAGACTGTATAAATATATACACATATGCACAATATACACATTAGTATGCACCAGTGTTGCACCATTCCAATATACAGTTTTTATCAGTGATATAAGTTATGAAATAAAAGCTATGATATCTTCAGTTGTACACTTTTCCATATGTGCAATATGTTTGTCTGAGGTAGATAATAAGATGCAGGGCACACAGGGGCTTTACAAATGAGAAAATACATTCAAAAATACATTAAAAGTAAAGAAATTAAAACAATAGATTTAACAGAGAAAATCATTAAATTAAAAATCCAATTAGAATTAAATTAGGATAGTAAAAAATCAGATTGAAAAATTTAAAAAATACACACACATTTTCTAAGGATTTACTGAAGGACTTTTGTCAGTAATATTTCCACTTATCTTTCTGGGTTGCGTGGCAAAAAAATAAAATGAAATAAATAAATAAGTACATTTAAAAAAATAAATAAATAAAATTAAAACATAAAAAGTACAAAATTAAAAACATTAAAAATTAAAAAAATAAGTAAAAGAAAATAACATACTAAAATGAATGAGTTTATGAAATATATTCACAAAAGACAGAAGGCATTAGGAGTCCTACATTATTATTACTATTTTCTATTACATTCATTCTTTATTGTTTTACTGATAACACAGAGGAGAAACCATGCAGCCTGGTGAAAGTACATCCTGTATCTCAGCACTGCCGATTCATTCTGGCGTAAACACATAAACTCTATACGCATCTCCTCTCCCTTTTACACATCACTTAAAGCACTCAGATCACATGCTCTGGAAAACCAGCACAAAGAAGTGCTTTCCTTTTGTTGGAACACAGTAAACACTCGATGAGAATTGGCCAGAAGGCATCATGTGACATTTTAGGGACCAATCAGAAGTGAGGATGGTGTAATATGTGTACATATAATAAAAAACCCACTCTGAGCAGTGTATACCTTTCAGGCTGAATCCCAAATGGCTCCCTGTTGTATGTACAGTGCACTACTTCTGCTGTCCAAGCCTTTATTGCATGACCTACGTAGTGCACTTTGTAGGGTGTAGGGAGCTGATTGAGATTCAGCCCCAGAGTTTGTTCAGTGATGGTTGTGATGTCACTGCAGCTTCAGCAGCTCCACGGAGCAGAGCACGTCGTCCAGGCTCATGAGACGCCATCGCCGTCGCCGACGGAAACCCAAAGCGCCGCGGATGGAGAGGGTGAGATGGACGCGCACGCACTCACACCCACGCAGCTGTCAGCGACTGGTCTCTTTAAGTGTGTCCTCATCATTTCTCTCCTTTCTCTCCCCTGTGCTTTCTCTCCCTTACCTATCTGTATCTCTCTCTCCCTCCTTCTCTTTCTCGTTCTGTCCTCCTTCTCCAGTCGTCCTCGTTCAGCAGTATAACTGACTCCACCATGTCTCTGAACATCATCACTGTCACATTAAACATGGGTGAGTACATCTGTATCTGTGTCCGCTGCTTTTTTAATGTGTGCCACGCTTCCGCCGCCTCTCGTGTCAGAGCTGGGAAACTCTGCTCTCATACTCTCTTTATTATTATGTTATGTATTTTTTATTACGTTTATTGTATGTTAAAAGGCCCATATCCCACATAAACAAAGAAAAGTTCTGACAATTGAAATGAAGAAGAAATATTAGAAATTCTGCACTATTTATAGGTCGCTATTCAGATTTAAGCAAATTTATGACATGGACCATGTTGAGGCCTTCGTACAAAAAGGTCAGATTTTTTTCAGTCCTCTCTCGTGTTCAGACGACTGTGACCGTTATTTTTCTAAGATATGGGCCCTGTAACATTCTTACATTACTATTTCTTATGGGGTCGGTGGAGGTTTACGGGAGGTTTACAGGGAAAGCTAGTTACGCTCAGTTTCCCTCCCTTACCCCAAACGTAGTTAGTCAGTCAAGAGATGTTTGCTGTCTGAAGTTCGCTTCTTTAGTTTTGCACTGGAGCTACAAAGCTAATGTAGCCCACAAGTAATGGGTAAGTATCAGACACTTGGCCGAAAACATGTGGAGTTAAGTAATCTCTAATAGACTTGTATATACGGTTTACTGACAAGGTTTATTATTGTTAAATAAAAATAATAATAAATAAGTTACTCTTTATTAATCCCACAACGGGGAAATTCACCTCCGCATTTAACCCATCTGTACAGTGAAACACCACATACACACTAGTGAACACATACAAACACACACTGGGGGGCAGTGAGCACACTTGCCCAGAGCGGTGTGCAGCCATATCCACAGTGGCCAGGGAGCAGTTGGGGGTTAGGTGTCTTGCTCAAGGGCACCTCAGTCACGTCTTGTCAGCTCTGGGGATCAATCCAGTGACCTTCCGGTCACAAGGCTGGTTCCGTAACCTCCAGCCACGACTTAACACAATTAGCACAAAAAACTGTACTGACCAAAAAGTATAAATGCAGCACTTTGGTATTTGAAGCAGATTTTTTTCCTAGAAATGTTCTGTGCTGCTGCAAGCAAATGGTGGAAAATATCAGGACAATCAGGAAAATCTTTTCAGTACAAAACGTTGCAGTTATATTTTTTCAGTGTAAAATCAAAACTATAATACAGCAAGTAACTATAAATAATATTACAGAAAGAAAACGTTAGTTTTTTTTTAGTGTGTGAAGATTGGTCTAAAAGTGGATTCCTTTCATGTCAAACCTTAAATACTCAGGAGATGGTGATGCCTTCAGGCAACCCATAAAAAAGATGCTTCTGCAAGGATCCTTTAGTAAAGAAAATGGTTCTGTATAACACCCAAAAGGATTCTTCTGTTGTTACAACATCAAGCTTGTAGGAACAGAAGAACCCTTTTGGGTGCTATTGAACCATTTTCAAAAAGGTTTCATGTAGAACCATCTACAGCACATCCTCCATCCTCCAAGAACACTTACATGATTTAAAGAACCCTTTAACCGTGCAAAGGGTTCTTTCAGTGTTTGTGGTTCTATATAGAACCATTTTCTTTACTAAAGAACCCTTGCAGAACCATCTTTTTTAAGAGTGTAGCTGAACATAGTCCAACCTGGATTTACACCAGTTTCTGACAAAATATTTACCATAGTACTAAAAACATAAACAAAATAAACAAATAAAAAGTAATGAAAATTAATTTTCAGAATCAAATCTAAAACTATTACTGTGCTCTTAAACTGAATTAAACTATACTGAACCGGTAAACTAAAATAAAAACTGAACAAAAATGAATTAATACACAAAGCATTTACAGTAACCCTGTTTCTGCCATTGTATCACCTGTATGTCATACTCTTATCCATAAAAATAAAAAGAAAAAAAAACAGTAACAGCCTGAATTTTGTCTGCAGGAATTCTGGGAAAACTGCGTGAATTAAATGATTTCTTCAATGTGAGATTAAAATAGTGCACATGTGTGAAAGGGATGGTGACGGTGTTGCTGTTGGTCTAGTAAAGGTGAGCTGAGTACATGTATGACTGAACGGCCGTGTCCTCTTTATATGTTTGTATGTTATCTGTCCTCTGCTCTTCCTCTCCTGGGTCTCCCTCCTCCTCTGCCCTCGTGCCCCGCATTCCACCACTCCTTTAGAGAAGTATAACTTTCTGGGCATCAGTATTGTGGGTCAGAGTAACGAGAGAGGGGACGGAGGGATCTACATCGGCTCCATCATGAAGGGCGGAGCGGTGGCGGCCGATGGGCGCATAGAACCAGGGGACATGCTGCTCCAGGTGTGTGGGCTACTGTGTGTCTTTGTGTGAATATATAATAATAGTTTTTTGTGACTGCTTAGAATTGCATTATATGATATAAATGATATGATTTTAAATAAGCAGATAATCATAAGCTTTTAAGAAAATTCCTCTCCTTGAAGCTGTTATTAAGCCATTTTCTGGCTGTTTTGAGGAAGCTAAATCTACCTACATTTTAAATGTAGGTAGATTTACAAGACAAATGTAGGTCCTACATTTGTCTTATATTTTGTTTGGCATTTTTGTGGGTTTATGTACCAAAAATAGTCACAATTCATTTGCACACATCCGTTTTCCGACCTCTCTTCATCCCTTAGGCCGCAAATATACTCAATGCAAGTACACAAACGCAAATGACAGTGCTCGGCCAACGCACTGCAAACGCTCTGTCCTTTTGTACGTACTTATCGTGTGGTCTTATGTTGCTGTGGTGATTAAAACACACAGTACTGAAGGGGCTATAGGGGACAAATCAGAGAGGGATCTGCTGTTATTCAAACGGCCACAGCAGCAGAGGAGAGTAAGCTGCTTTACCTCTTCTGTTGGAATGAAAAGGCGATGATGTATCGTATTATTTATGTTTATGTAAGCCATTTTTGTGTGTGGCTGCTCGTCTGCTATGTCAGTTGAGAAAGCACACTGGTGCTGCAAGACCGCAGTGCCGCGTTGCCTGTTCTCTATCTGAGGCAATACGCCTGTGCGTCCGCGATGTTGGAGCGGTCAAGATCCACTTGTGAACAAATTCACTTGTATTGAGAGACAATGAGTCTCAGGATTAAATCAGCCACAACCTCCTTATTACTCAACTGATTTTCACCAAATTTGTTTTGTTATAATCCTCAGATTAATCTAGGCTGTATGGGCTGCTCTCAGTAGCTTTTATTCCTTTAATAACTGATCGTGCTAATTAGCCGTCCAGTCCAGCAGGAAAGTATTCAGTCTGCACCTGATGTTAAAAACTGAGTTTAGCGCAAGTAGAAACACAAACTCGCACATATCAGCAAATCCATCAATGAGTGAATCACCTCTAATCTTAATACATATAAAAATAAAATAAACCCCCAAGACACAGTAAGAAGGACGAAGCTAAAGTTGGTTTCCTGTTCACCAGCTTCTTCGAGTTTTCCTGTTTGGGAAAATTCGAACAAGAGGCTGGCAAATAAGAAGCTAACTTCAGGTTCGTGTAAGAAGGTTCTAATGTTAATTATGAATATATTATGAATATAATATTATGAATATCTACACGGATTAAGGAATGCTATAACTTACCGAGCTACAAAGCTTTAACCATCACTGTAAATAAATAACTACTACATAAAGTTAAGATCCCCTGAATAGACTATTAAATGAAATAAGCTTAATATAAAACCAGAGGAAAAACAATCACGTTCTCTGTGTCACCAACCACACGACCATATCTACACATAAACATCACACAAACAATACACATCACACAGACAGTGAGTGTGGATCGCTGTGTTCCCTCCGTTATATAATCCTGTCCCGCTTTCTGAGAGCAATATTCTTGAAATAGTGTAATTTTGGACAGTATCTTTCTTAAACTGCCGCTCTGTAATGGTACTGAATGCAGTCCAGCAGCGATGTTGGCCGCCCTAAAACGGTGGCGCCGTTGACATGCCTGGCTGGACCCAACGCGGCATCTAGGTATGTATATTTATGGGATTGGCTGTCATTATAGCACCCCCTTGCTGTAACGCTCAGATTGCAGCTCATGCTTGCATTGCGTTATGAAATGCGTCATGATACATTTTTGAACGCAACTACATGTGAAGCCCCGTCTGCGTTGCTCGAAGCGTCTGCGTTCGCGTCCTGGTGTGAAGTATGTTTCGGGCTTTAGAATTAAACAGCCTGTTTTTGTTACTGTGCCTTTAAGACTGATATTTGAAAATGAGTTCCGTTTGGATTCACTGTCCTGTATTGTGCCTTATTCAAAAAACACCCCTTATAGCTTCAGTCTGAGTGGGCGGAGCTAAACTGCTGTAGGCTGAGCAGGTCTATGTAAATGCACTGATTTTCATGACATTACAAAAACAATAAATTTAAACCTTTGAAGACATTTGGGACATGGCCTTTATGCTCCTAATGCATCATCTTGTATATTGTAAAATATTGTAATGTTCATAGATCGCCATGAACATTGAGTACTTTAGAAACAGCAATGTTTGTGATACAAACTAGAACAAAAAATAGCACAAACACTTAAAACCTTTGAGCAGTTCACTGACTTTTGTGCAGTATTTTCAGATTCATGTATTGTAAAATATGTTATTGGTGATTCTGGTGTTGTTTAAACTATAAATCATGCTCTTTCCTTTGTTTCAGGTGAATGACATTAACTTTGAGAACATGAGCAATGACGACGCTGTGAGAGTGCTGAGAGAAATAGTGCACAAGCCAGGGTGAGACGCCTCAGACTGTAAGACTGTATTGGTATTCACCTGAGAGTTTACTGGTATGTGAGTACTGGGCCTGTATGCTGAATGATGGGATGGATTTGTGTCTCTTTTTCAGCCCTATCACGCTGACCGTGGCCAAGTGCTGGGACCCGAACCCCCGCGGATGCTTCACCCTGCCCCGCAGTGAGTGTTTACTCAGTGTATGATATCTGTGGTGTAAAAGTAATGCTTGTAAACTGTGGAATTCAATCCCACCTTTTGTTAGACAGTCAAGCTCAGTACACACTTTTAACAAACACTTGAAAACGTATCTCTGTAATTACAATTTTGCAGCTCTTTTGGTATTTATCTCTTCAATTTGATCTGTTTTATTGTCTCATATGATTTTAAATGGAAATCTTCTTTTATCTCCTTCTATTTACTGTTAAGCTTTATCACCTTTCTGTAAAGCACTTTGAGCTGCCATCAGTATAAAAGGTGCTCTATAACTAAAGTTATTTTTTATAGTTATTTAAAAATGATGAATAATATTTTATTTACAGAATTTTCCTCTCACCCCAAATATATTTGCGATCAAAAATTGCAAAAAACAACTAAAACTTGCAAAAATTGCACCATAGTTGCAAAAATAGCTTTATAGTTTAACCAAGCGTGGAGCAGAGCCAGCTTAAGAGAAGTTTGACCACTTTCTTTTCTCTTTTTTCCTCCTCTTCTGCACTGAGAAGGTGATTATTAACACTGTTCAATACAGACACTGTTATTCACACATTCTCTTCTCTTTTTCATACAGTTTAACCATTTTTATTGCCTCAAAACATAAAAAACAAACAAGTAAGACATTTAAAAAGTAACACACGTACTCCAGGAGCTTAAGAAACAACAAACATATTGGCCAACAAACTCATTTTACACATTCAGCAATTTAAGTGCTAATTTGTTACAAGAAGAGCACAAAGCTACCTTATAATGATGAATTCAGCATAGAAGGAGACAAAGACTGGCTGTTTATCACTTTATTTACGTTTGTGGCTAAAATTTTGACATATGAATCAAAGTGTTAATAATGAGATTGATACTAAGGTCACTAGTATGACTAAAAAACTCTTAATGTCTTCATAGTAACATGCAGGTATGTTGGAATGAAAGGTGGAAAGCTGTTTTTCAGTCTTCAGTTCAAAAGGTTCTCACACATTGACAGGAAAAGAATGTTCCGTGGTTTCACACTGTGAATGATAAAAGCTGTAAAAGCTGAATGATAAAAGAAGTATTTTCAAAACTAAATCTACCACAGAGATGATCATTAACAGGAGAAATGGATGCCGGAACCTTCACTTTTTGTAACAGCCTTGACCCGCATAATAGGTCGTTCATTAGCCACGTTTACATGCAGCCTAATAATCCGTTAATAATCCGCCTAATTGCTCAATCGGAATAGAATACGTCCATGTAAACACCTCAGTCAGAATAGACTAGTCTGATTGAGGCCATTCGGAATACAGTTTCTATCCAATTGATCAAGGTGGGTAATCCTGTAAATAATCCATTAAATAGAAGAATAATAACCGTGTAAACGCCTGTATCTGATTACATTCCCTATCGGAAAGTTTAAGTCCGTTCTGATCATGTTCGTCGCGTCATAGTGAAAGTTTATACCGTTCAACATGGCAGAGCAGAAACTGGTCTGCAGAGGAGACGAAGTTTATGCTCTGATCTTTAAAAGACGGCGGTGGGACGGACGTCCAGCTTATGTGTCTCAGAACACGACGTCTTCCTCTCGGCCTTCTTTAATAAGGACATGTGAAGGACGTTTTCCTGAGTCTGACATCATTTTAAAGCAGTTAAAAACACAAGCGCTGCTCACTGCTGCTCGTCTCACTCTGACTGGACTCACGTGATGCTGGTTGTCATGGTAACGTCTACTCTAAGTGGTGCTCTACACATGCGTGTCATTTTAGATCGGATTACTTGTAGTGAGCATGTAAACGGAGATTTTCCATCAGACTGTTGAGTAGAGTGAGATATAAACACCTCAGTCTTAATCTATGATCAGAATGTATTCAATCAGATTGGCAAAAATCTTTGCATGTAAACACAGACAATGTTTTAACACAAAGCTCTGCTCATTTATAACCACTTATTGTTACATCCTAAACACGTTAATCTCAGACCACCAATCTGTAGTTTAGGAAGAGATAAAGATATATTAGAACGTGTCTTGGTACCTTTTATCAGCCGAAGTAAGACAGGAGATATAGCTTTACATATAGTCGTGAATTCTCTGCTGTCAACATTAAATTAAAACTTAGTCATAAAATCAGTAATGCACAAGAAGTCACCATTCTCATTCAATAAGTCACAAACAAATTGAACCTTATGTTAAAACCAAATTGGTTTAAAAGTTGATTTCATATTAATAGTAATAAATCTGTTATTCCAGAGCAAAATATTGTGAGGAGAAAAACACTTTATGCTCAGCGTGCTGATAAAACCTAGACAGCTTCATTACCTGACCACTTTCTCCTGTTTCTCCTATTAAAAACACGACCGCGAAACACTAGAGGGCGCCCGTGAGCCATTGAGTCCTCAATGAATGGAGTCCTAACTGTTTGTGTGGAAAAAAACACTTTAATTTTACTTTAATTTTAGAAAGTAGAAGGATGTATGCCATGAAAAATTAGAATCAGTATTTTTCTGTTTTCCTTCAGCAAACAGGTTCATTAGCTGAGTAAAGTGGTTCTCACTAAATGATGTGATGAACAGTAACAAAGTAAATGTAATTCATTACTGTACTGAAGTAGTTTTTCCTGTATCTGTACTTTACTGAAGTATTTCCATTTTGGGTGACTTTTTATTTTCACTCCACTACATTTTAAAGTCAAATATCTCTGTGTGGGTCCATGGGGGTCCTGACCACTGAAGAACATGGTAAAAGGGGGCTAACAAAGTATACAGAGAAACAGATGGACTACAGTCTGTAACTGTAGAACTACAAAGTGCACCTATATAGTAAGTGGAGCTGATAAAATGGACAATGAGCGTAGAAACAAGGAGGTGCTCATAATGTTATGCACTTTAAAAATACATGTTTTGGCCGTTTTCATACTTTGCAAAAATATATTTGATAAATACTTTTGGAATATATATAAATGACCCAGTGGGCTCAACCCAGTGTCTGTGTTGAGAAAACCACCCAGCATTTTTTACAGTGTGGGTAACTTAAGCCTGGGATTGAAGGCTGTCCACTGGAAATGTCCCTGACCTCTGGGTAAATCTGCCTCAAATCACTAGATTTCAAGAAAGATTTCTTAGTTTTGTTTAAGCTTTAGTAGTCTAGCGTTGTTACTGGCACTTAGCTATTCTAATTTAAATGTAATTCATATTTGCCTATTACATGAATGATAGTAGTGATGATGACTTAGTGCTTTTTACAGCAAAAATTAAGGCCTCTAAAGTTGAGGGGTCTTTGGTAATTCAGCATGTTGGACTAAACTTGACTTTTGGTGTAAATGAAATCCAGCTCTGTGAAATAAGGCGCTCCTCCCGTTTTTGGTTCAGGTGAGCCGATCCGTCCGATAGACCCTGCTGCGTGGGTGTCTCACACCGCTGCGATGACGGGGGCGTACCCTGTGTACGGTATGAGCCCTTCCATGAGCACCATCACCTCCACCAGTTCTTCCATCACCAGCTCCATTCCAGAGACCGAACGTAAGTGTTTACCCCCCACCCCGCCCCACTCCACCCCACCACGCCCGCTTCCTGTCCGTCTTCTCAGGCTGCCATCAGCTGCCAATCCACTGTTTACTGTGTGTTTATTCCATGCCCTTAACAACTGATAGGAGTTGTTGTGCTCCTACAAGACAGAGCGTAACTATGAAGCTGCAAAAGAGCACAGCGAGAGACGGGATGGTTACCGATTTTAATGCTACATTCTTGTGTAAAACCCAATAACAATCATACTGTAACACATTTTAATAACTCTGATAACTGTGTATTATTTAGTGTCTTATTAAAAAGACCCCAGTGCTCCTCCAAGTGCAAAGCTGAGAAAAGCCATGGCAGTGAAACTGCAGTCTGAAATAGTGAAACTGCATTTAAAAGTTGGAAAACAGTAGAGATTTTAATCATCCGGAGAAGCTATGACAACCCGAAAAACTGTCCTGTTTTCTGCGTGCACATATTCGACTCTGCTGTATCCTGGAACATTGATTTGAAAAAAAAAACACAAGTTAATTTTGTGCTCATTTCAATTAATTAGGTTTGTGCTAATTTTTTGTTATTGTGTCCGCTTCAGTATTAGGCGTTAGGCTGCATTCTAATTAATAACATACTAAATTTGTTTTTTGATTATTAATAAAACAACAGATTTATTAATTAAAATTTGACATAGTAGGACGTGATTTAATTGGACGATGCAGGGAACGGAGCAGTGTAAATGCAGCGTTAGGGATCGTCTCAAAAAAGCACTTTGTGGAAATTAAAAAAAATAAAAGATGAACTCCAAGTTGAACTGTTTAACATAGTTATTTTTCATGGTTAACTAAATGAGCACCAGCACAGGCCTAATTTTGAGTATTTTAACAATACCGCCACAATATTGAACCCTACAGTACTTTAGGTCACTAATATAGTGACAGCAAATTTTCATTTTGTCCTATACTAAAGCATTAGAGAGACATTTGAACAGGTCCTTTTCCAGGACTAAATTAGTTTCAGATTCATATCACTGAACTTCATAGTGATTCATGCTGCACACCTGAATCTGTTGCTAAGGGCTGAAAGACCCTGGACCCTCAGTTCCTCCCAGTGTAAACCCGTCCACATGCCTGCTGCTCTCTTCACTCTCGGTGCCCTTAACTTTACAGGGTTCGAGGAGTTTCATCTGTCCATCCACAGCGACATGGCAACCATTGCCAAAGCAATGGCGTCACCGGAGTCAGGGCTGGAGGTGCGGGACAGGATGTGGCTGAAGATCACCATCCCAAACGCCTTTATAGGTAACGACACAATCTCAAACTTCAGCTGGCAACTGTTTGAAAAAACAGACTCGCTCATTTGGTTCCTGACACTGTATATAAACATGGACAAAGGTGCAGACAATGGGCTTCATTCACCAACTGTTCATAAGAAGAAATTTCTTCATGAAGTCTACTTAGCAGTTTTAATGAAGAATCAACAGTGTTTTCTTATCTGGGATTTGTTCTGAGGTAAGAACATAACAGTTCTGCACTTTAACACGTCATGAATCTGACGTGGACTTTTTCTTAGGACCTTTATCAAGAACACGTTTCAGAAAAAACTTAGGAAGATATTGGTGAATGAGGCCCGATGTTCAGGCTTAAAAATGGGCTTTATTCGAGATAAAACGCAAACTCGAGTGTTCTGTTGCTTTTATACGACAGTTAAATAAATAAAGTAAGAAATTAATAAACTGGGTCGTGAACGCGGCGTTTAATATGTTTTAATGTTCGCAGTTCCTTCACCAAATTATAGTTCCTTAACAAGCAGCTTGTTGCTACATCAGAGTAACGAGCTCCGCCCACTCGCTGCACAGCCGGCAGTTCGTTCTCCAGCTCCACACTGACCAACTGACAGTTTGGGAATTTAGTGTGGTCTCATCTTCAGAGTCTGACCAAATCGGCTGTCGGTCAAATGTGATCTTAATGTGAAAATGTGATCCATTTTCTGTTTGTGGCAAAGTAAGAAGTAAAAACGGTCAAATGGCTTGAGCGTCTCCTATCAAAGTCGTTGCTTAGCAACGGCGTCTCAGCGGAGTGATACAGTGTTTGTGAAAAATCTGTGATGTTATGGCGAAATAACAGCACCGTTAGAACGCTTCTCAACCAATCAGCTTGCGTTGTACTGTTGTATGAAGTGTAAGAAACCACATAATCAAGTCTATTACAGATTACTGAAAGGGGCCCCAGACCAAATAAAAAATGTAACCAAAAAATGTCACTACATCTCTCGTAAACATGGTTACTCACACCCTACAGCTGTGCAGCAATATTATCAAGAGTGAGATTTTCCAGTTTTACTAGAAATACCAACTTCTGATGATGTATCTTGGAGGTGGGAGGAAGGTATGAATAACTACAACAGGATGGATATTTCTACTTATTCAGTGTATTCAATGTATATATATATATATTGCTATTGTCGGAAGAAAACCTAGTATCTCCATTTTGGACGTTTTTCAGTTTTTGACATAATTTGAAAATACCTGTGGTCCTATATTTTTTTGTCATGTCATGACGAATGGACCAACAGAAATGACCCAAAATGACTTAACTACATTAAAAGTAAAGAAGTTTTTTCCTTCTGCTGTAAAGTTACCATTTTGGAGATACGAGGTTTTCTTCCGACAACAGCGATATGTATTTATATGTATATGTATATGTATATGTATAGCAGTTTAGCCCCACCCATTCACACTAAAGTTATAAGGAGTGTTTCAGTTCACACTGCTTTTTGAATGAAGCACAATACAGGGCAGCCAATCAAAAAAGAGGTCATTTACATGTATCGGTTTTAAAGGCACAGCAACAAAAACAGCCTGTTTAATTTTAAGGGATAAAGATGAATGAAATGATTTATGACTCATAAAAATGAACCTCAGAACTAAAAATAAAAATACAAGAAAAATATAGGATTTGAACCCTTTAGTGCTGATACATTCTAGTAGCTCTACATAGAAACTGTACATTATTGTTATGTCTGTCCTCAGTCAGAGGTAAGTAAGTACTCAATAGTGTGCTGTAGCTGAGTGTCTCTGTGTTCCTCCAGGTTCAGACGTGGTGGACTGGCTCTTTCACCATGTGGAAGGTTTTACTGACCGACGAGAAGCACGCAAGTACGCAAGCAACTTACTGAAGGCTGGCTACATCCGCCATACTGTCAACAAAATCACGTTCTCCGAGCAGTGCTACTATATCTTTGGAGATCTCTGTGGCAGTGAGTTTGTGGATTTTTTTTTCTTTATTTAAATTTTTTTTTACTTGGATCTTTCCCCCTTTTTCCACTGTTTCCAGCTTGATTCATTGTGTTATTTTATTTAGGAGTTAACTTTATTTTCCCATTGTATACCCCTCCTTCCCTCTTTCTCAGACATGGCTAATCTCACCCTGCATGACCATGATGGTTCTAGTGGGACATCTGACCAGGACACTTTGGCCCCCCTGCCTCACCCTGGTGCGGCCCCGTGGCCCCTCGCCTTTCCCTACCAGTACCCCATCCCTCACCCCTACAATCCTCACCCACTGCACGAGCCCACTTATAGCTACACGGCTGGCGGAGGCAGTGCTGGCAGCCCACACAGTGAAGGTAAGAACAGCCAGCATTGTTGGGCCTGTAGGCCACTTAGAACCATGGCTGTGACAGAAATGGACCCCTTTTGTATTTTATGCCAGTATTGAGTACGTTGGTCATTTGTCTCTTAAGCCCTACTGGAGCAGAATTCGGAGATGCGTGATTTTAGTCCAATATGAATCTGTTTTGTAGTGAATGTGTATTGTAGGTTTTACAAGTCTGCTAAGAAATAATTCTGGAGCAAATGATCTTCTAGAATTCATCAAATTCGGAGCTCCTTCAGTAATAGTAATGCTGTTCAAATCAACCTCACAGTAATGTAATAACAAATCCTGGTAATAGAAAACATACATACATACATCATCTAAACCGCTTATCCTTCTGGATTGCGGTGGGGTGCTGGAGCCTATCCCAGCTATCATTGGGCGGAAGGCAGGATACACCCTGGACAGGTCGCCAATCCATCACAGGGCAGACAGACAGACAGACATGCATATACAATCACACACATTCACACCTAGGGGCAATTAAGCATGTCCAATCGGCCTGACCGCATGTTTTTGGACTGTGGGAGGAAACTGGAGTACCCGGAGGAAACCCACACAGACACAGCACTTTTGTTTTTGGCAAGAGAGAGATGAGGCTAACTGGTAAAATGGACCTCTTGGCATAGTTTCTTCATTCTCATCCAAAATAGTACTGGTGTGATGTAAACCATTTTGCTAGTAAATCAACCAGTTAACAAAATTCAGTCGACTATCCGGTTCAGTCTCACTAGCCACACCTAGGCATGATTACTGTTGAATCTAAACATCACTGAAATAGAACCTGTCTGGTAATGTGAAGCAGCTAGAAGGTCTCAAAAAGCAGCACAAAATGCCACGTTCTGAAGAGATGAAATATAGATGCAATACAAAGTCATTGAAATCTACCAGTCTGGAAAGAGTTACACAGCCATTACTAAGGCTCTTGGACTCCAGCAAACCACAGTGAGAGCCATTATCCACTAATGGAGAAAACTCATCCAGGAGGTCACAAAAGAACCCAGACAAACATCTGAAGAACTGCAGGCCTCACTTGCCTCAGTTATGGTCAGTGTACATGATTCCACAATAAGAAAGACACTGGACAAAAATGGCATCCATGGGAGAGATGCAAGCCACAAACCACTGCTGGCCAAAAAAAAACACAAAGTCTCGACTTGCATTTGCAAAAAAACATCTTGATGGCCCCCAAGACTTTTGTGGAACTTCTTGGAAGACATGGGTCCTGTTACATCTGGTGTAAAGCTAACACCGCATTCCACCTTAAGAATATCATACAAACAGGGAAACACGGTGGTGGTAGTGTGATGGTCTGGGGCTGCTTTGCTTCTTGTCATAATTGATGTAACCATGAATTCTGCTCTCTATCAGAAAATCCTGAAGGGGAATGTCCGCCCGTCAGTTTGTGAGCTAAATGTCAAGTGCAGTTGGGTTATGTAGTTGGCCAGTGATCCAAAGCACACAAGCAGGCCCTCCTCTGAATGGCTCAAAGGACACAAAATTAAGGTTTTGGAGTGGCCAAGTCAAAGTCCTGACTTAAATCCCGTTGAGATGCTGTGGCAAGACCTTAAATGGGTAGTTGATGCTCGAAAACCCTCCAGTGTAGCCGAATTAGGCAGCTGTTGCTTTTTCACATGGGTGATATAGGACCTGAAGAAATCTAAAATAAATGGAAAGATCGTTTAAAAACTGCGTGTTGTGTTTAGTCATGTTGTCTTTATCTTATACTAAAATTAGTTGAATGATCTGAAACATTTAAATGTGATTGATTAGCAAAAGTAGAAGAAATTGGAAAGGGGTAAATACTTTTTCACACACTGTATCACCACATTGTAGGTCACTAAATGTAGACTAAAGTGAATTGCGTATCTTGTTACTAATCAATGGATGGAGGAATAGCTGGTGAGCTTGTTGCAAACTAAACTTATGTCTCGACTGTCTAACGAAACAGCTGAAAATAACACACTTGTTTGCTCACATTCATCACATTATTATTATTATTATTATTATTATTATTATTATTTCTCTATTTCATTTTATTCTTTTTCCCCTACTCACAGGTAGTCGCAGCAGTGGTTCAAACCGCAGTGGCACTAAAGCAGGCGCATTGGAGACGAAGTCTGGCGGTAGTGGGAGTGAATCGGACAAAAGAGAGAAGGCCCCCAGCGAACGCTCAGCGGCGCCCCCTAGCGAGCACAGCGTCCGCAGTATACACAGCGTCCGCAGCGTCCAGTCGCACGGCCAAAGCGTGGTTTACGGACCTCCCGGCCTGCCCCCACAGCCTCCCCCCGTAGCAGCTGCGCCTGGATCTCCTCCGGGCCGGGATTTAGCCTCAGTGCCCCCAGAACTCACAGCCTCACGCCAGTCCTTCCGCATGGCCATGGGAAACCCCAGCGAGTTCTTCGTGGATGTCATGTGACGAGCTTCACATGGATGCTTAGGGTTGACTTTGACAGCTGAAGAGGAGGAGAGAGGCTTCTGCAGTGATATTGACCCGTGTACGTGACGACGAGGGCAGTGTTAAGTGTCCCACACATTATCCCTCCCGTGTTCTGTGGCTTGTACTTTCTTCAGTGAAGAATACTCGGCTAGGTGAAGCACTCGCCCCTTTAGAAGATCCCTCAGAGGCTGGCTCTGCGGGGATAGAGGGATGGGGGTCAGAGCGGGGTGAAAGCTTTTTGTTCCGTGTCCCTTTTTTTTATGTACTCTTTCCAGCATTTGCAGCTTTTTTTTTTCTCCCGCTAGTTTTTCTTCACCTTGGTCAAAAAAGCCCTTTTTATCAAAGACTACTAAAATCAGAAGAGCAACAAATAGGACGAGGGAGAATGAAGGGAGGTGTTCTCTCTCACTGTGACTTGTCTTTTGCTTTCAAAGGATGAAGTGAAATCATTTCATAATGATTTAAAAACGCGAACAAACACTATCATGAGAAAACTATAGACATCTGTTTTATATTTGTCTTTTTTTTTCTTTGTCAGTAGTCATACGGAGAGTGGGAAAGAGAGGAGGGGCTACAAATCCTGTCTGGTGACTTCATTAAATTTGTAGTGATTTTTTTAAATTGAGTTGAAAGAATAAAAAATAAGAAATTTCTTAATAAAACAAGGGTTCAGACTGGGGCTGCAACTATTTTCATAGTCAATTTCTCGGTCCATTATGATTTTGATTAATCTGTTCATCAGAATGAGAATAAATCCATTAAATAATTAACATTAGTAGTATTATTGTTATACAGTATACAGTATATAGATCATATTTGCAAAAAAAGGACTTTTACGAAGGATACAGTAACAAATCTTCTGCATTGATCTTGAAAACAGTATGAAAGATTCCAAAACAATAAAGTAACAATTATTTTAGCTTTATTTAAAAAAAAAACATTGATCTTCTAGATCATATTTATTAAAAAAGGACTTTTATGAAGGATACAGCAAAAGCAACAGATCTTCAGCACTGATCTTGAAAACAGTATGAAAGATGCAAAAAACAGGAAAGGAACAAATTATTTTACCTTAATACTAAAATTATCGCCAAATTAATTTGTTTATTTTAGGGACGTGCAGACAGTGACACATTTTGACTTTGGACTCCAGTATCATGCTGAGCTTTTACATGGATGCAACTGAGAAAACAAATCACCCATACATTAACAGTCCTACTGTCATACCAGCTGAGCTCGGTTTGACACAGTTTACAGGAACCCGTTATCGTTGATGATCTTAAGGGGGCACTATTCACTCACATCCCTGGAAGACACGTCCTTTGCCAAGTTTTGCCTGAGTTCTCTGGGAATACTCTTTTAACGCACACAGAATCATAAGATTCATCCACTCGGGGAAGGGGTCCAAAGAACGACACATGCAAAATGCTCTTCCACACGCTGTCTGCAGTTACACATTATGACCAGAGAGGTCTCCAAATCTCCAAAACCTACATAGTGTAGCTTTAAAGTGGTGTTTCCATATTTTGGACTTTTTTATTTGTCGGTTATCTGTATTTTCTTAAATTAAGTGTAACATTAGATTGAAATTGTAACATTAAATGAAAATTGTGAACATTGTCAAGTGAATTAATCAATATCAAGATTCAAGGTCAGACATTTTTTTCATTGATGTTATTGATTTAATCATTTGTTGTTGCAGCCCTAGTTATAGCACTTTCAGTGCTTGGACCCCTAATTAAATAAGCTGATATGGAAAGCACACAAATTTAGTACTGTCCTGCACAGTGTCTCTATTTAATGATGACCTTAACATGAAGTTTAATTCAATAGACAAGCGGTCAGGCTCAGGCAGAAGTTTGTGACACCTGAATGAACAAATAAGGAATAACGTCACCCTCGTCTCTCTCTCTCACTCTTCTCAAAGCAATCCATCACTTACATATCTTCCTCTTCTTTTATCAATAACATTAACATTCAGTATTCTTACAGTCTTTCTTTGTATTTCTGTAAACCTTCCATTATTTTTCCAAAATACATTTATCGCAAGTTTGTAATGATTAGAAACCGATACTGTACAGTATCAAATGGTTCAATTTAATCATCACTGTACACTGTTTTATGCCAAAACAAATTGTTTTTATTTATAAACATAGTTTTATTGCCTAAGCTTTGAGTCCTCTGAATCTTTTTCATGAGTCATCTGCAAACTGCTTTCAGGTAAGTGTGGATAAGATGGAGAAACTCCATCAGCTCCTTTTAACAGGACGTGTTATGATGTGTCCCACTATTTTACTGCATAATTTAAGTAAATTATACTTCTAACACGGTACCTTCAGGTTTCTGGTATCTTCAACTGCTGTCATCTATTTTAAAGGGACATTCTGGCCTAAAACTAGCATTTAATATGTCAATTGTTGGGCAGAGCAGCATCCCTCAGCCATCATCAGTTTGACAGAATTCACAATTTAGTATCCATCAGTGTTCTCTCACTGCCCATTGGTAACCTCCCTCACCACAATGACAAAGAATATCCACTGATGTGCTGCTGATGAAGCTAATAATTACCGACATCCTGCTTCCTATTATTCTTCCTTCTGCATAAGACAGCAAGTGGAAAAGAAGAATCATCTCAAACAGCCTGTCCTCAGGTATCTGCCCCAAAGCGCTTATAGTTTTCCCCTCACCTTCAAAATACGTCATCAAAAGGTTGTTGTCCAAGTCTTTAAACCGGAAAATCTCACTCTCCAGGCCAAAGGTGGTATCCATGGAAGTCCAGAGAGGCTATGAGGTAGTTACAGCAGCTGGATTGTTATTTTGAGATAACTGGTTAATTATCTTGTGATCTCAAAATTAACAAAGTTGTTATCTTAAAATAACAAGTTACTTATTTTGTTATCTCAAGATAAAAGTTCATGGCCTCTCCTACAAAGCCCCGCTGGTGACATCCTGTATAAATAAAAGCAATGCGTGGCCACAACCTAGTAAGGCGTGGGAATGAGATGATTAAATCGTGGCCACGACTTAGTAAAGCATGGGAACAAGATCTTAATGCGTGCCCACGGCTTAATAAGCCATGATCTCGTTCCCACGCCTTACTAAGTTGTGGCCACGCATTATTTTTATTTATACAGGATGTCACCATCAGGGCTCCGTACTCTGGACTTCCACAGGTACCTCAGTAGGAGGTGAGTAGTTCTGTTAACAGGTGTAGAAATGGTTACATTTTTGTTTTGGCTGGAGTCCTTTAACATCGTAAGATGGCCCAAAAAAGCAGTAAAATGTCTTGCTTTAAGACTGGGTATGAAAAATGTTCACTATCGACACCAGTACTGCTGATTCGACTCCAGTACTGACTCCTGAATGATACTTTTTTTTATTCTTTGAGCTATAAACAAAGTGGGTGCATTTACAAGCCGCAGCGGTCTGCAAACTGACCAAGACGTAAACATGCAAGACATACACGCACAGTATAATTTAGACAGCCAGTAAGCAGTCTAGATTTTGGAATAAGCATGTTTATCTCATGGATGCTAAGATTAATAAGACTGGTATTGAATGACATGGATTTTCTTGACACTGTAGTACAGAAGCCTTGCTGGACATGCATGTACGTAAAACAGATTTACTGAAGGACAAACAGTTATATCAGATTTTCAATTCTACTCTCTGGTCACATCCTTTTTGCAGTGTGCATTTTAGTTTTTCCTGCTCGAACACACCTAGTTTAAGCTCATTAAGTGTTTGGAAATGGTTTCCTGAGTTTAATTAGGTGTGTTAGAGCAAACAAACAAACAAACAGTAAACAGTAAACTGTGCAAGACAGGGTGGATCCAGGAACAGCACTGGAAAAACTTGTCTCATATAGATATTTTAATGAATAAGCAAGCTTAAAATGTAGTATACTGGAAGCAAGGGGAGACACTGGTTTAATATTATAAATAATTACAGTAAAGAAGCTCTTCATGGTGTCTAAAAGGAGATGTTAGAGCAGGAAAACACTGAAATGCACATTACAGAGTGACCTATGGGGACATGGTTGGTTTAATATCATATAACATGATAAGTAAGCACTTCATGAAGTTCAGTTGTGCAGTACAGGTGACCTGCAGCTTTGAAAAACACCTGATCAACAGAAACAGTCAATCTGAAAGTGTTCATGCAGACTGAGGCCAAATATCTCTAAGAACAGTAACACAATTCACACCAATCAGGCATAACATTCTGACCACCTCCTTGTTTCTACGCTCACTGTCCATTTTATCAGCTCCACTTACTATATAGGGGCACTTTGTAGTTCAACAGTTACAGACTGTAGTCCATCTGTTTCTCTGATACTTTGTTAGCCCCCTTTTACCCTGTTCTTCAGTGGTCAGGACCCCCATGGACCCTCACAGAGCAGGTACTATTTGGGTGGTGGATCATTCTCAGCACTGCAGTAACACTGACGTGGTGGGTGTGTTAGTGTGTGTTGTGCTGGTACGAGTGGATCAGACACAGCAGGTCTGCTGGAGTTTTTAAACACTGTGTCCACTCACTGTCCACTCTATTAGACACTCCTGCCTTGTCAGTCCACCTTGTAGATGTAAAGTCAGAGACGATAGCTCATCTGCTGCTGCACAGTTTGTGTTGGTCATCCTCTAGTCCTTCATCAGTGGTCACAGGACGCTGTTGGCTGGATATTTTTGGTTGGTGGACTATTCTCAGTCCAGCAGTGACACTGAGGTGTTTAAAAACTCCAGCAGCACTGCTGTGTCTGATCCACTCAGACCAGCACATTGGTTGAGAAGCGTTCTAACCGTGCTGTTATTTCACCATAATATCACGGGTTCTTCACAAACACTGTGCCACTCCGCTGAGACGCCGTTGCTAAGCAACGACTTTGACGGCTGTAGGAGACGCTCAAGCCATTTGAACGTTTTTACTTCTTACTTTGCCACAAACAGAAAATGGACACTTTTAAGATCACATCTGACCGACAGCTGATTTGGTCAGACTCTGAAGATGAGACGACACTAAATTCCCAAACTGTCATCACCTCTGAGCAGCTTTTCAGTCGGCAGCTGTGACAGAAGAACCTAAACAACCTGGAATCAGCCAGAAATGAACCCAACACCATTCGCCAAACTAAATGGGCTGTAAGATGCTTTACAGACTGGCTGGAACAAAACAACATTAATACTGATCTGGCAAAAACTGACAAAACTGAGCTAAACTTGATATTGCGGCAGTTTTATGGCTCAGTCCGAACTTCAAAAGGCGAGGCTTACAGCAGACTGAGCAGCGAGTGAGTGGGGTTTGTTATTCTGACGTAGCAATAAGCTGCTTGTTAACTATAATTTGGCAGAAGGAACTGCGAACATTAAAACATATTAAATAACGTTCACGGCCCAGTTTATTAATTTATTACTGTATTTATTTAACTATTGTATAAAACCAATAGAACACTCGAGGTCGTGTGTTATCATGAATAACATCGTGGCTGTGATGATCTACGGTGATGTTATTTCGCGATAACACTCCCTCTCATGTTTTATTGCTTAAATCACAAATGTTTGTTGCCATTTTTTCAGTGCATGCATAATCCTACACTCTCAAACATGATGGTTCTTCAAGGGTATTTTAGTAAAGGGGAATGGTTATACCTAGAACCATGAGTTCTACCATTTTCTTTACTAAAGAACCCTTGAAGAACCATCTTGTGTGTACACTCTCAAAAAAGATGATTTCGTCAAGGGTACTTTAGTAAAGTCAATGGTTCTATTTAGAACCATAAGTTCTATATAGAACCATCTCATGCTTAAATGGTCCCTTGTCCATGGTGACAAGGTTCTTCAGCTTGATGGAGAAAGTGTTGTATGTGCTTCTATATAGAACCTTTTCGAAAAGTGTTTTATATAGCACCAAAAAAAGGTTCTGCTATTATTATGATGTCAGGCTTTTTTCAATTTAAGAACCCTTTTTGGTGCTATATAGAGCTCTTTTCAAAGAGGTACAGCACATTCTCCATCAATCTGAAGAACACTTTCACTTCAATCGTGCAAATAGGTTCTTTGAGTGTTCATAGTTCTTTCTAGAAACATTTTCTTTACTAAAGAACCCTTGAAGAACCATCTTGTGTACACAAGTCAATGGTTCTGTTTAGAACCATAAGTTCTATGTAGAACCATTTCATGCTTAAATGGTGAAAAGGTTCTTCAGATTGATGGAGAATATGCTGTATATGGTTCTATATAGAACTTTTATGAAAAAGGTTCTATATAGCACCAAAAAGCATTCTTCTATTGTTATATTCAGCCTTTTTTTTGGTGCTATATAGAAAACTTTTTGAAAAGGTTCTATATAAATCCATCTACAGCACAATTTCAGTCTGAAGAACACTTTCACAATGCAAAGAACCCTTTAATCATGCAAAGGGTTCTTTGAATGTTAATGGTTATATATAGAACCATTTTCTTTTTTTCATTTCTAGAACGCCTGAAGAACCATCTTTTTCAGTGTGTACATTCTCAAGAATGATGGTTCTTCAAGGGTGCAGTAAAGGGAATGGTTATACTTAGAACTATGAGTTCTGTATGGAACCATTTTATGCTTGAGTGGTTCTTTGCATGATGAAAAGTTCTTTAGATTGATGGAGAATGTGCTGTATATGGTTCTATATAGAACTTGCAAAGAATGCAAAGAACCCTTTAATCATGCAAAAGGTTCTTGAGTGTTCATGGTTCTATATAGGACCATTTTCTTTATTAAAGAACCCTTGAAGAACCGTTTTTTTTCAGTTCTCATTCTCAAAAAAGATGGTTCTTCAAGGGTGTTTTAGTAAAGGGAATGGTTACCATTTCATGCTTGAATGGTTCTTTGCATGGTGAAATGGTTCTTCAGATTGATGGAGAATGTGTCGCATATGGTTCTATATGCCAAGCTTGTTATAGAACCATATACAACATCAACCTGAAGAACTATTAAAGCATGAAATGGTTTTATATAGCACTCGTGGTTCTAAATAGAACCGTTCCCTTCACTAAAGGACCCTTGAAGAATCATGTTAGAAAATGTGCATCGATCCATAATCTTTCAAAAAAGAATCGCGGTGTATCTGAGAATCGATTGTTTTTCGCCCACCCACTAATACTGTGCACATCGTGCTGTTTTGCAGCAGTACAGTGAGAGCGGACGGAGGCTTGGGAGCGGCAGGGTTGCCAGCTCGGGCGTTTTTAATCTGGCAACCGGGTTGGGGAGCGGTCGGACATCTTGATGAGGATGAGCTGCTGAGAGACCGCAGTGTGACCAGGGAGCTCTGCCTCAATAACAGCGAATAAATTACATTTAGTGCTCCTTTTCGGGCACATCCAGACAGCCGTCGGTGAGTGTGAAGGTCTGTTTTAGCTGTTAACGTAAATTGAAATCTCGAAAAATCTCCAAATCTGAATTTGGAAAGCGGGACGCGGAGCTTTAGCTTAGCCACGACTAGCTAAGGGAGCTAACACAAGTATTTTTACGAGGCTGAAGTTGGCTTCCTATTCGCCAGCTTCTGGTTCGGATTTTCCCGTTCCACCTTAAATGCTGCAGCAGTTACGGTCTGGCCCCTGAAGCGCTGAAATGTAATTGCTGCAGCATTTAAGGTGGAACGGGAAAATTCGAACCAGAAGCCGACGAGTAAGAAGCTAGTAGTAGTATTTTTTGGCAAAATTGTGTGTGGGGACATATATTTAAGCCGACTACCCGTAGAAACAATAATTTACGATTTAATAAACGGTGTGTCTTTAACGTTATTTAAAGAATAGTGGTGCCAAAATCGTAGCTAGCTTGTTTGCTTGTTTGTCACCCTGACACGAACTGGTTAGCTTAGCTTATTTTAGCATAGCCAGCAGTGATGGTCAGATCACTTAATCGCATTTCAAACGCTGATTTCGTTTCAGAATAAAAATGTATTTGATTAATTTCATAGCTTAGACGTGGGTAGTAATCTTAACCACGATATTATTTCACCGAAATCAAGAAAATCAGGGACAGTTTTTCCGTTGAGTGGTAGTTGGCTAGTCAACATTAAGCTAAACGTACAGCGAAAATGTTAATATTTTCTGCTCTAATACATCTAATTTAAATCATCGACTAATTACCAAACACTCCATGGGGTTAAAATAGGTGTTTGAACTGGACAATGGCTAAAATGTGCATTTACATGGTTGGGAAGCTGCCATAATACAGCACCGCCTGACCGTCGCAGTGGCGCTGGTCGACATGTTGGATGCTGCAGTTCAATGAAATAGCGTTAGTGTGGATCATGCAAGACGAGAAATACAGCGGTTTTCTTCTTAAACCATTTTATTATGTCAAATTATTTCGTACAGGGGTTCGTTTTGTTACGTGTGCTATACTAGTGATGCAGTGTGCTGTCTTCATCGTGACACGACCTAAAGTTCACTATGTATTGATCATTTTAACCTATAGTAGTCAGATTGTACCAGCTGTTATTATGCTTCTCAAAGCCAAATGTGAAATTTGTCTGTGTCTAATCTGTGGAGCCCCTTTAGGTGACATTGTGATTATTTTTTAATAAGGCGTGGCCACCAATTAATATTTTGAGGCCACGAGTTAATATATTGAGGCCATGGGGTAATATATTGAAGCCACAATTTGCTATATTTAGGTCAGACATTACTACATTGAGGCCAGAATGTGCTATATTCAGCCCACAAATTAATATATTGAGGCCACAAGTTAATATGTTGAGGCTATGGGGTAATATATTGAAGCCACAGATTACTATTTTGAGGCCACAATTTGCTATATTTAGGCCAGACATTATTATATTGATGCCACAGATTACTACATTGAGGCTAGAATATGCTATATTGAGGCCACGGGTTAATATATTGAGGCCATGGGGTAATATATTGAAGCCACAGATTACTATTTTGAGGCCACAATATGCTATATTCAGGCCACAAATTAATATATTGAGGCCACAGGTTACTACATTGAGGCCACAAATTAGTATATTGAGGCCACGAGTTATGAGAAACTTAACTATTAAATAATATTATTAAATATTATTTAATAATAATCACTGTGTGACCTTGGGGGCTCCATACTAATTAGTGGTTGTGAATGTCCTAATTATACTTATGAAGGTAATGTATAGGTGTGGGGTTATATAAGCTCCAACATTATATAACCTGCACATTCACTAGTTTGTCTGATATGGTGAATAAAGCTTTTAGTTTGCTGATTTATTAGAGTTCATATACAGGGTGTCCCAAAAAAGGTGACATCATTTTAGATGTGACTATCTGAGTAACTACATGTCCTGGACAAACTAAATTAAATAGGCTTCATGTTGAACAACACAAGATTTATTTATCAAAATTCGAACAAGAAATTCAGAGGGATGTAGATTTTATAACCGATTTCACAGCTTCACAGATGTAATATCTTCCGATGCTGGTGGTCGTCCAGATCCCTTCGCCCTGCACAGACAGCCTTCCTCTTTGAATTTTTGGTGCCATGTCCAAATCTGCTTTCCAGCTGGTGCATTTTTTAAAATTGCACGCTGCACACTCTTGTTTGACTGTGTTCGAGCAGATTCTAACACACAAAACGCCTTTTCATTTCTAGTGAAGGCCATTCTTCAACCTGAAAAAACATTAAAAATTAAACTTGGTTAGTTTTTACACATTTTGTTGAAATTTGAGATCATTTGAGGGAGAATTGGCTGTTATTAGACTACGAAATGATGTCAGTTTTTTTGGGACACCCTGTGTCATATAGGCACGTGCAGGTGGTTGAGAGCAGGGAGCGTTCATTTTAGTACTTTTAATTCAATAATTACATACAACGTCTTCTTAAATTAAGATGTGCCCAGTGTATTTGCTTACCACTAAAAAAAAATGGAAATAAACAGACTGACCAGATTGTTTTGTTGTTAAAAAAAGACTCCTGAGAGACCTTGTTTTATTATCCACTTGAGACTGTAAAGGTAGTGTGTCTCATCCGGGTGTCCTTGTTGTCTCTTAGTTGGTTTCTCTCTTCTCAAGAGCATTAACACTACCAGGTGTATTTTTAGGTCTTCCTGAAAGGAGAGGATTAGCGAGGGGCTCACAGGTTGAGCTTTTGCTTTCCTGCCTCTTTATTATGGATAAGTGTTAAATTCAAAGGTTTGTCACACGTCTGTGAAGCAAAATTTGTTTTAAAATATGACTTTTTTTGTATTAATTCAGTGTACTGGCTGGTTGCTGCTTGGGATGTAACAGTACAGTATTTTGTGTTGAATTATGTTACAACATTTTGTTGTACTGTGGATAACATGTTAAATCAGGACACTGTAAAGCACAGCTTTTGTTTCAAGATGTACTTTAAATGTTCGAATGCTTTAATAAACTGAAAATGGAAACAAGTAACATTTTAACCAAAGACACATTTTCAGTCACTCGATTTTTACTGTTAAAAATTGAGACATCACCATATTTTATTGAATTGAAACATAATTTCCTGAACCGTTACACTCACAGTCACCACTGTCCTTTTGCAGCTTCAAGACTATTTAAGATTCAGGTGTTTGTTATGTGCAGAGACCTCTGCTCTACGTCCTGGACTACAAGTTGTTTATACAAACACTAGAAATTCTAAGTAAAGAAAACACGAAAACAGAATAAGAGCAAGAAAATATACAACATATCGTCGCTGTCCAAAGAAAAACAAGTATCTCCAAATTAGTGACTTTACAGGAGAAGTCAAAAACACTCTTTCAGTGTGAGTTAATGTAAAGAGGTTTTATTGCAGGTGATTTTAGAGCATTTCTGTTGGTCCATTCATCATGAAATTTGACAGCTGGTGTGTTGAAATGATGTAGAAAACTAAAAATGGACAAAAATGGAGATTTTCGTTGGACAGTGTCAATATATATCTCGCTGTTGTTGGAATAAAACCTCCAAAATGGTAACTTTACAGGAGAAGGAAAAAACATACTTTACTTTTAATGTAAGTCAATGGAACCAGACGTTTTTCAAGTCGTTTTCGACCGTTTCTCTTGCTCCGTTCATCGTGAAATTTACACACACAGTGTAAAAGGCAACAGGTATTTACAAATTATGTCAAAAAACGAAAAATGGAGATATGAGATTTTGTTCCAACAGCAGCAATATATATATATATATATATATATACACACACACACACACACACACACACATATCACTGTTGTCGGAAGAAAACCTCATATCTCCAAAATGGTAACTTTACAGGAGAAGGAAGAAACCTACTTTACTTTTAATGTAAGTCAATAGAACCAGACTTTTTTCAAAGTCATTTTGGGTCATTTCTTTTGGTCCATTCATCATGACATTTAACACAATGTAAAGGGCAACAGGTATTTCATCATATTTCATGTCAAATCATGTCAAAAACTGAAAAATGTCAAAAATGGAGGTTTTCTTCCGACAACAGCGATTTACTTCTGTAAATAGAATATACAGTGACATATTTCTGGGCAAGTCTGGTCCAAAACCTCAGACATTTTCCTTTGATCCAGCAGTGGTAGACATTCAACACAGAATACTTAAAACTTCAGTGTTATAAGATTAATCCTTATATCTTGATATTAGGCAACACAGCTTACTGCATGATGTCACTGAATATAAAATTACAAACGACACTAAACCAAGGCGAAGCCAGTTTTATACCAGAAACGATGCAGCGCAGCAGCAAAGAGGAACTTGCAGTGCTTGGTTTTACACTTGGGTCGTGAATGACAAACACTGCAGGGTATTTTGTGCATGCTCACAGTGGCAAGATATATTTTTGAATGTTTCTTCCATTCTCACTTGCATGCCACTTGATGCGGAAAGTGTAAATCAGGCATTGCCCTGTACTTTGTGCATGCAGCAGGGCTTGCAACGCGAGGTTGTTATAAAAGGCCTCGCTGATAACAGCAGTGGCAGTGGTTAGATGGAGAATCACTGTGGTTACCGTTTCTGATCTAATCCACTTTATCAGGGTTTTGATCTGTTGGAAAGTACATCACAGTCACAGTGTACCATACTATAATCGCAAGATTTGCATACATGTTGTCGTTTTGTCATATGCATGTTGTGACCTAACCAGAGTAATGAACTGCTGCATGGATTCCTTCCCTAAATCACCCTTTACAGAAGTTACATGGGGAACTTTTATTTATCTGAGCCAAATCAGTCAGGGATCTGGAGAATCAAGACATTTTTAACACATCAAAATATTGAAAATCAAATCCTTAGAAATGCAAATCATATTAAACTTTAAAATTGTTGTTCAGCCAAATATAAAAAAAAACAGCTGTCATTTAGCCTTGTTACACCGCCTTCATGCACATCAGTCTTTGTCTGCATTGCCTCAGAAAACAGCCTGATTTTCCTGCCAAGCTCCATATTTGATGCAAATGCGAATAGATGCTGGAAATAGCACAGCGCTGTTATGACGTGGCAGACTTATTGCTGGGTTGATGTGGCTTCCGTGAGTTTCTCGCTAATGCCCTCATCATTTCAGGTTATTGTGTGTCTGTAACCTCGTTTCTCTTCCTTCCAGTTTTCCCACCATGGCCAGCGAACACTAAGCAAAGGCTGCCACCATGATCGGAGGACTTTTCATCTACAACCACAAGGGCGAGGTGCTGATCTCCCGCGTCTACCGTGATGACATAGGGTGAGAGCCGCTCGGTCCGTTAGCGTCCGATTTGTGTCAGGACTGGAGGATATCACGGGCTAAGTGGACAGAGCATAGGGTTTGTGGTTTGGGTGTGGCGAGGGGAAGGAAGATAGCCGCCAGAGGTTTTGTAACCGTGTGATCTGCTGTATTATCCAGTATTTTAAGCAGAGTTTAAGCACCACATCCAGTTCAACCTACATTAACATTTGTTTCAAGTCAGTTGTTGAAGCCTTTGCAGTTAAGTGTGAAATTATGTTTTTGTCTGTGAAAACTAGTTATCATAATTAAGTAAGTTTTGGCACATATTTGCCTGGAATATCGCTGCTGTTGGAAGAAAACCTTGTATCTCCAAAATGGTAACTTTACAGGAAAAGGAAAAAACATACTTCACCTTTAATGTAAGTCAATGGAACCAGACTTTTTTCATTTTTTTCTTTTTGTCATTTTGGGCCGTTTCTTTTGGTCCGTTCACCATGAAATTTACATAGAATGTAAAGGACATCAGGTATTTTCAAATGATGTCAAAAACTGAAAACCGACAAAAAATGGAGATGCAAGGTTTTCTTCCAATAGCAGCGATATATATATATATATTTGCATTGGACAGATGTTAAGATTTTACTGGTATTTCTTTTTTTATATAATTTAATATTTATTTAAATTTAACATAGAGGATAAAAATAAGCAAGAATACAACCAGGAATGTCAAATACAATGTTCAGTCTCTATCCACCCTCCCCTCAACATATTGTGCAGCAGAAAAAACACAGGTGCTGACCGTTAGGTTAAATTTGACACAAGGTTTGTAGCCAGTGTTTATGAGATTATAAGGGTGAAAATTGTCTTTAAACAAAGATTCGACCAATATTTCATTCCAGTATTTGATGACGTGTTTATTATACTCTGAAAGAGTGGAACGTTTAGGTGACGCTGGGCTGCTGTGATAAAATATCTGCAGTTTTTTAATTTTACTGCATTTGTAGCTCTTTACAAATATGTTACATTTCTCTGTCGTGCTTGAACCAGTTTTTACTTTTTATAAATATTTACTTATCAGCATCAGCACATATAAACATCAGATATCGGGATCGGCCCACAATTGTTGTTGTCTCTAGTGAAAACATAGTGGCCTGTCCTTTCACATATAAGGGACATTTTAACTCCTAGGGGTGTAAAAGTGCATTGATATGCCGAGATTAGAGATGTCACGGTGCCACTTCGTCTACTATGATGTCCCACCATCTACAGTACATAATATCATCAAAGGATTCAGAGAATCTGGAGAAATCCCTATACGCAAGGGACAAGGCCGGAATTGGGGTTGTACAACATCACTATACTTCAGGATGTTTTCCCGATTCCCAATATGTGTCACAGTTTTCTTTTTCTAAAATTTGATTAGGCGACAATAAATAACAGGTAGTGATATGTTTAAAAAATACCATCAAAAACTTTAAATACAAAATAAATTTCATGTAAAAATCCCTAACAAATTCTAATATTCCTGATGAAAATTGAATCGTCACATAATGTGATAAATTATATCACTGTAGTGATAAATGTCATTTTGTCACTGTTTTGTCACTGTTAAAATTCAGTGTCGCTCAGTTATAAAGTGAAAAAACGCAGCAGTGCTATTTCTGCCAACATTCCTTTGTCCCCAGCCTTACTCTTGCTTCTTGATGACTTCGCGAGGTTATGATAGCAGCCTGAACTGCGGCCAAGAAATTTGGTCAGATTTGAACCTAACCTTTCTTTATCACAGTTATGGTGGGTATTTTTGGACGTTATTGTTTTGGTGCGAGTGACAGCCGGATCCTTTAATGCCAAGACAGGAATGATTCATTGCTGGACTGATGCCATTAACTATGTTAAGACTCTGTAATCCTGACATCCTGCTTATGTTGAATACTTTAATACGTGGTGTTTTTCTTTGCTTATTTATATATCGCTGTTTCGGAAGAAAACCTTGTTTTCTCCATTTTTGACATTTTTCAGTTTTTTACATAATTTGAAAATACCTGTTACCCTTTACATTGTGTGTTAATTTCATTATGAATAGACTAAAAGAAATGACCCAACATGACTTGAAAGAAAGTCTGGTTCCACTGACTTACATTAAAAGTAAAGTAGGTTTTTTCCTTCTCCTGTAAAGTTACCATTTTGGAGATACGAGGTTTCCGACAACAGCGATATATAAATTTTCCGTTAGTCCAGTCCTTTTCCTTAAGTGTTATTGGTATGAGAATGTTGATTTTATGCTAATTATGAAAAATCAGTAAAAAGCAGCATCCTTTCTCCATCACCCCCCCCATAACAGCAGAAACAGAGATGCTGAAGAGCTAATGTTAATGAGCTTCTGGCAAAGTGAATATCGATTCATTTTGACGTCTGTGTTTCTCAGATTACATTTAAGGTTGTTTTTGACACGAGTTTCGCACAAAACAACAAAATGTTCCCAAAGACCCAGACCCTGACTGTTAAAAGCAGGGTTGCCATGGTTACGCTGGGCCTGTAAATCGCTGCCTGTCGCAGAGCCGGGAAGCGTGTGCGAATGAGTCACTGGTGTACGCTGAACTGAACTGAGCAGGGCTTGAAGAAGGAGGGAGCTCAGAGGGTGAAGAAAGAGGAGATGCTGAATGGACAGATGGGCCCGGCCTGAAAAACGTACCAGATTTCTAATTTGGAGATCGATAATAAGAGTAGCGCCACAGTGCTTGACACTAAAACTATACTGTGACAAAAAGAAATGTAAAATGCTTGTCACTGTCTAAATACCAGGTGTTGTTTATTGGATTCAACACAGACAAAGATTCGGATTGTTACAGCTGAATGAACATCTCTATTTGTCGAGTTCAGTCAGTTTGTCAATATAAAATTGTTAAACAAATCTGTGTTCAGAACAAATTAAAAATGGGTGGCACATTTTGTTGATGCACAGAAGGGCCCATGTTACTGATTAAAACTCTTCACCTGTACATTTTAGATATGCTAATGAGAAAATCTCTGCCCGCTGAGTCACATTCGCCTGCACAGTTTGATTCACCTATAGCCAGAAGGGATGACACTAATGAGATATTTACCATGTTATGGTTTAAAAAACGCGCTGAAGTTTTGATGCATCATGCTGGAGGTGGAAAATAAGGCATAAATGTAAAGTAGTTTTCACTATACATGTTGTGAGATTTATTTTTTAGGCTTGGAAATTGGAATAAAGTAGTGCCGCATTTTTTAAATACTTTCAGACACTTTCAAAAACTAGGAATCCAGTGATTTGTATTCACCATTTCACACACTGTGCTGCGCTAAATCTAAATAAACAGGACTAATATTAACATCCACGATATGTTCAGAAATAACCTCCACGGTATGTTCAGAAAAGCATACTGTGACACCATTTATTACAATAATGATAAATACTGTCAAACCGCCCAGCACTGCATTGTGCAGTACTAGCCAGGTTCGTTACGGTAAAGCACGGTCCAGTCTAAGAGTGGTAATCTCCTTTTTTGGCTCAGGTACACTTGCATGGACGCTTGGTGGAATTGTCACATGCATAATCTTAACTTGGAATACATGTAATAAATAAACAATTAGATGGATACAACCATAAACAGTATTACAGAATGTTAAATGTAATGCTAAATGTGTGCGGTAGATACTGTTACATAGTTGAGGTGGGTTATGTTGTAACAGGTGCAGAGCTAAGAGCACTCAGCACCATCGGAAGCAGTGTTTTTCTTTCTTTATTATTTAGTTGTCATAAGTGAAGTTGTCATCTTATTTGTCATTTGTCATCATATTTAATTATTAAACACACCGCAAGGAGATGAAAAAATGTATCCACTGTGTAGTATTTGAGTCTTTTTTCTATTAGCCAGTGCAATTTTAAGATGCAGACGCTGAATAACTTATTCTACTAAAGTTAAAGAGCACAGCGAGTTTCACCTGCTCCCACACAAACTCACACACACCGATCAGGCATAACATTATGACCACCTCCTTGTTTCTACGCTCATTGTCCATTTTATCAGCTTCACTTACTGTATAGGTGCACTTTGTAGTTCTACAGTTACAGACTGTAGTCCATCTGTTTCTCTGCATACTTTGTTAGCCCCCTTTTACCCTGTTCTTCAGTGGTCAGGACCCCCATGGACCCTCACAGAGCAGGTACTATTTGGATGGTGGATCATTCTCAGCACTGCAGTAACACTGATGTGGTGGTGGTGTGTTAGTGTGTGTTGTGCTGGTCTGAGTGGATCAGACACAGCAGTGCTGCTGGAGTTTTTAAACACTGTGTCCACTCACTGTCCACTCTATTAGACACTCCTACCTTGTCATTCCACCTTGTAGATGTAAAGTCAGAGACGATAGCTCATCTGCTGCTGCACAGTTTGTGTTGGTCATCCTCTAGTCCTTCATCAGTGGTCACAGGACGCTGCCCACAGGAAGCTGTTGGCTGGATGTTTTTGGTTGGTGGACTATTCTCAGTCCAGCAGTGACACTGAGGTGTTTAAAAACTCCAGCAGCACTGCTGTGTCTGATCCACTCAGACCAGCGCATTGGTTGAGAAGCGTTCTAACCGTGCTGTTATTTCACCATAATATCACGGATAACAGGGTAAAAGGGGGCTAACAAAGTATGCAGAGAAACAGATGGACTACAGTCTGTAACTGTAGAACTACAAAGTGCACCTATACAGTAAGTGAAGCTGATAAAATGGACAATGAGCGTAGAAACAAGGAGGTGGTCATAATGTTATGCCTGATCGGTGTGTGTGAGTTTGTGTGGGAGCAGGTGAAACTCGCTGTGCTCTTTAACTTTAGTAGAATAAGTTATTCAGCGTCTGCATCTTAAAATTGCTCTGGCTAAAAGAAAAAAGACTCAAATACTACACAATGGATACATTTGTTATTGGTCATAATGTTATGCCTGATCTGTGTATACTCCAGTTAAAAGGAGCAAACAGGCCATTAGCAACCATGAGCGTTTTTTTTTGTTTTTTTTCAAATATCCAAGCTATTTAAAATATTCACAGTATATAGTCTTAACAGTATACAGTACAGTTTCTGCACCGCTTTTCATTTCACTTAACGTCCCGTCTATTTGAGCCAAACTTATAATAAAGCATACATAAGGCAAATGACAGAAAAATTAACATGACACCAGGTGAACTAGATTACTGAGGAAGAGGCAGGGCTGTCAGTCCTATAGTGATATTTAATGTGACACAGGTGCTTCTTGCTAAATGGGGTATTAAAAAAAAAAAACATCCCTTGACCATTCAAAACAGGGTTTCTGTTAGGATGAATGTAGTGAATTAGCTCCTCTTATTTCCAGTGTGAAAATACATTAAGATGAACTGGTTGTATTTCTGCTGTCGTGTTCAGTTTTCAGCATGATGTGCGTAAGCAGCAACATCTGAGTCATCAAACCAGAGCTGTGTTACTTTCTGTAAAGGAGCTGAAGTCTGTAAAACATGCTTTGCTGTCTCTAATTTTTAGTGTTCAGTGGGCTGTAACACTGTGGGTGTGAGTCACTTTGGCTAACCAGATAACCTGATAAGGGTTTACTGTCTGTTCAGTTTAAACATGCACATTGGATCCATTCCAGCTTCACAATGTGTTCCTCTTTTTGGTTCAGACTGCTAAGGCAGGAGAACTACTACTACTACTAGTACTATTTTTACCTACAATAATAATCATGATCATAATAATAATAATAATAATAATAATAATAATAAAACATTTTAGTAGCACGTCTTGAAATAAGTTTACAGATTTGCCTTTTGGGAAGATTAAACAAGTGAGTTTGAGACAGAAATAAAATACTAAGGAGCAAAAGACAAATAAATATAAAAATTAGTAAAGATATGTACTGTAATGTGCACCATCTAGAACATAGAGATTACAAAGGGAGAAAAAACTCAAAAACAAAAAGAATAAAACTTAAAACTACAGTAAGTTTTGGGGATTTGGAGACCTCTCTGGTGGAAGTTTGTAGCTGCACACTGCAGAAAATCAGATTTTGTCAGTAAACCGTTCAACACATTTAAATGCGCTTGAGTAGTCAGATAATGAGAACTCTGGGTCTACAGGAGTCAGGCAGTAATTGGATTTCTGCATTGCAACCAGCCAATAAACTCACAGAAGAAGACGTGACGTAAACGTGACACAAAACTCAAACTTCATGCCGCTGTTTAAAAACCATCACTCGACTTTACCTGAAAAAATTAAGGTGCATCATTTAGAAGATGAAGAATATTCAAATCCTTTATTTCTTGTTTGGTTTCAGTGCCGCTCCAATAGTGTTTCCACCGTGCACAGACTGAGAAATCCGATAGAAATCAGAGTAAGAGTTTCCATGCATTGAGAAATCTGATTACTGAGCTAAAATCCAGCTCTCTTTATCAGATTTCTAGATTGGACATGGTGTTTTCATGACCTTTTGAATAGTCGGATAACTGCAAAAATCCGATAATGATCGCATTATTGGGTGCATGTATACTCGCTCATTATGGGTTGAGCGGATGAATGTGATGATTAAAACAGAATTCAAAGAGAACTTGGACAAAACTTGGTGAAGGACGCATCTTCTGAGGATGTGAGAGCGTTATCTACTCTTGTGGTCAAGTCTTCATCAGTGTAATGTTGATTTTGCATTCATGACCTAAACATCGAGCTGGACCTTTTATTTTTGAGTCTGTGTGTGGCGTTAAAACGTGTAAAGACGTGTGACGTGGTCTGAAAAACTCCCAACCCACGCCTCTGACTTGAAATGATTAATTCAGGCTTTATAGGGTGACTCACAGCAGCACACGCTCACCATATTTTTCACCTCATATATATATATATATGTATGTATGTATGTATGTATGTGTGTGTGGTTTTATTTATTTTTTTTATTTTCTTTGTTTATTCTTTATATTTATACTCACCTGTTGTGTTTCTGATTTTGTTTTGCTGCAGGAGAAACGCAGTGGATGCGTTCCGGGTGAACGTTATCCACGCGCGGCAGCAGGTTCGCTCTCCCGTCACCAACATCGCCCGCACCAGTTTCTTCCACGTCAAACGTTCCAACATCTGGCTGGCCGCTGTGACCAAGCAGAATGTCAACGCAGCCATGGTGTTCGAGTTCCTCTACAAGATGTGTGACGTTATGACTGCTTACTTTGGCAAGATCAGCGAGGAGAACATCAAGAACAACTTTGTGCTGATCTACGAGCTGCTGGATGGTAAATTTATTCGCTCATTCATTTGTTCATTCAACTCTTGGCTACGTGTGATTTACGTATGATTACCTTCAACACAGGAAATACAGATGCTGACATTTAATAACGTCTTTGGTGTTGGCCGTTGTCGATTGTAGATGCTGTCTCTCTTTCTCTGTTCATGTTCCTTTTTTCCAGCATATTCCTGCTTTCCGTCATCCTAGCGCTGCGCTGTTTTCTCCCAAACAGGGGCTGGAGTTTCTGTCGTGCTGTTGTTTTTTTAGGTTTTGATTTTTATGGCTTGTAGATGAGAAAATCAAAACCTAAAGAAAATACTGCGCAGACAGTGCAGCGTCTCTACACGTCTCGGGAGTGATCAGTCTTAACTAGGCTGCTTGTGAAGAGAGTGGGTGTGTTGGGCAGAATGCTTCTTGACAGCAGTGTTTCGTGAGTGTCCGTGTGTCGGGTGAATGACTGTTCACTTGCTTGGCTGTTTTCCCGCTACTATAGAGATCTTGGACTTTGGTTACCCCCAGAACTCTGAGACTGGTGCGCTGAAGACCTTCATCACTCAGCAGGGCATAAAGAGCCAGGTGGGTGCAAGAAGAAAGCCGAGAGGTTATTAGTACTTATTTGCCCAGTTTAAAGTGATGATTTAGCCAAGAATCTAATTTAAACAACTTTCCCTTCACCCCAGATGCAGTTGATCACTCAGGACATGTTTGCTGTCTGACATTTTAGTTTCACGCTGGAGCTGTGGGGCTAATTTAATAAAATTAAGGCTTCAGGCGGCTGCTATCACTGTTTTTAGCTATGTATTGCACTTTTGTCCAGTTTTTATAGTTAACGGTATGTCATACAGCATCAGAAGCTACGTAATCTAAAAAAAATTGCCTAAAAACTTGACATGATTTGAGGCCAGTATCATTTAAGCAGGTAGTTAGCGCAGTGCTAAATGGTGGGGTATAAGCTTCTAATATTTGTTAGCTACAGTGCAAAACTAAAAATACTGGGACACTGAACATGCCTTGGCTGAAGGACTGCATTCATTATCGGCAGAAAATTTGTGTGTAAATTTGACTTTTGGCCGAGCTATCGCTTCAAATGCTAATTAGTGCTATTTATCATTTTAATTAGTAGAGAAAATTCACTTTTAATCATCAAAGTGTAACACACACCTTGAGCTTTCCGAAATATGTAAAGATTAAAGGTGAATTTTCTATCATGTGGTTATTTATTGTTATTATTAGAGTTGTTGTTATTTGTTAGTTTAAAAAAAAACTTAGTACAACATCACTGAGGAAAAAATTTGTCATAGCAAGTAGAATTAAAGTGAATCCTGGTTGCAGAGACTGTTGGAACGTGTCAGGAGAGCAGAGGACGCAGCATCTTTATTACCACTAAAAAACACCAAAAACCAGCTTTTTGATCAATTCAACTCAACTCAACTCAACTCAGTGAACGGGGGGGGGTGTGGGTTGGCCATGTTTTACATTCTACAATGACCAAATTTTGTAAACCACTCAAACTCACTAGGCTGCATGCTGACTAATGTAAAAATAAATGGTTTTGGGTTCCCCAGCTTGCCACACTGGCAGATCCCTTTAGGAAGCCTCTAGGATCCCTTTTGAAAAGAACGGTTCTTGAATGAAGTAAAGTAGCTGAAACAAGATGCTTGATGAACCCCAGTGAAGTAGTTAGATGTTCCTGCAAGAGCTTGCAGAGTTTTAAGGGTTCCTTCAATAACCTCATTATATGGGACGTTTTTAATGTATCTTTCAGTTCTCTAAATACCCTGTTGGACATTCGAGACACAAAGTTTTTACAGGGTTTTATTCTCCGTAATAAATGTAGTGACATTTTTGCATAACATGCAGTTTTTTTTGCATAACGTCTTTTAGATGCTACTGATGATTCATAAATATAACTTTCTTTTTTGTCATACTGAAAAAAATGCAGTAAACTGCTTTCATAAAAAAGGAGTAAAAGTTAGTTATTCACAGCTTTTCTGTTTTTTATTATAATTATTGAGTCAAATATTTGTTGCAGGCCTAATGTTTATGAATAATTACTGTATGGCTGAGCTTTACAGGCCACACATTCTCCGTCTGTGTATGTCGGTGAAGCTACTTTTGTGCCTCTTGTCATCGTAACTAAGCAAAGATGATGTTTATCATAATGTTTGCCTCAGATTTATCTTTGAAGGAGCCAACTGGTAGATCAGATTTCCTTCTGTTGTAACTGTTCTGTGGCCTGTTTGCTTTTGGTGGAGTTGTCAACTTAGTATGAATCACATTTTTGATTTAGCTCCTCAACACTGATGATACTGGGTTGCTTATGTTTGTGAAAGTGTTTGAAATGTCCTACAAAACCTTGAATTTGATTGTCACTATAAAATGGCAGTCCTGAAAGTCTGTTTTTCCTGAGATAGAGAAAATGGAGTCATTTGATTTGCTAATGTGTTTTGCTTGTTTTCTTTCCTTTGCCACACCTCATTGCCTGATCTGACAACTTTAACTGCTGCTTTCCAGCATCATGTGAGTGCAAATGTGTTACATCTGTTTTTTACTGTGTTATAAATATACAATCAAACCTAATTGTCTCTCAGTCAAACAAATGCTTTGACTTCACCTCTTGCTCTCTTGCCTTCAGACAAAAGAGGAACAGTCCCAGATCACCAGTCAGGTGACTGGACAGATCGGCTGGAGGCGTGAGGGTATAAAGTACCGCCGCAATGAGCTCTTCCTGGATGTTCTGGAGAGTGTTAATCTGCTGATGTCACCACAGGGTAATGTTCATCTTCTCTGCCTGTGAGCTAGAGCAGCATACTTTATGGTTTGGCTTTCATATGAGTTTTTCATATTTTTTCTTTCTTTCTTTTTTGCATTTTTTGAAAACCCTAGCTGCTCCTTACATTGTGTGAGCATCATTCGTCATTTAGGGGTGTAAAAAAAAATCTTTTTACATAATATGTATTGAAGTTAAAGCCAGTGAGAGACTGTGCATTTTTGGCATAAACATATACTTTTTATCTGCTCTTAGGAGCAAAACATAGTTTTATACGTTATACATTTTTCTTAAAAAACCTTTGACCCTTGACACCACATAATTGTCAATCCTTGAAACTCAAATGCAGTTTATATTAGTTTGGAGCTAATGGAGCATAAATAGCATTGGTGGCACACAGACGAGGATATTTCGGTAGAGTCTGGCTGCAGACATGCACTCTCTGCCACAATGACAGAAGCAGCCCGACGGCACGGTAACTTTTGGCTGCTGCTGCTTAGCGACGACATCACTTAATCCATTTTTCGTCCATAACGCGGCTAGAGAGTTACATTTAATGAACCTCCCTGTTGAAAAAAACCATAGAACCCATTAAAAGTGTCTGTTGGTTCCTGGTGGTTTTCAGTAGTCGCCAGTGGTATTCTGTGTTTTCCTGATGGGTTGATATCACGGTGTAAAGGATTCTGATCGTTTAATCAGGTGTTTTGAGACTGATTCCAGATACATTTGATCGTTTCCTAATGGCCTCTAATGGCAACCATCAAGCCAATTCCCGTTAGGAAGCAAAACCATCAGGTTTTATTCCTAACGGCCCTGCAAACACAGTTACTTTGTGACAGCGTACTGTTTCGGTGCCCACAGCGTCGTCTGCTTGGTGCTCTCTACACTGTCACAACGTTGAAATGTAATTCCTTAAAAAGTTGTGACAACGTTGTCTGACAGCTTTCTAGGAGGTTGTGAAAATGTTGACGAGACAGCAAAAGCAATCGGTACTACGCTGACTGTATGCTGTCACAACCTCCTAGAACCCTTAATAAGTTTTTAATCAATATTTCAGTTTTTGATAACCGGTTCTAATCGTCTTCAGCTTGGCTTTCATGAGTTTCAGTAGCCTTTTTGTTTTTTCTGCGAATAAACCCAACATTCATGTCTTTTCGTTGTGGTAGGTTTTATTTTGAAAGTTTCCATATTTAATTACCTTATTATCAGTATGGCAACGTTAATATACATTCAGTGTAACCCTTGTTGTCCAGCAGTCCGTGTTTCACTGTTTTTCCTCATAAAACCGACAAAAACACTGTCGTGGCAGAGCGGCACTGACATCATCATTAGGCTGGCAGTGCATGTCAGGCTGAGAGTGCATGTCTGCAGCCAGACCCTTCTCGGATATTTAGAGACCACCGAAATTTAAAGGCAAGGCACTGTGCCTCACATGAAGGGAAACCGTCAGATTGTTTAAAAAATACACATACTTGCTATGTGTGAAAACATAAGACTAATGAGCTGCTTCGTTGCTGTTTTGTATTTTTGGCCCTGGGCTTCCCACAGATATTACACTCTTCCAAGACTGAAGACTTAGAGCCTTTTCCTGCTACTCTTTCAAAGTTGCCATTTTAAAATAATGAGAGCATAACTGAGAGAACAGCTGTGAACACTGCAGCATGATTGGAACAAGTGTATGCGTGTTGTGTTGCAGGTCAGGTGCTGAGCGCTCACGTCTCGGGCCGTGTGGTCATGAAGAGCTACCTGAGCGGAATGCCCGAGTGTAAGTTCGGCATGAACGACAAGATCGTCATAGACAAGCAGGGTAAAGGGGGCACCACTGATGAAGCAGGCAAAAGGTGAGGTTGTTTAACCGCCGTCTGATCCTTAACACGTATTGTGTAAGTCCGGCCTTTGTGAAATTTATGGATGTGTAAGACTGAGATTTGAGTGAACTGTAGAGTTGAGAAGTGCTGAGATTTGAAAATTATTGATAGATCTGATTTAAATATACTGGTAGACAATGTTTTGTTTATATGAGAGAAAACAGTCTCGTTCTGTAGGCCTAACTTCGCTCCTTTAAAAATCTACATTTTGTGGTTTCACGGTGGCGTGAGGAAGGTTCCTGCAGCACTTGGCGATTAAACTGGTTAAATTTAGCTTTGAAAGAAAATTTCCTCAAAAACCATAGTTTTGCACTTAATCTCGTGATTGCTTTTCTTTCATTGTTTGCACCTAGAGGTTGGGAAAAATAATTGATTCCAAGATTCATCACTTTTCTCTCTTGAAAGATTCTGCATCAATATAAGAACGCCCTAATAATACTTATTTTATTTCAAAGATTTATGCATGCAAAATAAATATAAACAATATACTATATAGTAAACTGTGTAACACAAAGAACCAAAATATAAAAATTTAGTTTTGTTTGTAATTTAAACCTAGTGCATCGTATATATCGTCGCTGTCCAAAGAAAAACATGTATCTCTAAATTAGTAACTTTACAGGAGAGGGCAAAAACGTTCTTTACTGCTAATGTAAGTCAATATAAATAGTTTTTTCTAAGCAATTTTGGTGCATTTTTATTGGTCCATTCATCATGACATTTTCACACAGTGTAAAGAATGGCTGCCGTGCTCAAATCTTGTAGAATAGTGAAAATCGCAAAAAATGGAGATGCATGTTTTTCTTTGCACAGCGACAATATGCTACATTCTGATTCAGTCAAGCTGACAATGCTTATGAAGATAGATACAGGTAAAACATCAATGTAAGTGATTCAAATAAAAAATCAGAAATCTAACTGAATGTAGAGATTCTCACCCTTAACTATACACTGATCAGGCATAACATTATATCCTTGTTTCTATGCTCATTGTCCGTTTTATCAGCTCCACTTACTATATAGGTGCACTTTGTAGTTCTACACTTACAGACTGTAGTCCATCTGTTTCTCTGCATACTTTGTTAGCCCCCTTTTACCCTGTTCTTCAGTGGTCAGGACCCCCATGGACCCTCACAGAGCAGGTACTATTTGGGTGGTGGATCATTCTCTGCACTGCAGTAACACTGATGTGGTGGTGGTGTGTTAGTGTGTGTTGCGCTGGTCCAGCAGTGCTGCTGGAGTTTTTAAACACCTCAGTGTCACTGCTGGACTGAGAATAGTCCACCAACCAAAAATATCCAGCCAACAGTGTCCTGTGGGCAGCGTCCTGTGACCACTGATGAAGGACTAGAGGATGACCAACACAAACTGTGCAGCAGCAGATGAGCTATCGTCTCTGACTTTACATCTACAAGGTGGAATGGCAAGGTAGGAGTGTCTAATAGAGTGGGCAGTGAGTGGACACAGTGTTTATAAACTCCAGCAGCTCTGCTGTGTCTGATCCACTCAGACCAGCGCAACACACACTAACACACCACCACTACGTCAGTGTTACTGCAGTGCTGAGAATGATCCGCCACCCAAATAGTACCTGCTCTGTGAGGGTCCATGGGGGTCCTGACCACTGAAGAACAGGGTAAAAGGGGGCTAACAAAGTATGCAGAGAAACAGATGGACTACAGTCTGTAAGTGTAGAACTACAAAGTGCACCTATATAGTAAGTGGAGCTGATAAAATGGACAATGAGCGTAGAAACAAGGAGTCATCTAAAGACAAAAATTTAATTGTTCAGAAAACTGAAATTATCACATCTCCCAAGCCTTGGGAACTGAATTTGTCATCGGATCACCTAAACCAGCAAAGCGAATGTGTAATTCAGTCAAGCTTGCGTACAAATCACTATCGAGTGAGGATTTATACACACAAAAGAAACAGATTTTTATGAAGCACATTTGTTTGAAATCTGCTGTGAGTACAGTCAGTATGCGTGATGTTATTGAAACCCCCGTCTTGTCCAGCATTGTCACCCTTTTTTTCCTGTGTGGTTGTGCTGGTAAGTGTCTAAGTGCTAGGTTCTCTTCTGTTTCTCCTGGAAGTGGCAGTGGGTTTGTCCTTTGGTTCATCCTCTGTTTTGTTTTGTATTTGTTTTTGTTTTTATTTTGTGCCGTTTTCTCTTCTCTCTCTCTTTGCTGGACTTCAGTGAGTTGGGGGGCAGGTAGCGTACCTCTCACTCCTGACCTCACCCGGTCTGCCATCTGCATATCGTCCTGTCTTTACTGTGTGTAGAACTGTCTGGTGTGTTTGTGTCATGCCATCGAAAAGTCTCAGTAGGAAATAGGCTCTGTGACAGACCTGACTTGACTTGACTTGCATGGCATGACACTTGTGTTGCCTCTATTTGTACTTGAAAATGAGTGTTAGTAAGGTGAGTGAGGTCCATCTTTGTTTATTTGTGGCCTGTTTCAGAGGTTTAACTTTTCTGAAATCATGAATTCATCTGTCCTGTCCTTCTGTAAAACTAGCCACCCCAGCTGTGCCCCTTCCTACACCCTACAAACGTTTTTAATATCATAAACGGCCACTATTTCAATTTTATAAGTATTTGTGCGTATGTAACCTTTTTATCGGGCCCATAGTTCCCTTCACACTCCCAAGCTCTGACCAAAACAGAACTAGAATAGGGCCTGGCCGATATATCGCTTTGTATCACGTTGGCTGATATTAAGGTTCCATGGGTTTATCAGTGTTAAGATTAGGGATGTCCTGATCCGATCCAGATGATCAGGATCTGAGCTGATCCAGGCATAATTTAACAGGTTGGTATCAGGCATGTTAAGCCCGATTCAGTTCCAATCTTTACCTCTTACTTTTTGCGTTCTTCTTAAGCCGGGGTTAAACTACACGACTTTTCCCCGATTTTAGCCCCGATTCTCAGTCTGAGCTAGTTGGCTGTAGTCTGCTAATTCTTGGGTCAGTCAGATTCGACAGTTGGAGAGAGTCGTGTTTGAGGGGCGCAGGCTGTGAGGCCTCCGATCCCGTTACAGACCAGTCGGAGTTTATCAAACATGATTTTTTCAACCTGACTCTGAGTGTAATCCAGTGTAAACTGTTCAACGACTCAATCTGAACAGACTCCTGCAACAGCCAATGAAAACTAAGAGCGCTAAAGAAGAAAATACAGCAAGTAAACAAAGAAAAATGGTGAAAAGTCACTCGTGTGGAGCGAAGCTTTATAATGAGCTGAGTTTACGACACGAGCATAATCGAGTTTATGTACATTTAAAACTCTAAAAAAAAATACTACACTGATTTTTAAATCCATGAGCCTCATTTAAACGTGTTTACCTGCTGCTTCTCTGCACAAACGGCAGAGAAAACAGCAGCAGCATCTCCACGTTTGTTTATTTGGATCTCCTAGTAATGGGAGAACGTGAGAGTTTGTGAGAGTTCAGTGAGTTCTGTTCAGCAACAGCTTAAAAGTTGAGTAGTGTTTGATCCCTAATCGTTTAGTCTGTGATCCCCAATATTTCAGTCACCCCAAAAAAGCCCAGCCTTTTTATAATCTGTTAAGATTTTAAAAGTCATGTAGTGAACCCAAGGCTTTACACCTCTCTCGTGGAGGTGACATTAACAGGCATGGGCCTCCTGCACAAGGTGGGTTTTCAGAAGCTGTGTCTTTAGTGTAGAAGTATTTTACAGTGGAATATGAATATATCTGCAGTGCCGGTGTTTCATTTGCGTTTGAGCCACTTTTCATCAAAGCATTGGCACATAAAGTGCAAGTGAGCAGATATTACACTTAGAGATTACTTCCTGCCACTTTCGCCAGCAGTATGCCACCAGAAGCATGTACAACAACACTTCAGCCACGTATTTCCACTGACGAGTCACGACACGTTCTGCTATACCAACAGAGCTCCTTCTGGTTTTAAACCAGCGTTAACTGAAACAGTACATTCAAACAGAGACAAAGGAGCAGGCTACTGTGAGCATATAGCAATATGAAATCCTAGAGTGTCCACAAGAGTATTAACTGATTATTTCACATAAATAGACAACAGAAATCAGAATATCAGTTCAGAGTCTATACAGCTGTACACATATGAAAAAAAGTGATTTCACTGCAGAACATTGAAGTACCTGATACACAGATCAGTTAGGGACATCAGCCACATTTGCTCATAAGCCAGTACAGTTGTATGCAAAATGTTTGGTCACCCCTGGTCAAATGACATGTTTTGTTGGTTTTCTAAGTGAAAATAAGGGAAAACTTCCTCTACAGCACGTGTCGGGCTCCAGTCCTCGCGGGCCAAAACACTGCAGACTTCAGCCCACTGCCTCATTAAACACGCCTGATTCAGCTCATCAGCTAATTAGCAAGGCTTTCATGACCTTTAGACAGAGATGTAGATGACGGTAAACACTGTTCTCTGCAGCACTTTGGCCCAGAAGGTCCCCAGTTTGACATGCCTGCTCGACAGAGAACACACTCCTGCACATTTGAATGCACAATTACTGTTTATTTGCGGAGTTCAACATATTGGGATAAAAATGAAACCCAGTGTGGTCTGTGCAAAAGTTGTGGCACTGTTAATATTTAATGTTTTATTTTTTCAAATATGTTACATTTAGCAAATAATTAGAAATTCAGCACCTAAATTTGCAGAAAAAATGTCATGTTTAGGTTTGTGCTGTGTTAATTTTTTTTTTTCACTTAGAAAATCAACAAAACGTAGTTTCACCAGGAGTGTTCAAACTTATGTATATGACTGTGTGAAACAGGCAATAAAAATAGTCATCAGAAAAAAATTAGACAGAGTGCAGCATATCAGTCCAGGTTGTCACATAATGCGCATAATAAAAATAAAGTAATTTTCTGTAGGATTAAATATTGATGGGCTAGAATATCTTACATGTGGCTGTATATATTAAAAGAAGCAGATCGGTATCGGCTGATTTTCAACATTAACCTACCCTGATCAGAGAGGAGTAAAACCAACTGGATCAGGACATCCCTGATGCGATTATGTTAGATTAGTGTTGTTAGCCCTGGCGCTTTTCATATTGGCCGCGCCCCATTCCTGTATATGTTCTCGTATAGAGTTAATAGTGTTACAAACATGCTTGTGACTTAGGTTTTGTTCTGGTCAAAGTGATGCAAGCCCAAGTCCCTCCCAACATGTTGCTAATGCATAAACCTACTGCTGTAGTTCAGTTTTGCTCCACTAAAGTTCTTTGTTCAGCATCTGTCTGTGTGTTTCTCCTCTCTGTGTCCTGCAGTAGTGGGAAACAGTCTATAGCCATTGACGACTGCACCTTCCACCAGTGTGTACGACTCAGCAAGTTTGACTCCGAGCGCAGTATCAGCTTCATCCCACCGGACGGAGAGTACGAGCTCATGAGGTCTGTCTGTGTGTATACGTCATTTTATACACCGTGTGTCATTGTGTGGGCCTTTTAACCAACCCTATCCCCTGTGCGTCCTTGCTGTAGGTATCGCACCACTAAGGACATTATTCTTCCTTTCCGCGTCATCCCGCTGGTCAGAGAAGTAGGCCGCACCAAACTGGAGGTGAAGGTGGTCATCAAGTCCAACTTCAAACCCTCCCTGCTGGCACAGAAGATAGAGGTGCGTCAGTAGGTGTTAATTTAAGAGAGCCACATAAGTGCTATTTAGACATGATCGGTTTTACAATGGAGTGTAGTCTTTACCAGAGTATGTCTGATTTTAGTTCCGAGTCCATCGTGTCAGGACTGCACGGTTATGCGTCTGTAAAGATTATGGCAGCATAGCTACCATTAAATGTACTGTGTAAATAATTTATATCTAAGGCTGAAAGAGGAATTGTTTTAATATTGAAATCACACTTTAAAGGACTGCAATTTTTATATTGCAAGAGATGCAGTTTTTATTTTAGCCTGCATTATCAATAATGTTAGCTTGTTAACTGTAGATGAGTTTGGTAGCAACCAAACGTCTGTGTACTGTGTACGTTAACTGGCAGTCTGGCACAGTACATTCAGTGTTTGACTTTCAAGCCGGAAGAAGTGGAATTAGCTGGTCTTCTAGGCCAAAATAACAAGCCTGGACCTTAAATAGTAGAAAATAATCGCAATTTTGAGTCGCAGTCACAAAATTTGTCAGAAAAATCACAATTAACTATTTTGCCCAGCTAGTTTAGCCCTAGTTATATAAATCCCATTGGCATTGACATGTTGCCAAATACTCTATCATATCCTGTTGGAGTATGGAGTCACTTGATGAGGCATCATATAGTCTGTTGTAAATGCTTTAAAGCCAGTTAGTATTGGACTCCAATGGTGTTTAGAAGAACTTTTCAAAAGAGTGACACATTTTTAATCTGGTATGAATTGTGGTCGTAAATGTTACCGACATCCTTTAGAAACGTTGCTTCAGAGACTTATATTTAGAAAACTTGCCCTGTCCAAATGGTACTTCTTATTTTTGTTGGAGTGTTCACTCAGTGACGGGTGGGTTGCTGTGTATGTGGTGGATATATTATTATTTTATTCATATCACTTACATTTTGGAGTAGTTTAATCTGTTTTTGACTTGTTACTCAAAAGATGTGTTTAGGATCAGGTCAGGGTTCTGCAGCGCAAGCAGAATTCTCACATTTGCTCCTTTTAAAAATAAAAAATGCAAAAAGAATGATTTAGTAGCACCAGTGCAAGAACAGATTTTGACCGGAGTCTTCTATTACTTTTTCAATGCTTCGTGCCGCTGGAAAAATTTGAATTCTACTATATTTACAGAGCATAAAAATGAGCCATGTTGGCTCATCACATACGTCATAAAAAGCCTAACTAACCTGCCAGGTAACACACCTGCATAGCTGTCAAGTCTCATGGTTTAGTTCGGAACTGTTAGTTATGGACTTGCATTTTTGCCTTTTCTGCGATCTCACGGCAGTGAACGTAAATCTCACAGGTTTTCATGATATCAGAAAAGGTTGTTTCACTGCGTGCTGTGTAGGGGCACCACAGAAACCAGGATCAGTACGTTGCCCAGCATTATTAGTCACTACTGCCCCATCAAACTAAAACCAAGTATGTCGATTTTTGCGCGCTAAATGAGCTACCCAAGCGGTTGTTGAACTAAATCAACCAGCAGCTAAACTGTCCTCTGAACAGAAAATCTCCCACATTTGATTGCACTGAGAACTTAACACTAGGGGAAAATACATTTTGTAGATTTCATAGGCATGCTCTCAAGGTGTTACATTAAGAAAGGCTGCCCAGCAAATAATAATGTCATTATTTTTTATTAATTAAGAATAATAAGGTCAAAATAATAATAACTACTGGAACAACACCAAAGAAATATTATTCACTAATAAAAGGGAAAATGTAATTATTATTGCCTGTCCGATTTTGGAATTGCATGTTTTATGCTCACTGCACTTCATATGTGGATTGTACCGATTTGATTTTATTTGTTTGTTTAATGCAAAAAAGTCTGCCACTATCGATTGTTGATTATCAATTATTGCACCAACACAGAAATTTCATGTTAATTCAACTAAAAAGTGTTTAATGTAGAGTAGTAATCAACTCCTGATTTGATGTGAGATGTGTGTTCTACAGAAATGGGAAAATCTTAATAAACCCTGAATGTGAAGCCTTGATGTGTTCAGAAAAATGCATATCTAAAAACAAAACCGAGCACTAATCACCGTGTTCTGTCTCCTCAGGTGCGCATCCCCACCCCTCTCAACACCAGCGGTGTGCAGGTGATCTGCATGAAGGGAAAAGCCAAGTACAAGGCCAGTGAGAACGCTATTGTTTGGAAGTGAGTCACATCTGTATTCTCTCCTCTCTGCCTAAACTCAGCTCTTAAGCCGCATCTCATCTTTAGTTCTTTTCCTTATTGTTTTGTGTTGACCAGCTTTGTCCTTTCTCTCTGTTTTTGCAGGATCAAGCGAATGGCAGGTATGAAGGAGTCCCAGATCAGTGCTGAGATCGAGCTGCTGCCCACCAATGATAAGAAGAAGTGGGCACGTCCACCCATTTCCATGAACTTTGAGGTCAGTTTGGCGCCCTGGTTGCGTATATCACCATACTTGTCTCAAACTATATCGGATTGTTGAAGCCAGACTCCCCTGGTTTGTCCAGATGTCTCCATAATTCAGTGGTTGAAATGTCAACAAAGTCATTCAGAGTGGTGTGATGTGAAATAGTTAGTTGTGTATAAAATTACTGATTTCTTTACAGTGGTCAGTGGAATTAGGGGTCGTGATGTGTATATAACAAATATAGACATTTTATTTATTATCCAAAACCACCAGTGAACCTACATGTGTCTCCTGAGTTTTTATATGGAATGTGGATTGTAAAGTAGTGATGAATCTATGAAAAAATAAGTTTTCTTTGGGGGACTACTTTGCCCTGCATAGTAGTCACCCTGCATGTACCCCTCTGCCATGAATGGATTTTAAAAATGCATTTTAGGCCAGTATCTCCACTCATCATCTTAAAACAATGTCTCAGACATCAGGCAGCGCATTTATAACCGTTACTTGATAACTTTCTGTGAGGGAGCTTTTAAAGGTGGAAATCTGGTTCCTATCACCACCATTACAAACAATTCTGACCTGTTAAGTTTTTCTATAACGGAGCATTTCGCATCTCAACCAATGAATTATGCAGAAATTTTGAAAAATCAGTGGCGTTCCCCTTTCAGTAATCTCTAACAGACTTGCTTATGTGGTTTCTGACGCTGCATGACACGCTGTTATCTATAACCATGGACAAAATATAGGCTTCAGGGTTGCTGCTGCTACTGTTTTAAGCCATGGTGATGAACCCTTTGTCCATTTTTAAAGTGTATATTTAATTTTTCAACAACTGTCCCTTTAAAACTCTGGTTCGTCTCCTCCAGGTACCCTTTGCCCCGTCCGGCCTCAAGGTGCGCTACCTGAAGGTGTTCGAGCCAAAGCTGAACTACAGCGACCACGACGTGATTAAATGGGTTCGTTACATCGGCCGCAGCGGCATCTACGAAACGCGCTGCTAACGGCCGACCCAGCGAGGAGAGGAAGAGGAAGAGCTGGAGAGATGGCCGAGCGATGGGCAGGTGGAGGAGGTCAACAGTGGCCTTTCCCCTCATCTTCCCTGTCCTCTTCTCCTTCTCCTTCTCTTCTCCCTTTCCCATGGGCCTCTGTTCACACACTCACACACACAGCGTCATACAATGAGAAACACAGAATTCAGTTTTCAAAACGTCATACATAGCTCGTCCTGTGGAGGAAAAAAAAAGTTATAACTTGCTTATAAACAAAGAATATGAAAAAAAAAAACGCATTTGCATTCATTATTGCCTCCCCTTTGTGTGATTACCTGCAATAAGATGAGGCCCCTTTTCCGTTAGCCCGCTAATTCTTCCTCCTTTAATTCCAGCACATGCATTCCTGACCCCCCCCACTGACTTATTGGGAGAATTTGGGGGGCCATGTTCACCCTAATAAGCAATTAGCAGTGAACCTGTGCTTTTGTTCAGGCCTCATCAGTGTTCGTACGGCCTCCTGTTTCCTCTCTTTCACTACCGTTCCTGCTTGTGTAGGTGTACGTTATGCTGTAGTGTTGTCAGCTAATGGACACAAATTGTACATCCTTTTTTTTTCCTCCTTCATTTTATACATGAGGCTCCCTCCCCTCCTTAATCCCTCCACCCCGAGTGTATTAGTTAGGTGTAGTCCATGTTTTTGTATTTGTAAGCAGGGTGTTTTGTGTATGAATCACAATGCTCTTGCCCCAACTTGTATCACTTAACATGCTTTTTCATTTTTCTTTCTGTCGCTGTACTTTTACCCGGGAATATTTTTCTCTCTCTTAAGTGGCTAATAATGAGGAAAAGTCGTCCGCTTTGGTCTCTGATGTTCTGTTTAGTTTCATCCAAGTTTAACTGTGTGACCAAACTTCTCAGAAATGAGAAAATATGAATTTAAAGCAACAAAAAAAACTACTAATACTAGACTAAATCCAGCCGTGTGTAAGTGTATGTGTATACGTATTATATACACCATAATAAGAGGTATAAATGAACGGCCAGGCTGATGTAGAGCACTGTTTCTGCTTTCAGTTTGGGTCTGTAGTCGAGGCTTATCTGAGCTGGTTGTATGTGTCGGCCTCAGAGGGGTCCCCCAACATCTCTCAGGGACTTTCGCCCCCCCACCCCCCATTTGTGCTGTCGTTTTCCTCCCTTCGAGCGCGCTTGGTTGTTTACCAGGTTGTTTACCAGACGTTTAGGGTGTGTCGCTATGATTTCTCCAGTGCACTGACATCTTTCGTTCTCCTCAGGCTAGTTTACTTCGAGATTTATGGCACAAACGTTGAAGGCGCAACTGTGAATGCGGATTTGAAAAAAGGAGAAAGGCGGCCAGAGCAGATGGGCGATTGGAATTCCTTTGAAACTGAACCAGCTCCGTTTCAAGGGAATCTTCTCTTCAATCTTGGAATCCTTTTCCTGCCCAGTGAGGTATTTTAGAAGGCAGCATTGGATTCAAGTAGTCTAACTCTAGCTTCTCTGACCCGCTTCCAAGTCCTTCCCAATTAAAAAAAAACACATTGCTATTCAAATATGTAGGCAAAGCTGAAGGAGTTTTCACTTCACCGCCCTTCAGGCTCGTCGCTTTGCCTCGTTTAACATCGAAGAAAGCAAGTAAGGTTGCCCTCTGCCCTTTAACATGTTTGTGCTTGTGCTCTGAAAGCTGCAATGGTCAAACATAACACTACAAACTTTCAGGTTCTTTTCACACAACTCTCGTAGTCCCTGTTTTGAGAGATGGTGAGGGTCCTACAGGCTCGACCCCTCAGCTTCAGTGTGCTCTTCATTTTGGTAACTTTGTGATTGTCCTGTTAATCCTAATAAAATGAAAAATATGCTATCGCTTCAGTGAGTGTTTCTTCTGTCGTGAAGATCGTGTAGAAGTACCAGTGTAGTTAGAATCAACAGTTTGGAATCATTGTTTTTATTCATATAAATTTGGTTACAGATAAATGTTTGTAGTATTAATATGCTAGTCCAATGTAACTTCACAGCTCCGCCATGTGACTCGCAGCAGCACATGCTCACCATATTTTAGCCTGTTCTTATTCAGATTTAAAGTTTAGAACCATTGACCAACTGTGCTTGGAATTAGACCTCCACTTTTAACCTATCTATGCCGTGAAACACCAACATACGTGCACAGTGGGCAGATCTATCCACAGCACCCAGGGAGCAGCTGGGGGTTAGGTGTCTTGCTCAAGGACACTTCAGTCATGTCCTGTCAGCTTAGGGGATCGAACCGGTGACCTTCCAGTCACAAAGCTGGTTCCCTAGCCTCCTGCTCACGACTGCCCCATCCACAACCATTCTTTTGTCTCAGTAATGCTGCTTTTTTCCTGTTCTAACAAAAAAATTACATAGTGCACCTTTGATTAGTAGGGATCGGGAAGAAATAGACATGTTTAGATGTGTCCACAATGATGAACACCTGTAGATGATTCTACAGGGTCTGAGAAAACTATAACATTACGAATGAGGTTATAATAAAACTATCCAGGGTGCCTTGAGTTAGAAAAATGGTAATCAAATCTAAGAGATAAGCATCAAGTTTGTAAAACCACACTGTTAACAGTTTATTGAATCAGCCTAAATACAGGGCAGCCAATCAGATAAGAGCTTATTTACATATATCAGTCTCAAAGGCATAGTAACAGAAACAGCCTGTTTACTTCTAAGGGACAAAGAGTGGTTGGAAAATGGTCATGTAGAAATGAATTAGGACTTTTTTGTTCATAAAGCCACGCATGGGCTCTAAATGGACTACAGGGGGAAAATAAAATACAGTAAAAAAGTAGGATATGGGCCCTTTAATGTAAGTGAAGAGTTTTATTATGAGTACTGTTGAAGCATTTGTTGGTGTGTTCATCATATAATGTAGAAAACGGATGCTGTTTTTAAATGATGTGAAAAAAAATGGAGATGCAGTCATATGCAAAAGTTTTGGTACCCCTGGCAACATTACCACATCCTCTACAGAGAACACACTTCTGCACATTTTAATACATAATTACTGTTTATTTACTCAATTTAGCATATTGGGGGGCATATTGGCACTTTTTTTGGACAGTGACCGTACGGCTCCGAGGAGATGTCCATTTTCAGATATGGACAAGAATGGGTTAACTGAAGTTGGACTTGCAGGGAGGAGCTGAGCGTGTGGGGTGTGTTGTTTTTGTGGGGAGGCGAGTGTATGTGTGTGTAAATTCAAGGGTAACTGGTCCTGTGTGTGAGTGTGTTTAGGCTGACGTCATGGTCAATCATTAACTGGGTGCTGGAGCCAAAGGACGGTCCGACTGATGGATCGATGGCCAATTAAACTCTCGTCCCTCATGGCCAGTGAAAGAGGCGCTCCTGTCTTTCTGCTCTTTCTCCGCTCTGCCCTTCCACCTCCCTCTCCTTTTCTTCCTCGCTCGTTCCCAGAGTGAGTGACAGCTCAGGGGTCAAGCGGCCTCCAGTTCCGCAGTCACCTGGACCGCTGCCAACACCCCCACCCCCCCAACCCCCCCACCCCGGGCCTCCAGCCAGAACGAGGAGCGGAAGTTATGAGTCTGCTTTTCAGGTGTCCTTCGTCCTTGACCAAATCCATGTTTCTCTTCCCCTTCAGGAACGCCGTAGCAATGTGTTAATCCAGCGCCTGAAGCTGTGCTCAAATACCAGCCTTAACATCCAGCTTCAAGAGCAGGAAGCTTCATACCAGCATGTGCCCTGTTGTCCAGAAGCTGCGCTCTTGGAACCACATACTGAAAGGTTCTTTAGGGAACCAGAAGTTGTTCTTGTATGGCATCACTCCAAAGAACCTTTGAGCATCTTTATTTGTAAGAGTGAAGGCCTGAAATATTGGATGAATTCCAGCGTTTAAGTCTCGCTTCCAGAGCAGGACGTTTTAAAATGAGTGTTTTAAAGCTGCATCCTTTCTAAGGCACAGTGGACCCCCAGATAGTCCACACTAGAGCTGGGATCAGGCAACAATCTGGGCCCTCTGGGGTCCCTGAGGACCAGTTTAAGAACCACAGCTTTGGGATCCTTAAGTAGTTCTACTATTGCATCACTCCAAAGAACCCATTTTAGCACCTTTATTTTTAAGTGTGAACACTTAAAGGGGAACTCCACCAGTTTCACAAAATTACTTGCGAAATTAGTGCTCCTCTGATGAATAACGTTACTCACATAAGAGTTTTGCTGACACTGTGTGACGCAAAGCCGCCAACCGAAACAGCACAAAAGTTGCGCAGGGCGGAGAGATACATGCAGGGCGTTATAAGGAAAAAGTAGTACCCCAAAAACATATTTATTCAAATTTAGCACTATTTAACCATCATCAGTGTGACATATAAAACCTTATAAGACACATGTAAGTTCACTCAGTTTGGGTTGCAGATAAAATGGTGATATTTGTAGTGTGGACATACCTATGTCTGGTTCCTAGTACTATAATGGTGGACAATTTTGGCTCAGTAAATTTCTCTAGAAAGGCGCATTTCACACCAAACCACTCTGAATGATTTTGTTTACATCTAAACGATTGAATGATTAAGTAATTTTGCTAAATCTGCAGAGTTCCCCTTTAAAATATTGATTAAATACCAGCCTCAAAGCTTTGAGAGCAGAGGGTTGTATGTAGCACCTGTAATTTTAACCTGAAAGTCCCTCAATGCTTCTTAGTTTGGACAGAATACAGAATAAACCTTTACATTATGTGAGGTTTCTTTAAAAAAGGTCTTCTCATTCAGGTTTCTTTTATGGCATCACAGAAAGAACCTGTTCGAGCACCTTTAATTTGAAGAGTGAAGGCCCGAAATATTGGATCAATTCCAGCCTTTAAGTCTCACTTCAAGAACAGAACATTTTAAAATGAGTGTTTTAAAGCTGCATTCTGGGAACCAACCATTGAAGTGGTTCTCAGGGACCCCCAAACAGTCCACATTAGAACTGAGGTTCTCATTTTTAGCACCTTTATTTTGTGTGAAAGTTTAAATATTGGTTAAATAACAACCTTAAAGCTGAGTGTTGTATATAGCACAGTTCATTTTAAAATAAAAGTCCCTCAATGCTTCTTAGTTTGTTCTACAGAATAAAACCTTTACATTATGTGAGCTTTCTTTAAAAAAAGAAAATCTTCACGTTTACAAAAGTGGAACCATCCATTGCAAGGCTCCTAATGGAACTAAAGTGGTTTTTTTATGGCATCACAGAAAGAACCTGTTTGAGCACCTCTATTCACCCCTAGTGAAGGCCTGAAATATTGGATAAACACCTATAAATTGTATAGAACCTTTACATGTCTGGAAGTTCTTTAAACTTTAAAAAGTCTTTTCAGACTCATTTATAAAATATATATATATATATATATATATATATATATATATATATATACATACACACACACACACACACACACAGTTTTATACAAAAGTTTGGTCACCCCTGGCCAAATTGCATATTTTGTATAATGTATTTTTTTTTCAAGTAAACACAACAAAAAATACCCTTTTCTGCAGATGAATGTACACAGATGAATGCACACTTTATAATTAATGAACTAATTAATAGAATAGCTATAGCTGCAGGTATTTTCACCCACTCTTCCTTAAAAAAACACTTCTAGTTCTGCAATATTCCTGGGAGGTCTTGCATGCACAGCATATTTAAGATCTAACCAAAGATTTTCAGTGATGTTAAAGTCAGACGACTGTGAGGGCTGTTCCAAAAGATTTTTCGAGGTGTGTTTTGGATCTTTGTCCTGTTGTAGAAGCCAGCCTCTTTTCAGCTTTGGCCAGTGTCTACCACACAAGCATGCCAACAGATTCACCCCCATGCTTAACAGTTGGCAAGGTGTTCTTTTCATCAAATGCTGCTCCATTTTTTCTCCAAACATGTATTTTGGTGATTGATCAATTTTTATTTCATCAGTCTCCACTTCTTTCTAAGAAGCCTCTGCCTTATCTACATGCTGTTGTACGCACTTCAGATGTTGATGTGTGTGATGAAGTTGCAGGTAAAGCTTATTTCTGATGACTCTTCCATGCAGATCATGTTTGTGCAAGCAACACTGCACGGTAGAATGGTGCACCACCACTCTTCTGTCAGATAAACCTTCCAGCAGGTTTTTGCTGTCATATGGGGGTTTTGCTTTGCCTCTCTGGCCAGCATATGAGCAGCTCTATCTCAAAGTTTTCTTGGTCTTCCTGATCTTACCTTGACTCCCATGTTTTCCCTTAACAGCCATGTGGAAATTGCAAGTTGGAAGTGCTTTGATGTCTTTATAGCCTTCCTCTGCTTTGTATGCATTAATTAGCTTTCACTTTCAGATCCTCAGCCAGCTGATTAGAGGAGCACCTGGTTGTTGAATGTTAACAAAAGGCTGAAGAGAATTTATTATGCTCTGGAATTCTCATCAGCTGACAAGCCGACAATTCTTGACCTTCCTATCTAGTCCTAATGAGTCAGTTAAGGCCTAATGCGTTAATTAAGTTCTGAGGCTTTACAACTGGAAGGGTGCCAAAACTTTTGCACACACAATTACCTTTTTTTCTGTTTTTAAAGTTAATCAAATATAAAGTAACTGTGCATTACCATATGCATAAAAATGTTTTTTTTTTCATAGTTTTCTACTTTTTCTCAACAAAATATGTCATTTCCAGGGGTTCCCAAACTTTTGCAGACCAGTCCATCATGCCTGGGTAGGATGGTTACTGATTTCCAGTTTATCAGGATCAGGGTCTTGCATGAAGTGTAACAAAAGCTGTGGCATTTGTGCTTTGTTGACTATTTTGAAGCAGCCAATTAATGTATTTTTTTTTCCTTTTTGTAATGGTGCGGTTATTTTACACTCAGGACTACAGTCTTCCAAACTTTCTTATGAAAGGACAAGAAAGGCATTGTAAGGTCTTATGAATTTTGAATTGGGATGGAGGTTATGCAAGGGCCCTTAGACAGAGGACCCTCCGTGCCAAGTAAATCCATCATGAGGTAATGATTTCCTCTTGGTCAATACCGGACCTCTCTCAGTAATGATCTGCGAGGTAAAGCATCGTGCTGTGAGAAACCGCAGGCCGTCCCTCGGCCCTCCAGAGGTCAAACAGGCTAATGGGGTTAGTAAGAGACCGAGGGCCATTTGGCCCAGGACGCTACACGTTACGCCAAACTGTGCAAATGCCAAATTTGCACCTCATTCTGCACAATGGATTTTTAATGAGCGCAGCCTGTGCATGCCTAATCTGTAGGCCTTTAAAATGCTGGTGTTGGCCATTTTGTCAAAAGTTAACTTGCAGACAATCCAAAAAAAAGCGAAAATGTCATGCTGTGGTGGGCTGGGTTTGAATGTTAAACGTCTTGATGAGCTCTAAAGAGTCGTTTCTTGTCACACTCTGTGCAGATGTTTGGACAGACGTTCTGTGTGGTTAGCAGAACAGGAGCAGTCCACTGAAAGAAATGATCGGCAAATACAGGTAAAGTTTAGAAGATGCAGGTTGAAAATCCTTTCCCACGAGATCTGGGGTCCAATTCAACGTGACATGCCAGGATTTGTCAGTCCGATCCTCGGGCACCTTCTGCCAGGCCACCGTTGTATTCTGCTCCTGGAGTTCACCTGGAGAATGGAACACAACCTAAAGGTAGAATGGCTGAGGGGTAGATGGACCACAGAGAATGCATAGTACCCAATTGTAGTGCAGTAGGTGGGATAATTAACCAGTCTCAGTGCAGGATGTGGGATAATATTAGCCAATCAAAGAGGTTTAATAGCACAGGATGGAGGTCACTACTAGCCAGAAATAGAATGGGAAAAGTATTGCCCGCTCATTGCTGAAAAGTCAAGTCTAGCAAAAATATACATTTATTGCAAGAAATAGATTAAAAACACACAAACTGAGCAAACGTTTAAGCTTCTCGCTCTCATCAGTGCTCACAAACTTTCTCAACCTACTTCTTTTTTTTTAAAGACTCACTCATAGCGCTGTAGATGGGATTTTCCAATTCCAGTGTAGGCAGTGGGTCAGTATGGTCCAATCCTAGAATGTGAGGTAGAGTATAGGAGGCAAGATATTGAGCCAACCCAGTGTAGGTGGGACATTATTAGCCAATCATAGCACAATAGGTAGGTGAACAGCAAATCCCAGCACTATTAAACATCCTACTGCGTGAGATGAGGCACTATCAACCAATCATAGTGCAGCAGACAGAATATTAGGATATTATTAGCTAAAAGCTTAAACAAGAGTGAGGACAACTAGCCAGGCCTGGCTTAGGAGGCAGAGCGACTAGCCAATCGTAGTGCAGGAGGTGGAACAGCAAGCCAATCTCAGCTCAGGAGACAGAACAATTTACCAATCCCAGCTTAGAAGGCAGAGCAACTAGCCAGTCCTAATGCAGGAGGCAGGACAATGAGCCAGTCCTAGCTCAGGAGGTGGGGTAACCAGTTGAGTCTGGGCAATATGCTGATGTTTCATTGTTATCGTGACAAATTATGGCATGATATGCTTTTTTTAACACATTGTGGATATCGCCAGTACTTAAAGAACACTGACCAACTACATGTTACATTACTAAGTGAGCATTATTAGTTTGTTGTAAATGTATTATTATGATAGTATTTTTATATGTGGCACTACAGGTTCTATTTTGACTGTTTCAGCTTATTAAATCTCAGAAAAATGAAATATTGTGATGCATATCATGTATCATGAAAATGTCTTAAAGTATCGTGATATTTATGCCATATCGCCCACCCCTAACTACTAGCCAATCCCAACACAGGAGACAGAGCAACTAGCCAATACTATAATAAGTTAAGATAACTAGCCAATCACAGCACAGCAGCTTAACAACTAGCAAAATCTAGTGCAGGAGGCAGGACAACAAGGCGATCCCAGCACAGGAGAAAGGACAATAACCAATACCTGCAACAGAGGCGGGACAACCAGCCAATACCAGCAGCAGGCAGATACTACTAGCCAATCGCAGCGCAGAAGGTGGGGCTTTCCTGAATACGGGTGTGGAAAAAAATGACGCGTCTGCACTTCAGCGCGGAGCAGATGAGGAAAGTTCAGATGCGAAAGAAGAAAGCAGGGGAGAAGCTGCTCAGAGCTGCAGTCTGAAGTGTTTGCATGAGAAATGCGAGACGGAGGAATGCAGGAAAGCTCTGCGTGGCTGTGAGAGGAAACACGTGTCGTGTTTTTTCTACTTTTTTTTTCTTTTCTGTTTTTTTTTGCATGAGTAGTTTCTCTGCTCTGGCTGTGGGGCAGAGGGGGGACGGGGGGAGTGTGTGTGTGCCCTCTGCACGGATGCTCCTGCACATGCATGTAGTCTATTTTCCCCAGCAGGAATGAAGGCAGCTCTGTGCTTTAATGAGCCTTGAAGCACATGTGGGCTGTCCAGAGTGGATTTGCACACAAAGCAGTGAGTTTATTGTTTGAGGAGTCACTAACAAAGCTAGGGAGTGTGGGTTGGGATGTGCTGGGTTTGGACAGCACTGCTGCCTCTGGCACTGTTGCTTATAGTGCTTCCAGACTGCACTGAAGGCATCAAGCTGTGGACGAGAGAACCGGTAAGTGCACTTTATCCACTTCATCATACTGTCCGTTGGTCTGCCTGTGTGATTTAATCTGTGTGCATTTTGCTGTGTGAGGTGGCAGCTTTGCTCAAGTTTGGGAAGCAGTCAAGTCTCAACAGAGGTTACTTTCAGTTTGGATGAAGCTTCTGAGATTTGACTGAATGTTTAGGACGGATTGTGAAAGCTTTTAAAGGATGGTGGTCTTTATTTATCATGCGCACAGTTTGTCAAAGGACATTTGTGCATTGAAATCAGGTAATTTAGTGTAGAAACCCTTAAATGGCAACAGAAAAAGTAGAGAAAACCCACAAAGAACCCTAAAATACAGAAATATCAATACAAAACAGAAAAAATGTGGATATGGATAAACACAAGGGCTTATACAGTGTGAAATATGAACTTTACTGGAGTTTTGTAGTGCAATAAAGAAAAAAACAAATAGCTGCACTGTGTAGAATCTATAAAACGTGTGGGGTAAAAGCTTGGGATGAAAAGAGTCGGGGGGGGAAAGGTGCTGAAGGTCGTTTAGAGGAGGGGGGTGAGGGTGGGTTTGCCTCCTTCTTTCTCTTCGCATGAGGGTGAGAGATATTTCAGCACTTGGCGAAAGATCTAGTGGCGAGTGAGGACAGGAAAAGTGAGGACAGAGGGGTTTGGGATAGGGTTCAACATCTGGGCAGCATTACTGTGGTATCTTGTTGACTTTCTGTTACGTTTAGACTATGATTAGCTCTGGCCCGTTTCGCCTGTTTCAGCTTTTTCATCCTTGTGGTTAACCTCTTTTAGCTTTTCACCTCTTTCTGCTTTTTTTTCATTGACCTCTTTTAGCTTTTCTCCCTTGTGGTTAAGCTCTTTGTCCCCTTTCCACACTTCTGGAGTTACACGTCTGCTGGACATCACTCCGCCTGCTGCCTGGGACACGCCTCTCTGTATGCAGAGAGTTATTGTGCAGTTTCAATCATAGAAAAATCAGAGGACACAGAAACAGACTCCTCCGAAGTCCTGGTTTATAATAATCATCATCAAAGCAATACATATAGTATAGCACTATATTTTGGTTTTGATTATTGACAGTGGATTCGCAAAAGATGATAAGCAAGAGACCCTCGGGAGAGACATATTGCATTGTTAGACCCTCCATGTATATATATATATATATATATATATATATATATATATACATATGTACTATATGGACAAAAGTATTGGGACACCTACACATTACACACACAGGAGCTTTTATGATATCCCGTTCTAAATCCATTAATATGGAGTGCGTCATTCATCCAGAAGAGCATCTGTGAGGTCAGACGCTGATGTTGGACGAGAGGGTCTGGCTCACAATCTCCGTTCTAGTTCATCCCCAAAGGTATTTGGTGGGGTTGAGGTCAGGACTCTGTGAGGGCCGGTCAAGTTCTTCCACACCAAACTCACCCAGTGATGCCTTTATGGACCTTGCTTTGTGCTCTGGGGCTCAGTCATGCTGGAACAGAAAAGGTTCTTCCCCCAACTGTTCCCACAGAGTTGGATACAATTGTCCAAACTGTCTGGGTGCTGAAGCATTAAGGTTTCCCTTCACTGGAACTAAGGGTTCTAGACCAACCCCTGAAAAACAGCCCCATATCATCATCCCTCCTCCACCAGACTTTACAGCTGGCACAATGCAGTCAGGCAGGTAATGTTCTTCTGGCATTCACCAAACCCAGACTCGTCCATCAGACTGACAGATAGAGAAGTGTGATTCATCACTCCACAGAATGTGTTTCCACTGCTCCAGAGTCCAGTGGCGGCGCTTCACACCACCCCATCCGACGCTTGGCATTGTGCATTTTGATCTGAGGCTTGTGTGTAGCTGCTCGGCCATGGAAACCCATTTCGTGAATCTCCTGATGCACAGTTCTTTTGCTGATGTTGCTTCCAGAGGCAATGTGGAACTCTTTAGTGATGATTCAACAGAGGACAGACACTGTTCAATTCAGCGCTCTGCGGCTCCGCTCTGTGACTTTGTCTGGTCTACTATGATTGAGCTGTTGTTGCTCCTAGGTGCTTCCATTCCACAGTAGCAGCACTTACAGTTGACAGGGGCAGATCTAGCAGGACAGAAATTCCACAAATTGACTTGTGGCAGAGGCAGCATCCTATGACAGTGTTTAAAGCCATGTTTAAAGTCACTGAGATCTTCAGTACGGCCCTTTTTACTGCCAGTGTTTGTTTACCGAGACTGCAAGGCCATGTGCTTGATTTTTATCCACCTCTGTGGGTGTAGCTGAAACACCAGAACTCAGTAATTAGGAGGGGTGTCCACATACTTTTGTCCATATAGTGTAGCTCATTTAGTACATATTACTGACTTACTAAAAAAGCTGACAGTACAAATGTTGTTAATCTTGTAAATCGGTATCCACTTAGCTGTTCTTTGTTGTAAACATGCCTATTAGTTTGTACAGCTGATTCTTATACCATCTCCTGTTATAATAATATATTCTTATTTCTAAGAGCCTTTGTGAATGTTATTGTAAGAAATTGTAAAACACATATATATAATATATTAATATATATATAATATATTGTATAACACATTTTTTTTGTATATAAAAATGTACTTTGCTAATAAACCTTTTTGAAGAATGTCTCCATCACTTTTCTCTTTCTGTAATGTGTCTGACCTTTTAGGAGGTTACTGTGCCGCTTCTTGACCCTTCCTCTGAGCACAGCAGGCTGAGAGCACCACTGGCTCGAGCCAAACGCTACGCCATTAACCCTCTGGGCTACAAATGGGAGCACTTCAACATCACTTACAAGTGAGTCTGAGAGAGGTTAAGAACTATTTCACTTTTCCAAATTTCCACAGACGGCCTGGATCGAAAGGTCATAGTCTGGATGTTCATGTCAGTGTTATGTCAGAGGATGCACTCAATAACAATAACAACACACCACGTGGCCGTGTCTGTAAGGAAGTTTTATCAATTAGCCATCAATAAAGTGGATTGGAAACAAGACCACTGTTACTGAGGGAGCCCTGCAATCAGCCAATTACGGAAGACCCCACAATTATTATTCGTATGATATTAGTACTGGATTAAAATCACTGCACAGTTATTACTGTCAGACTGTAAAACTACACACTGCAGATTCATACTGGATTAAAATCGCTCCACAATTATTACTGTCAGACTGTAAAACTACACACACTGCAGATTCATACTGGATTAAAATCGCTCCACAATTATTACAGTCAGACTGTAAAACTACACACACTGCAGATTCATACTGGATTAAAATCGCTCCACAGTTATTACTGTCAGACTGTAAAAACTACACACTGCAGATTCATACTGGATTAAAATCGCTCCACAATTATTACTGTCAGACTGTAAAAACTACACACACTGCAGATTCATACTGGATTAAAATCACTCCACAATTATTACTGTCAGACTGTAAAAACTACACACACTGCAGATTCATACTGGATTAAAATCACTCCACAATTATTACTGTCAGACTGTAAAACTACACACACACTGCAGATTCATACTGGATTAAAATCACTCCACAATTATTACTGTCAGACTGTAAAAACTACACACACACTGCAGATTCATACTGGATTAAAATCACTCCACAATTATTACTGTCAGACTGTAAAAACTACACACACACTGCAGATTCATACTGGATTAAAATCACTCCACAATTATTACTGTCAGACTGTAAAAACTACACACACACTGCAGATTCATACTGGATTAAAATCACTCCACAATTATTACTGTCAGACTGTAAAAACTACACACACACTGCAGATTCATACTGGATTAAAATCACTCCACAATTATTACTGTCAGACTGTAAAAACTACACACACTGCAGATTCATACTGGATTAAAATCACTCCACAATTATTACTGTCAGACTGTAAAACTACACACTGCAGATTCATACTGGATTAAGACTGGGAGTCTCATAACAAATCACTTAAACGACAGAACCTCTCTGGGTAAAACTATTCCAGCTTCAATAAAGCTTGATCATTAACTACATTAGCAAACTAAACCAAGAAGAATGCTTTGAGACAGAGGAGCCTCAGTGATAGGAAGGAATGAAAGAGCAGATATGCTGTGAGTGGGGGGGTTGAGTGATTAAAGTACAGACAGGCTTAGATGTAAGAGGAGGAAGAGAGTGATGGGGAGATGAGTAAACGGAGAAACGGGGAATTGTTGTTAGCAGATAAAACATAAATAGATTATTAAAAATGTTGTGCTGTACCTGGGCATGCAGCTGTCTCATTCCTGTCTACGGAGAATTAACATCTTTCTTCTCTCCTAAAGGATAACAAAGTTCCCCAACACGCTGAATAAAGAAGACACCCGTAAAGCCATCAGCATCGCCTTCACCAAATGGAGCGACGTGTCCCCTTTAACCTTCACCGAAATCACCGATCCTAACAAGAATGCTGACATCATTATTGGTGAGCTTGGGCAGGTGAAGTTATTGCGAACTCAAGTCGACAAGCGAAAGGCTTTATCGTCTTTATAGGGCTGTAAAAATGCTGATCTGAAAGTGGTGATTCAGCTGTGTCAGTTCTGAAATGTCAAATTCTGTATCATGATCTCACAAAGATCTTTGGACCCCCACCTCCTCCACACTCACACAATAACACAAAAGTAATCAAAATAACAATAATTAAACAACTTTAATAAACAGCTTGTGTTTGTTTATGGGCACTTTGAACAGCACTGGAAAACATGTAAGCAAACAAAGTGATTAATTCTCCATTGATGTGCAATAGCCTGTTATTTCCTGAACAGATGTATTTCTGCAGAGTCTTGTTCTTAGGGGGCTTTTAATTATTTTAAACACAGTGGGGGCCGCATTTAAGGGGCATTTATTCCATTTACACATTCAATGGCTTTTTGTTCATTTAAATTTTGCATCTGCAGTGGACTGTCCCTTTATAAGCTGCTTAAGGCCTTGTAGTCTGAGGCCCCGAGGGCCCTGGCAGCCAGAGGCCCCTGGATACTGTTCCACTCATCGTCGCTGTCCAAAGAAAACCACGTATCTCCATTTTTGTCAATTTTTATTTTTCTACATCATTTCAACACACCAGCTGTCCCTTATGTTGTGTGAAAATTTCATGATGAATGGACCAATAGAAATGCTCTAAATTCACGCACACATCTTCTAAGCCGCTTATCCTTCTGGGTTGCGGGGGGAGCTGGAGTCTATCCCAGCGGTCATCGGGTGGAAGGCAGAATACACCCTGGACAGGTCACCAGTCCATCGCAGGACAGACACACTGATATATACATTTACACCCATGGGCAACTTAGTGTGTCCAGTTGGCCTGACTGCATGTCTCTGGACTGTGGGAGGAAACCCACACAGACACGGGGAGAACATGCAAACCCCACACAGAAAGGACCCTGGTCACCTAGCTGGGGAATCGAACCCAGTCCTCACAGCGCTACCCACTGCGCCTTCGTGCCACCTGCTCTAAAATCACTTAGAATAAAATCTTACATTGATGTACACTGAAAGGTAAGAGTGTTTTGTATTTTAGAGATACTTCTTTTTACATATATATATATATATATATATATATATGTATATATATATATATCGCTGCTGTCGGAACAAAACCTTTTATCTCCAAAATGGTAACTTTACAGGAGAAGCAAAAAACATACTTCATTTATAATGTAAGTCAATGGAACCAGACTCATTTTGGGTCATTTGGGCCGTTTATTTTGGTCCATTCATTATGAAATGTACACACAATATAAAGGGCAAAAGGCATTTTCAAATTATGTCAAAAACAAATATACAAGCACACATATTTACCCACTCATGGTCACATCATGCAAAAAGTGAACCTTCTCCCACTTACAGAAACATGTACATTCAGGTTCTGTTGACCTGTTATGTTCTCATCTCTCGTCTGTTCTGTCTGTCCAGTTTGTCTGCTGGCTGTGTGTCTGTCTGTCCCATCTGTCTGTCTCATGTTTTTCTTTATTGTTCTCCGCTTAGCATTTCTCCTCTGAAGTGGGTCGGCTGTTGGGAGGGGGGATTGAGGGGCTTATGAGTGGGTTGGGTACACAGCTTCACCGCTACCTGTAATGCATCACGTTGTGTCTCCACTGCTATGAAGGAACTGTTAATTAAATGACAATAAAATAAAGGAAAAGAGGAGAAAAAATGGATCTTGCTGAAAGGGGGAGTGAGGGTGTGGCCAGAGGATACTGGCCCGGTTTAGTTAAAAAAATAAATAAATAAAAATGTTTAAGTAAATGTTATTATGAAATGCATTTTTCAAAGAATCATAGTCTAATCACTGAATCACTGAATCACTGTGGGGTCAGAGATTTACATCAGTGGTCTTTAGAGTTCTGCTGTTTTATTCTGGAATCTTAGGCCACTTTCTCTGTGTGTTTTTTTGCCTGGCCAGGTTTCTACACGTTTAATCACACAGACTGCTGGTGGTCTCCGCTGCACCCCTGCTTTGACGGGCTGAACGGGGAACTGGCCCATGCCTTCCTGCCCCCGCGGGGCGAGATTCACTTCGATAACCACGAGTTCTGGATCCTGGGGAAGTCACGCTTCAGCTGGAAGCAAGGTAACTCCAGAAAAAGCTCCTTTTAGAATGTGATGTATTGATATGAAGGCGACTGAACTGCATCAGTTTTGGAATGGATTATAATTGATTATAATAATATTCAATAAGGGATGTGCTCATTTCATTTTTTGGCCAAAATAAAATGTTCAGATATAAAAGTCCAAAAAGAATTTGATGTATTGTTGTTAATGTCTGTCTTCCACTACTGTCTAAACGGTTCTCTGAGTCAATGTACTGTTTATTTCCCAGTCCATTCAGTCCTTACATGGAAATTAAAGGGACCTATGAAGCTCATTTTCAGTTCATACTGTTATTTTTGGTCTACTAGAACAGACTTACATGCTTTAATGTTCCAGAAACACATTATTTTCCTCGTACTGTACATCTCTATTCACCATCTGTCTGAAACACTCTGTTAGAGCTCCTGTGTCTTTAAGCTCCGCCTCCCCATGAGCCCAGTGTGCTCTGATTGGTCAACTTGCCCAGACTGTTCTGAATGGTCATCCTCCAGAGCAGTTCCGTCCTTTCACGTTCTGCCCCTGTCCTGCAGTCTGCGGACAGACCCTTCTCTCCTGAGCAGCTATAAACTTTAAAAGGGGGACCACCCTTAAATAAAAAAGAGCATTACTTCATTAACAGCTACCAGCGCTGCTCTGTAGGCGACCCTGCCAGTCTGCAGTGACAGCAGAGGAGGGTAAAGTTCAGCTCCTCACTGCTGGGCTTTAGTTACATTTAGGGCATCATATGCCTTCAAAGAGGGGGGGCAATTATTTATTATGGCCCGCCACTAATTCTTCGGTGATCTGAAGCTGAAGTCAGATATTCACCAGCTTCTTGTTAGAATTTTCCTGTTCCACCTTAAATGGAGCAGCAGTTTTGACACCTGAGGCGCCAGAATGTAACTGCTGCACCATTTAAGGTGGAATGGGAAATTTAGCTAGCTAGCTATTGAGACATCAGATACTACTAGTGACTTTTTATGCTTGTTATGAAGGAAATGACCATAATACATTGAAACAACATTAAACTAAGATAATACAGTGATTATCGTAACTTTTAACAGAGAAAATTCTCACATTTGTGTGTTTCTTGCTGTTTTTTTTTCTCATAACTCTCTGTTTAGAGTCTCTGAAAAACCTCTGTTTGGAGGGCCATGTAGCCCCAACACTTCGCCCTACCCCTCTATCTCAACAAAAATCGGGAGACCCTACCCCTGGACATGAACGCACAAAACAGAGGGCTAAGGGCTGAGTGGTAGGGGTGAGGGGTGAAATGGGATTGGGCCAGTTTCTCCCTCTGGAATAAACTTTGGGCCTTGTAACTTTCCAGACGTTTCACATTCACAAAAAGCTACAACACACTAAAGGAAACAGAGAAACCAGAAAAACATAATACACCCTATTTATGCGTGAAAAGCAGCCTGTTCAGTTCAGTTTCTGTGATGTCACAAAAACCAACATACATACATATATATGTCTGTTCAGCCTACAACAGTTTAGCCCCGCCCATTCACACTGAAGGTATAAAGAACATTTCAGTCTGTTTTGGAATGAGGCAGAATAGAGGCCAACCAATCAGAACAGAACTCATTTACATATATCAACCTTAAAGGCACAGTAACAAAATCAGCCGGTTTAATTCTAAGGGACAAAGAGAGGTTGAAATATGGTTATGTAAAAGTGAATTATGACTGTTTTTGATACATAAAAGCACGCAAATGTTAAATGTTGAAAAAGAACATGCAAGAAAAATGTAGGATATGGGCCCTTTAAGCTAACTAGAGAAGCACGACAGGTTGGAACAAAACCCCGGGGTGGATTTCTACCTTCTGGACCTGAACTATTCACCTCCGCTTTGTGTGTTCATTGTCATGAATTGTACCACAAGAAGCTGAACTGAATTGTGGGGCACGCTGACATCCCTCTTTCTATGTTTCTGTTCTGCTCTATTTGGCTCTCTGTCTGTTCTGATCTATTTCTCTGGTCACTCTTCCTTCACCCCTTCCTCCTGCTCAGGCGTGTGGCTGAATGACCTCGTGCAGGTGGCTGCCCATGAGATTGGTCATGCTCTTGGCCTGTGGCATTCGCGGGATCCCAACGCTCTGATGCACCCCAACGCCACCTACACGGGCCAGCGCAACATCGCCCAGGACGACATCTGGGGCATCCAGCGGCTTTATGGTAAACCAGGACTGACCTGCATGAAGAGATGATGGGTTCTTTGAGGGTTCTTAAGTAAAGAAAATGGTTCTATATAGAAACCATGAACACTCAGAGAACACCTTGCATGATTAAGCAGTTCTTCGCATTGTGAAAGCGTTCTTCAGACCGATGGAGGTGGTGTAGATGGTTCTATACAGCACCACAAAGGGATCTTCTATGATTATAAGCTTGATATTGAGGTGTTAGGATTAGGTTTTGGGTTGTGGTTAGGGTTAGGATTAGGGCCAGGGTGAGGGTTGGATTAGGTTTTAGGTTGAGGTTAAGGTTAGGATTAGGGCCAGGGTTAAGGTTAGGATTAGGTTTTAGGTTGAGGTTAAGGTTAGAGTTAGGATTAGGGCCAGGGTTAGGGGTAGGATTAGGTTTTAGGTTAAGGTTAAGGTTAGGATTAGGGCCAGGGTTAGGGGGTAGGATTAGGTTTTGGGTTGAGGTTAAGGTTTGGGTTAGGGCCAGGGTTAGGGTTAGGATTAGGGCCAAGGTGAGGGTTAGGTTTTGGGTTAAGGTTAGAGTTAGGGCCAGGTTAGGGTTAGGATTAGGTGTTGTGTAAGGTTGGTAAGGTTAGGTTTCGCATAATAACGAAATTCGAATTAACAATTCATCTACTTAATGTAAGTAATGTATCAACCGAACATCTACAAGACATTTAACTTCAGTGTATTCAGATGCTTCACTGCGGCTGCTTCACTGATATGTTGTTGATGTGTTACTGATAATCTGTTAAGAGTTTATTAATCATCTACAAAGGACCACTCCAAATAAACTGTTACCAAAGTTTTTTATCGACATCAGCATGTATGTGCAACAATAAAAAAACATCAGCCCACAATTATCATATCAGGGCATCCCTCATAAATAAAACTTACTGTTACTCACATTGGGCCTCAATCACCAACATCTTCCTAAGTCTTTTCTTAAATGTGTTCTTGACAAAAGTTCTGAGAAAAGGTCTACATCAGATTCATGACGTGTTCTTAAAGCGCAGAACTGTTCACACCTTTGTGCTCTTGAGTGTGTGTAGATTCTGTTCTTACCTAAGAACAAATCCAAATACGAAAACATTGATGAATGTCAGAATTTTTGTGAAAACTGCGTAAAGTGGGTTTTAAGAAGACATTTCTTTGTAATAATGGTTGGTGAACGAGGCCCAAAGTTCTTCTCAGGGTCTGTGATGAATGTGCACATTTAACTGGATGTGTACTTATGTTTCAGGCTGCTTGGATAAGAAGCGCGTGTGTGACCCCTGGGCTCGGTTAGGGTTTTGTGAGAGAAGGCGGAGCTTCATGAAAAAACACTGTCCTCAGCGCTGTGACCTGTGTTACGGTGAGACTCTGAGAAGCCCATGACTATAAAGTCATGCCCATGACTATCATACCAAGCAAATTAAACCAAAAATTCAATTAATTTCATTTTCCCTTTAGGCCAAATGTAGTCAACCAGCCGAGACATGTTTGGTGTGTGAAATCTGCTTCTTTTGGAGCTACAAGGCTAATGTCTGTAACAAGTAATGGATGTTTATAGCTGTCCTGCCAGTTAACTTTATGAAGAACTGAGCCCATAAATCATCACCCATTTGCCTCAAACTGTATCTAGTTCATTATGTGGTTTCTGACACTGTATGACATCTTGTTAACAATAAACCTGGACTAAATAATGACAACATTCAATGTTCAAGATGGCTGCTGCTACTGTTTTTGACAAAATGTATTCAGTGTGACATACGTCTGTTCATTTTTTTATAGCTAACCGTATATTAACACTATAATCAATATGTAACCTATGCATGCAGGATGCACGATGCTAACTGGTGGGGTATAAGCGTCTAATTCTCTTTTAGCCTCGTAGCTCCAGTGCAAAACTAAGGAATCAAACTACAGACACCAAACAGGTCTCGGCCGTACATTTGTGGTAAATGTACATCTGATTGTTGGCCAAATCATCGCTTTAAAGAGTATTTAGAGTGTATAAAAGTGATCTGCCCATCAGAAACACTGGACGCTGTGTCCACCCCGACTCCTCCCCCTGCCAACGTTAAGGTCAAGATGGTGCCTCGAGGGAAAGTGGTGGGCTTCCGCTGTGGGACAAAAAACACGAAAGTGCCTCCAAAAGTCAGGTAGGACACAGCCTCACAAAACCGCACACACTTCAGGTGAAGAATGTTTTATGGACTGTTGCCAAATTTGTACAATATTCCCCTTAGCCCCAGTGCAGCTCCCAAATATACACAAAATTCCAATTAGTCCAAATGCAGCTCCCAAATATACACAAAATTCCAATTAGTCCAAATGCAGCTCCCAAATATACACAAAATTTGCTTTAGCCCAAATATAGTAGGCAAATGTACACAGTATTCCCCTTAGCCCAAATGTAGTTGCCAAATTTTCACAAAACTCCTCCTAGCCCAAATGCAGCTCCCACATATACACAAAACTCTGATTAGCCTAAATGTAGTTGCCAAATTTACACCATATTCCCCTTAGCCCAAATACAGTTGCCAAATATACACAGTATTCCCCTTGGCCCAAATGCAGTCACCAAATTTGGACAATATTCCTCTCAGCCTAAATGTAGTCAAAAGACGAATGAGGAGTTGGAAAATATGAAGCCAATTTCAGGCCAAGAAAAGAGGAACAAGTTAACATCCAGCTGCTCCAGAATGAAAACGTGTTTCCTTTTCAAAGAATTGAAAAAGAAGTGATTTTTTGAAGAATTATGACTACAGTAATGATTTTCTCAGTACATCACTCTGAGTTGTTCCTCATTATGTGAAAGAGGCTGATGGTGAGATGTGTTGAAACATTAGTCAGCTAATTATTGGTTAAGCTACCTGATAGGTATAATTTACTAATTGTCATCATAACATGAGCTACTCAAAAAGAAGAGACTCCAGAAAACACAGGGTTGTGCATCACTAATGTCTGTCTTTGTGGAGAGGTGTGAACTGTTTTCACAGCAGGGGGTTCTCACCCTCCCGTCACCCCTCATTGCTCACTAGCAGCTCAACACAGTCACAACATTTCACACACAGAGAGACAGCAGTGTCTGAGTCATTAATGTGATAAAATTTACCAGAAAAAACTTTTTTTGATTATATTAATTAATATCCGAGGAGCGGAATGGCCACTAGGGGGCCTGCAGAGAAAGTTAAACGCTGGAATGTGATTGGTCCTTCTAAAACAATTCAGAAAATTCTGATTATTCAGAATAATTCATTACGATTCGACTGATTTGATACTGATGTGTTCTCAGCTGGTATAAAGATGGAGAGCAGCTGTTGACCTCCATCCCCGGCTACATCGTCATCAAAGACCGCGACCTGCGCATCGTGGCTAACGAGTTTAACGAGGGGACGTACACCTGCAGGATCCACCGACGTGGCACCGTCGTCTCAGCCAACTCCTGGGCCATCAGACTCAAACCAGAACGGTCATCGAACAACAGCTGATGAAGAGCGGGTGAGGGAGTGGAGGGAGGAGAGACTGATTTAAGCACTCGCACTACCTCCAGCACTGAAGTCCACTCAGAACTTCTCTCCTTACCTCACATTCAGAAACAACGTAACAGCAAATCGCATCTACATTCAATGAACTGCTTCATGTGAGAGTGGAAGATTTTATGGGTGAAATTCGCATGGAGACATAGTAGCTGGCTCGTGCTGAAAGAAGGGCTGGATGCTGTAGCAAGCAGTTTTTTTTATATGTATTTACATCTGATTTACAGTCATATGCAAAAGTTTGGAAGCTCCTGGTCAAATTAAATGCTTTGATGATGTTCTAATTGAAAAGAATTCATCCTCTAGAGGGAACACATCTAAATAATGGCATTTTCTGCAAGTTTTAGTTCACAATTTCTATTTATTGGAAAAAAAATAAAAATAAAATATCACTGTCCAAAAAAACAAGGGGAACTTTACAGGAGAGGGGAAAGACGTTCGTAACTTTCACACACACACATTTTCTAAGCCGCTTCTGGGTCGCGGGGAAGCTGAAGCTTATCCCAGCTGTCATTGGACGGAAGCCAGGATACACCCCGGACAGGTCGCCAGTCCATCGCAGGGCTTCTTAACTCTTAATGTAAGTTAATGTAAAGAGATTTTATTCAAAGGAATTTTGGAGCATTTCTGTTAGTCCAATCATAATGAAATTTGAGTGTAAAGGACAGCTGCTGAGCTCAAAATATGCAGAAAACTAAAATTTGGAAAAAATTGGGATTTTTTTTGGACAGCGTAACTTTTGCACAGTCCACATTTTATGTTTTTTCCCCCAGTATGTCAAATTCAGCAAATAAATAATCAGTACACACCAATCAGGCGTAACATTATGACCACCTCCTTGTTTCTACACTCATTGTCCATTTTATCAGCTCCACTTACTATATAGGTGCACTTTGTAGTTCTACAGTTACAGACTGTAGTCCATCTGTTTCTCTGCATACTTTATTAGCCCCCTTTTACCCTGTTCTTCAGTGGTCAGGACCCCCATGGAAACACTATAAACACTGTGTCCACTCACTGTCCACTCTATTAGACACTCCCACCTTGTCAGTCCACCTTGTAGATGTAAAGTCAGAGACGATAGCTCATCTGCTGCTGCACAGTTTGTGTTGGTCATCCTCTAGTCCTTCATCAGTGGTCACAGGACGCTGCCCACAGGACGCTGTTGGCTGGATATTTTTGGTTGGTGGACTATTCTCAGTCCAGCAGTGACACTGAGGTGTCCTGACCACTGAAGAACAGGGTAAAAGGGGGCTAACAAAGTATGCAGAGAAACAGATGGACTACAGTCTGTAACTGTAGAACTACAAAGTGACCCTATATAGTAAGCGGAGCTGATAAAATGGACAATGAGTGTAGAAACAAGGAGGTGGTCATAATAAAGTGTGCAGAAGTGTTCTCCAAACCTATTTTCACTTAAAAAAAAACACATCAACCTTTTGCACGTGACTATTTTGTTTCAATATTGAATAGAAATTTTACAGAACAACTTACTTGAGCTGTAGCGCATCAGTCATCAGATTAAGGTTAGCCGACTAAACCTGGTTTAAGGTGAAAAATAGCGTCTTATTTATATTTGTATATTTTCTGCTTTGTTATTTTTATATTACTTTTAACAGTTTTCTAAAACAACTGACTGTTGTCTTGTTTTTTTTTACTGATAAAGAACACCATTTAATTTACTTTAGTTCCAGATTCTGTAGACGGGCTGTCAATCTCTCCAATGGTTCTGAATATTTTAGCACATTGACCATACAGTAATGCATTTCTTTTGCCTTCTATAAAGAAGTAAACGCAGATCTGCTTTGTGTGAGTCTCGCTTACTTTACTTTCACATGCTTTAAACTCGGCTTTCGTTTGTACAGTACTTGGTGCTACACAGCCAATACGAACATTAACAGGTTCATTACTGTACTTTTAAGCTGGCAGTAACAAGCTATGCTGATAGACAGATGGAATAAAGGACAGGGTTAATGAGTGCACCCATTGTGGCCTGTACAGGCATGGCATAAGGCTTCATTACAACAATGACAATGACAAAGAACTCTACTCGAGGCCTTGATTGTGTTCTTGCTGGTAGACACATTCAAGCACACTGTTGTTTTTTCTCAGGTCCTTGTAAGAGCATTCATTACATTTATACAGAACTAGCACTGTCTGAAAACTCATACAGGTTGCCACAGCCCATTGTTTTAACACCGTCTCTTGCTAAGCACAAGTAATGTAAACATTCGTGGGGCAAATCCTTTCCAAAAAGGCCGGGACCAGCGCCACTGGGTTTAGGGGTGCCAAAAAAAAAACAAAAAAAAAACAGCATCCCTCACACATCCAGACCACAAAATGTGCCTCTAACACTGTGTTGTATTAAAGTGGGTGGGATGCCACTAATAAGACTAAGAAGACTCAGTCACACAAATGTACAATCTCAAAAAAAGAGAATGTAAAACTTACTTTTATTGTGTGAGAAATTAAAGGAGAGACACTGATTGTTAACTGAACAGGACTGGATAATAAAACAGCTATGACAAGATACTTAAAAACAGCAATCTGACCCTGTTCAAACAACTAAAAAACAAACAAACGAGAAAAAAAAAACAAAACACATATTCGACAGTGCAGGGATAAGAAAGACAGACGTTATGGCTTTCGCCCTCACAGTGGAATGATTAGCATGACCTTTTTTTTTTTAAGAGAAGAATGTTAATCTTCAGCTTTTCAGTATGGCATATTTCCAGTGCTTTGCAGTGTAAAGTTTGGGTTGAAGTGAGTGGAACATTCCTGTAGTCTAAACTGGCTGGAAAAGAAGTGGTGGGCTGGGGGGGTGTTAACCGAACCCAGCGCCCCCCCCGCCACCTCCCTGGAATCCGTCTGAAAATTAGGCTTCTGTTCAAGTATGAAAAGATCCAGACAATGGACAGACATTGGGGGCAGATGAGGATTGTTTTTTTACTGGGTGCTAATATGCATAACTCTCCCTTTGCTTTAAATGGGATGTGTCTCAGCAAATGACCCAAAAACGAAAACGTCAATCGATCAATGCTCCGCCCACAGATGCATTCTTTTGTAGCAACTGTTGCCAGGTTGTTATTTCTGCTTTAAGCTTGTCCAACCTAGAAAGAGTTGCTACTAAAGAACTCCTCTGTAAGAGGCGCATGGTCGGACTGAACGATTTGGGGGGATTTTTGTGACCAATGCTGCAATTTAAATGTTTATTTTCGAGAAATTAAGCTTTTTTTCTCAACAAAACCATTACATCCATTTCTCAGGCTTGAATGCTAAATGTAGTGTGCAAGACTGTCAATTCAGGTCTGTATCATTAGGTTAAATTCATCCATTTAAACGTAAAGCTGCACTATATAAGTTTTGGGGATTTGGAGACCTCTCTGGTGGAAATGTGTAACTGCATATAAGAACTTTCTGTAACATGGGTTGGGCTTCGAACCCCTTCCCTGAGCAGATAAATCTGATGGTTGCACACGTGAATTATCTACTATCGTCATCATATCTTCATCAGTATAATGCTGATTTTGCATTTGAGACCAAAACATTGACCCGGACCTTCTTTTTGAGTCTGTGACGTTAATACGTAAAGACGTATGAGGTGGCGTGAAAAACTTGATGCCTCTGATGTTTACGTGATTATTTCAGGCTTCACAGAGCGAACTCACCATACTTCTGCCTGTTTTTATTCTCCTGACTCAGCAAAGTTGCTTCTTTCAATTTGAATTAAAAAAATCTTACATAGTGCAGCTTTAACAAGTTGTTAAGACAGTGTTAAATAATGTGGGATGTAATTAACGTTGCAGCTCTGCAGCTTTGGAAATTGCACCCTTTCAAATTGCAATTTATATATGAAAAAGATTCATCATTCAGCACTAGTGCATGGATGGGTCAGTCTGATGGCTGCATAGTCTGTGCACTGCACTGTATGGATCATACTGGGTTTAACGGTTTAATAGTAGTATATACTAGATTTAATGCACAAATCAAACATGTATGTGCTTTTAAAAAATACATAATTAAACAAACATTGAAGAGGCTTTGTGATAAATACTTTTTTTGGGGGAAAAAAATTAACTATAGATTTGCCCTTCATATAGTGGTTAACAGCGGAGGAGAGACGAAACAGAGTGTTGGATATGCCAAAATTTAAACTCCTCACTAAACTTCTAGGCTAATTTAGTCATTATGATTGTGTATTACAGGTTAGGACTTCTTTCAAAGTTGAACACTGTTGGTCGGAGGTTAAAGGAATACTCCAGCATTTTGCACTTAATCTCTATCTTATGAATCTATAGCAGAGTAGCCAATTGCCTCAGACAATAATATTGCATTTCCCTGTATTAACAGACAATCCACTGACTCAAAACACAATTAGAATAGAAGGCAATGGGCTGGCGCTCTTTGCTAAATACGGGCAAATTACTGTCCATGGTAATCGCTGCTGATGCACCGGACAGAGATTGGGCTACAAAACGCTGGGCTGTTGCTTTAAACAAAGAGAGAAAGCAAGAGAAGAAACCTTTTACTGAAGTGGCAAACAGATGTGTGTAGGCACCTGATTTCTAGTGAATACCGTAATAATAATACAATCATAAGGGAGGAATAAACAGAAGGTGATGATGAAGATGAGATGTCCTCTAGTCCTCCTCGTCCTCGCTGATGCTGTGTGCATCGCTGTAGTGAGGAGGAGAGCTGGAGGGAGAGGTTTTGGTGAAGAAAGGAAGACGGAAGGTGGGTGAAGGAGAGCGCTCGTCCCGCGCCGGGCTGCTGCTGGGGCTGTGTCGGGGGCTGATCGCCTGCAGCATCCGCCCTTTACCTTCCTTCAACATGTGCTTCTGGAAAACACATGCGACGGAACAGAAATGTGAGAAAATTTAGGAAAAGGTGACAATTATAACTGAATCCACTGCGTTAAATATACAGTCATATGAAGGGGCCTCCAGTCAAATTACGTATTTTTGTTGATTTTTGTTGAAGTGAACACATCCTCTACAGAAAACACACTTCAGCACAGTTTAATGCACAGTTACTGTTTATCTGCTGAATTTAACATTGGAAAAAAAGGTCAAATATAAAATGTGGCCTGTGTAAAAGTTACGGCACATTTTAGACTTTATGTTTAATTTTTTTCGGTCCCACTTTATGTTAAGCGTCTCTAATAACTGTATAGTTACATGTGAACAACATAAGCAACAACAATGTAACTGCTAATGATTTAGTCACTGTTACAGACTGATTACAGAAGTACACCGTATGTAATTACACGTGTATCAACTGCAGTTTTGCCTCATGTAATTACACAAGTGTACCGTAACAGCCTATTCTCTCTCATGTAATTACACAAGGCTAATAAAATAAATGTAATTACATTTGTAATCAGACTGAAACAGCAGTTTTTTTTCAGAAGTTGTTTTTTTCAGCAGTAAAAGGAAGGATGTAATAACTTACATTAAGACATTACTAACACTGTATCTGCCAGCTTTCCTAATATTTATGTTGCCATTTGTGTGACACTGTAACCAGTTTAAACTGTAAACCATTCTGTATGTATATGTGACAGTACAACAGATCTCTTATCTTAAACTTCCATGGCATTAATTAAATGTGTTGCATTACCCCAAAGCAATTTCTATATTGCCATTTTTTATTATTACACAGTGCCTACATAAAAACGACACAGGAACTGTCCACTTATTTTAAAGTGTAACTGACACTGCACTACAGGAAAGTTCCTGTGTAGAAGATACACTTGTGTAATTACATGAGGCAAAACTGAAGTTGAGACACGTATTACATAGGCTGTACTTCTGTAATCCATCTGTAACATTAACTAAATCATCAGTAGTTACGGTGTTCTTGCATATGTTATTCATGTGTAACTACACAGTTATTAGAAACACTTAATATAAAGTGGGACCTTTTTTTCCCCAATATGTTAAACTAAAATGTGCACAAAACTGTCATATTCAAGTGTGTTCTCTGTGGTGGATGTGTTAACTTGTATTTACTTAGAAAAACAACAAAACATCATTTTAGCTGGGGCTTTCTTTTTTTGCATATTGTAGTTCAGGGGTGCCTAGTTCTGGTTCTGGAGATCTACCACCCTGGAGAGTTTAGATCCAACACACCTGGCTCTAATACTCAAATGTCCCTGAAGGCCTTCATTACCTGGATCAGGTGTGTTTGATCAGGAATAGGGCTAAACTGTGCAGGGTGGTAGATCTCCAGGACCATGATTGGGTACTCCTTCTGTAGCTGTTTTCAAGAAAAGGTTTGTTAAAAAATCTGATTTATACAATTTTACCCGTACCCTCAATGAAGTCAATCAGCCAAAACAAGAAAATGGGTATAAGTACATCATCTAAACATCATCACTCTAAAACAGTAGCACATTTACTGAAAATAAACAAGCATCATAGAATGCAAATCAATGTAAAGCCGTGAACAGGATCGCAAACCTCCCACCATGTCACCCCCATTCCATCCATCCCATAAGCCATCTGCCTCACCAGTGCCCCGTCTGGTCCAAACATCTGCAGGAAGTTGCCGATAAACTCTCTGGATTTCTCTTCCCACTTCTGAATGAGGTCGATGCTCTTCTCTTCAACCTTCTGCACAAACTCCTTACTCTTCTCTTCCACGTCGCGCACCTTCTGCTTCACCTTATCCACACGCTCCTGCAGGTGGTACTTCTTCTCCTGCAAACATCACAGCATTTCCATCCCTTTAATTCTCCCCAGACCTCAAACTATTACCTTCGTGTTCCTCCTCTGAGCACACCGAGGTTAGATATATTATGTGTGAGTTTATATATCACCACAGTTTGAATTCATTTTCATTCATTAACTCTTGATCCATTAGAATTACACAGACTGTTTTGTTTTTGTACCTTTCAGAGTGATTTATGCAAATAATCTCTGTTCTAATCGGCTGCTCTGTATTGTGCCTCATTCAGAAAACAATCCGAGCTGAAACACTCTTTAACTTTAGCGTGAATGGGCAGGGATAACTGCTGCAGGCAAATGTGTTGGTTTTTCTAGACATCATAAAAACAATAAATACAAAACTTTTTTGTAGCTTAGTTTCCACGTTTGGGAACTTTGACAATGTTTACATACTACATCAAATTCTTTTATAATAAAAAGAATTGGTTATTTATGATGTGAGCACTTTAAGAGACTTTAAGAGACTTGTTTCCCTCTATAAAGTTAACCTTTCTGAGATATAACATTACTTTTGACAGTGATAACTATGTTGGTTTTCTTTCTATGGTGCTGCTGAACTTACGTTGATGAAGCTGACGTTTAGCTCCTTGGCAGTGTAGCCTCTCTGCAGGTTGCGTCGCACATAAACGTCGTAGTCCCGGACGATGCGGGTGATTATGTCTGATGTGGAGATGCCCTCTGTTCGTTGCGTTGGTGCAAACATGCCTTGAAAAAAAAACAGCCAGGCCTCAGTCATAAAGACGACAAGTGAAGAACCTTAACAGCACTCAGTTATGCAGCATTTACAAAGTACACTCTGTAGAATTTCTATAAATTCTTAGTTTGCTACCTACCTGCCTCCTTTATGTGCTTGTAAACATCATCACTCCCAGCAGAAACGTAGGGAATATCGTCATGGGCGACAAAGTCAATCTGCATGGACAGAAGGATCGATCTGTAGTGTTTATCCATGTAATTCTGGTATAGTAGTGTGTGGACAGGTACAATGTACTTGTGCACTATGCTTTGCAGGACCACAGAAATACAAAATATTAAAGAATAACTTGTGATCCACTCTACCGAACAACTTAACACTCACTCTGTGCTCAGCCAGAAATTCTGGAGTTAGCGTCCACGGCGCGTCCCTGACCACCTCGTCCACGTAGCGACAGTGGCTCACTGCATCGTAGCGCTCGTCCTCATTCATAACAGTGAAGCCCTTGAGTTTGTGTGTCAAAGCATCGCTGCATACTGTAAAGAACAGAAAGCGAAATGAATGAATTTCTGTAATAAATGTTATTGTTAAGTAAAGCACTATTAGAGATGGATTAGTTTTACCAGAGGAGGTGTGTAATGTTTTTGTTGGGATTTGATTGGCTGATTAGTTCTAGATAAAGTGTCTGTCCAATTCCCCCAAATTCCCACAGACAGCCTGGATTGAAAGGTCATAGCATGGATGTTCATGTCTGCGTTACAGCACAAGATGCACCCAAAAACATTAACAACACACCGCACAGCCGCGTCTAAAGGCAGGTTTGTACTCCTATTACTGAGGGAACTCCAGGTTAAGATTATTCACTCCACAATTATTTCTTTCAGACTGTAGAAACTAAATACGCTGCAGATTCACACACTGGATTAACATCACTTCACAATTACTACTATCAGATTAAAATCACCAGTTTCATCACTTCAAATAACACAACCTCCTCTAGTAAAACTAATTTAGCTACATTCAGTCTTTAAAAAGATTCATACAGGATTAAAATCATGGATCATCAGCTCTCCACCGACCTCTACGGTTCTACTGTGAATATTTTCATTTGGGATGGAAAAAACCTAATTGCTGGTAAAAATCTGCTGCCAGTTAGCTTAATTAGCCAGTCAGCTGGCCAGGTAAAGTTAACAAGGCAGCTGTTTAAACAGCTGCTTGTGCCATTGTTTGTTATAATTTGTTAGCATGCTGTATCATAATCTATGTAAGCTAGGTTATAATTTTCCCCTTACCTGATATGACAATAATACAACAATGCAAGTATACACCGACCAATCGCAGATCAATTTATTTTGCCAGAACAATGTGATAAATAAAAATATAATAAAAATATATAATCATTATAAATTGTTATAATCAAATCAAAAAAACGCCTAAGCGTTGGCCCATCATCAGGGGGTCGCAAGTTTGATCCCCAGTGATGCTACAGCCATCCGTGGCTGGGAGTCCAAGAGAGCCAAATATGGGCTCGCTGTCTCCGGTGAGATGGCCCTGCTTCTCCCACCATCACTGGTGCAATGCTAGCCAGCAGAGGCATGTGTTAGCTGACATAACAGAACTGGTGGTTAGTGCTCTCCTCCGAGGGTGTTCAGCTGTCCAATGATGCTGTGTTAGTTGCAGTTCAAAAAGATGTGGTTATTTTGTTTTTTGTTTTTTTCTTTCTGTAAAGCTGCTTTGTGACAACACCTGTTGTAAAAAGCGCTATATAAATAAACTTTGCTTGCTTGCTTCACAGGTCTTAGAGGAAGCTTATGTTTGCCTTCACCCTCCCAGTGCTGGTGGTATTGTGTGACGTGGAGAGTCCTAACTAGTGGGTGGAATTTAACATGACAAAACTGGGGAGAAAACTGTAAAAAAAAATCCCAAAACAAAACACAGTTGCTTTGTGTAACTGTCAAGTTGCATGGAATTAGATGATGTGCAGCATGCAACCTGCAATTACTTGCGTGAGAGAAAGCTAGTCTTACCGCCTACAATGAGATGGGTGTTGGGAAAAAGACGCTTAGCCTGCATCAGAGCGCGGGCGTGTCCAGAGTGAAACATGTCAAAAATCCCATCAGCATACACACGCACTGGACGATTCTCTACAAGAAACAGACAGAAACAGAAAGAAAGATGAAAATGACTAGTTCACCAGATGTTTCCTTTACTTGTATTTAGATCACTGGCTGCTTTCTTACTGATTAAAAAAAGCAAAAAATTCAGTAGCATCTACCTGGTGTGCCACGACGGGCTTCTTCTAAATTCACTCGAGTGTAAGGAGCCTTCACAATCTCCAACTGATCAGCGAAGGGCGCAGGGTCGGTCAGGCCCTGGAACACAATTCAAACGCATAATAAAAACTTGCATACAATGCAGATTTATATAATTAACTAGGCACCAAAAGGTATTTTTGGGTGTTTAATTCAACATGTCAAGCATCTGGTAAAAATAAGCAATTATCAAATGATCAACAACCAATTACCAATTACCTATTTACAATGTATTGGTTATCTGCCTTGAGATTGAATAAGCACTTTCGAAATAAATGGCAATCTCGGTATTAACACTGCAAAAAATAGTACCTTGTCAAGTTAAATTACCTTAATTCTTGTCGATCTATCTAATATTTCTTGTTTTGAGAAGGTTGTGCTCTTATTATATGATTATCTAGCTTATTTTTAGACATTTTTACCTGTTTTAATTAATTCAACAAAAAGTATCTCATTATCTCATATTAGCAGATAATTTAGCTGGTTTCAAGCACATTTCTTAAAACAAGCAAAATTATCTGCCAATACAGTGAGATAAATCTATTTAATACAACCACTTAAAACTAAGGCTAAATTTCCTTTGGGATCAATGAAGTATCAATGAAGTATCCATCTGTCCATCTCTCTATCTATCTAAAACAAGTTAAAAAAGTTTGGAAATAAGTTAAATAATCTTAAAATAAGCTTACAACAATCTCAAAAGAAGAAATATTATATGTACTGACCAGATTTACGATCATTTAACTTGACAAGATACCATTTTTTTCCAGTGACTGGTATTATTAAAGTGGATATCCTTGCCATTATCAATTACTGACTGTATATTTTAGGACCGTCTACAGCTCAACTCATCATTCCTAATTATTTTAACCATTTGAAGTTAGATAGGACTCCCAGATTAGAATCATTTTAAACATCTATCTGCAACAAAATTGGTTTTACATTGATAACAATGATTTTTGAATGGTAATCAGACTATCAGACTCGGTCTTACTTGCAGCCACATTACAGACTTGTTTTACAGGCAGAACTGAACACTTCACTCACTGAAGTCCTTCGTGGGATTTTTCCACCCCGTCCTTCATCCCCTGCTTCTCCGTTGGATCCCTCTCTTCTCCTTTTCCTGCTCAGCCCTGAACTGTGCGCCTCCATGCCTGAATGTGGAAGACATTTCTGAGTCACTGCAGTTCACCACTAGAGAGAGCTCTCATTAAAGACAGCATGGGGTGTCTCACTGCAGACAGGGTTTGGTATAATGAGCTTTAGTATATGCCGTTTCTAGTAGTAATAAGTGAAGGTGACAGAGCAGTCTCTGACGCCTGAAGGGCTGATATCATGTAAAACTACATTTTTCTTGCTTTTTTGAAATGAGACTAATTTTAAGATGTGAATAAAGTCATTCAGAGTGGTCTGATGCGACATGCGCCCGTTGTTCACAGAGGTGGTGATAGGAACCAGACCTGATACACTGCCTGATGTTTGAGACATTGTTTTACGATAGATTTACTCAGTGTTTTTGGCCTAAAAGTGGATTTTTAAAAATCCATGTATGGCAGAGAGGTACATACAGAGCATTGTAAGGCAGAGTAGTCTCCAATGAAAGCATATGTTTTTCAGATTTACCACTATTTTCTATCATCATTACACATCAGAAGACACGTGTAGCCTCACTAGTGGTTTTGGTAAGTAGTAAATAGTAAATACAATGGTTCTATTTGTGTTGAAGACATCGCGACCACTGGTTCCCATCACCACCACTGTAAAGAAGTCTGTAAAATTCTCTACAATGAACCATTTCAAACCACTCTGAATGACTCTGTATACATGTCAATGTCTGAACTGTGCAGAAATTTTACAAGAATGGTGGAACTCCCCTGTAATGTAATGTAATTCACAGTTTTTGTGAGGTCAAGAAAACCAACACATTTACATTACCTGCCTATTCAGCCGACAGTAGGTTAGCCCCGCCCACTCACCTTAAGGTTATAAAGAATGTTTCAGCCTGGAGGCAAAATATACAGGGCAGCCAATCAGGACAAAGCTCATTTATATACATCTGCCTTAAAGGTACAGTAACGAAAACGCCCTGTATATTCCTAAGGGATAGAGAGGGCCAGGTTTTGGTATATTCAACCACACAAATGTCATTAGTGGAGCTCAGGTTTTAAAAAAAAACATAATAAAAAGAGAAAACACAAGAAAAATGTAAGGCATTGGCCCTTTAAACGTTATGCCTCCTCTCACTCAATCTGAAACAAAAGATTACATCAGACATCACACTACTACTCGCAGACATTTACTACTGTCTGATTTTCATTGGTGTGGTTTGAACCTCAGGGTTGTGCCACTAATCCAGTTCAGCTGCACTGACGTGCCAGCAGACAATCCAGCGACCTTTATGACTGGAAACCTTCACGGAGGTTTCAGTTTGTGACGTGGCACAACGAGCAGCATTGGGGCCAGGACACGAATCCTGTTTCACTGCCCTTTAACATCCCCTTGAATCCCTCTATTATCTCCTACAACACTTTTAACCCCATGAACGCCCTAAACAGGCCGTGACACAGGTTAAACTCAAACCGGGACACCACAGAAACGAAATGTTTCTCCAACTATGGGAGAACTCTCACTGTGGGACACAAGTTAGTCCAAGGCTATGTGAACTAACTTGTTAGTGAGCAGCCGTTAAAGGAACAGCTGGCTTTATATCGATGTAAAGAGCTGCATCTTGAACTCTTATTTCTTATTTGCCAGCTTCTTGCCCGGATTTTCCCGTTCCACCTTAAATAGTGCAGCAGTTACATTCTGGCGCCTGTAACTGCTCCACCATTTAAGGTGGAACGGAAAATTTCCAACAAGAAGCTGGCGAAAAGGAAACCGACTTCAGCCTCGTAGAAAAACTAAATATCTAACATTATTAGTTTATTAAAGTCTGTCTAGTAAACCGAACCGTTACGAACCCCGTTCAGCCGCCGCTGCAGTGCAGGAGGAGGAAGAAGCCTTTCAGCGGAGCTGGTCAGCAAACAAACGTGGACCAAATGTCGTGTATGTGTATGTCACGTACTAAAAAAGGCAACGAGGATGTGGAAAAGTCACTAACTACATTTTTCTGGTCGGTAAAAATCCAGTTTGGTCCCGTTTTAAAACCCAACGCGGAGCATTTCTACACTCAACGCCACTGTTTTGACAGCTCCGCGGGAAATGACGACACCGGATGTCACAGGAAGCTTTGTTAGCATAGAAGCTAACGGGATAAAAGTGCTGATTTTTGGTGTTATTTATTTGTTTAATTCCAACTCAGGCGCGGGTATAAAACATAAAGTTGCCAAAATATTAAAACTATTACGTCCAAGTGTCATTCGTTCAAAAAAAGAAAGACGTATTGTTAGCATCTACAATGTGTGCTGAAACAAAATTGTACTACATTGTATATTATTATTCATATAATTACATATATATTAAATGTATGCTTATATCTTATAATAGCAGATTATAATTATGTAAATATAAATATATAATATAACTATATATTAAATATTAATAGTAATTTTTATTATTAGTACAGTTATAAAATTAATTGTAAATGACCCGCTAGTGGACACTACTTGCCCCATATTTTTGTGTTGGATGATACCACTAGTTTTCTTTTTGATCCGATACCAACCTTGCTGAAATTACTTTTGTACCATTAGGATACCAATACTGTTTAAAGGGACCCATATCCTACATTATTCATGTACTACATTATTCTCCTCTCAAGTTCACTTTCATGGCAACTTTTGTGTCAGTTTATGTACAAAACAGTCATGGCAGGATTGTAAGTGTGGATGCTTAAGTATCAATCTGCCCCCTCCTCAGTATTTTATATGCAGGGTGTTGATATAGTGACCCTGAAACCCTGCAGGACTCCAGGAAAAGCATTACTGATTTAATGAAATGATGCCTGAAGTAAAAACAGCTTACTTAAAGGGCCCATATCCTCCATTCTTCTTGCAGTTTATATTCCAGGTCCACTTTTAACATTTGTGTGCTTTTATGAACCAATAAACTAAACATAATTAATTTTTACACCACTATTTTTAAACCTTTTTTATCCTGTAATATTAAATAAGCTGTTTTGTTACTGTGCCTTTAAAATTGATACATGCTATTGATACAGGCTGAATAGAATACATGTAAATGCATTGGTTTTTGTGACATCACGCCTTAGCTTTTATATATCATCTCTATAAACTGGGGAGCACACAGTACGTCAGTACAATGAACCATTTTACATCAAACCACTCTGAACTTGTTTACATCCCAACAATTGTATTATGCAGTGATTTTAAAGCTTAAAGGGGAACTCCACCGATTTTAAAAAATTCTATGAGGTGTAAACAAAGCCATTCAAAATAGTTTGATGTGAAATGCTCTGTTCTAGAGAAACCTACAGAGTCAGAATTGTTCACAATGGTGGTGATAGGAACTAGACACCCACCTCTAAAAGCTCCCTCACAGAGAGTTTTAACATGAAATGGTCATGAATACGCTGCCTGATGTCTGAGACATTGTCTTATGATAGTTTTGGCTTAAAATGTTTTTGAATCCGTTTTTGGATAGTAAATAAAATGGTTATATATGTGTTGTGGACTTTGTGACCCGTTTCTTATTAATATTACTGTAAATATATCAGAGTCTCTCTGAGTTTCTCTACAGTGAGCCATTTCCTATTAATCCACTCTGAATGACTTAACTATTCAGAGAGATTGAAAAATCGGTGGAAGTCCCCTTTCATGTGAAAGATCAAGACATAAAAACTCACTTTTCAGCCATGTGACTTGATCAACAGAATAAATCTCCTCATATTGGTGCTCAGGAAACACTGACATTAAGTGGGGTTAATCAAGAATATCTAGTATGATTGTGGTTGGTATAGTGTAGTGGGTAACACCTCTGCCTTCTACAATGTAGACTGGGTAAGTACCCTGCACTATACCTATAAGAGTCCTTGGGCAAGACTCCTAACACTACCTTCGCTTACCTGTGTAAAATTGATCAAATTGTAAGTTGCTCTGGAGCGTCTGCCAAATGCTGTAAATGTAGTATGACCTCTGTTATATAATTCTACTCTGAGCAAAATAATCCACTGTGTGAGCTCGAGAGTGAAAGAATGGCTTTTTTGCAAGCAAAGGAGACAGTAAATTTGTAAATGGGTTTAACTTTTTTATTTGTTAAAGGACATTCAAGTGGAAAGCAAACATACATCATATCTTTGCAACTGACCAATACACAAAAAAACTAACTTTCATTTCCTTCAGGCAACAATACAGGTCAAAGAATGTACACACAAACACATACAGGTATGCATGGAAGGTGCATAGTTCCAAATACATGTATATTATTATATTGCATTGGTACAAGGCAAGTAAACGCAAACCTCATGTTTTGGCACCCATCCAAACTAAACATTTCAAGGTGTATAGACATGACTTACAGACATCAAAGGAATTTGGAAAGAAAAAAAAAAAGAAAAGAAGAATGTAAAAGGACTCTTTTCAGTATCATTACTGACAGAAAGGTTTGTGATCTGATCCAGCAGCAAACTTGGTAAAAAAAAAATCCCACAGTGGAATGTTCTGTAAGATATGGCTTGGCTTTTTGAAAAAATTTTCTTACATCTTTCACTCCTCCACAGTTTGCGTAAGGCACAAGAGATGGGAATTTTAAATGACAACAATGTACACTTTAAATAAGACATGAGGAATGGACAGTTGACCTTCGGCCTTGACAGTACAGTGGGAAAAGAAAGAGGAATGTTGAGTGATGATCCATTTGCCTCCTTACATCCCCATCCTGATGCTCTGAATGATCTGGAAAATGGCTGAGAAGAGAGGGGGGAAGTCAAATTATGTTCTTTGAACTGCGATGTACACCAGATTTAACAACACACACACATTGATGATCTCAAAATGCACTGAAAACAAATATTCATCTGGTAATAACATGTTCTACTATAGGCTTTCTGTCAAAGGCTGTAGCAGAACATGTCATTAGGGTAATACTTTGGAAAGAATGTCTGAAATCTACAAAGTTACTATCACTGTCGGAACAAAATCTGGCATTTCTTTGTGATTTTTTTTTTATTGCAAGACTCCATGTACATTATTGCATGTGCAGTATGTATAAAATATCCTTATAGTGTAAAGGTTGATCGCCCTTTTATTCATAATGTTTCTATTGTTGATTTTTTTTGAAGGATACAGTTCATATTTTTTATCTTTAGTGTATATATATATATATATATATATATATATATATATATATATATATATATATATATACACACACACATACATATATTACAAACTGTAACCTTGTTAAGTAATTAACTAGGTTAATACCTTTATTGTTAATTCTCTTCTTGATACTTCTCGAGTGCCTTGTTATCCCTTTGCTGTTGTGGCACTGTGAATTTCCCTATTGTGAGAGTACGTTTAGATTTTTTTAATAATTTGAAAATGCCAGCTGCCCATTACACTGTGTGAACCTTTCATGATGAATGGACCAAAAGAAACGGCCCAAAATTACTTGGAACAAAGTCTTGTTACATGAACTTACACTGAAAATTGACAATGTGACATTTTGTTCAGACATATCATGAGAATATTTTGATTGTTTGTTGATCACTAATCTCAGTCTGCCTTGTGGAGCTTTCATCAAGCATCCTCGGTCTGATGTTTTGACAGTGGATTATATGCATAAACAAACAGGATAGAGTAACAAAGGCTTTGAGTATCAGGCTGAGCGTCACACCTCTTTACTCATCAGCCAAATTCAGATAATGATCTTCCAATGGAGCATGGCATTTAAAAAGGGTTGCATCACTGGTTTCAGTGCTCATGTCAAATGAATTACCTGTTTTGAGATTGGACTTGTAATCAAAGCTAAAACACCAGAGAGTAAACGGTTTTACTTTTTTTGAAGTGGCCTGTTACGGAGCGGTTAAAGAAGCAAAGATCAAGGTTTGTTGACAGGAATGATAGGAAAATGCACTTTGCCCTGTTAAAGTAATAGCCTTTCTGAAAATTCAGGTTTACATAATACTTCCATTGCCCTAAATGTAGTCGAGTCTGGCGTTAAGTTATCTACTTTACTTTTTAACTGGAGCTATGACGCTAATGTAGATAACAAGCAATGGAAGACTGACACAAAAAAAAACTAAAACTAAATTTGGACTATTTTAATACCATCGTAGCTCCACTCCAGAGCTAAAGAAGCAAAACATGACCGAATGACTACACTTTTAAAAAAAAAGACGGTTCTTCAGGGGTTCTTCAGTAAAGGGAATGGTTCATTTTAGAACCATGAGTTCTTCACAGATCCATTTGCATGCTTACATGATTCTCTGCATGGTGAAATTGTTTTTCAGACTGATGGAGAACGTGTTGTGCATGATTCTCTGAAGAACCTTTTTGAAAATGGTTCTATGTAGCACCAAAAAGGGTTCTTGTATTGTTACAAGTTTGACATGGTAACAATTGAAGATCTGCTATAATAAAAGCATTTTCAAACAGATTCTATATAGAACCATATACAACACATTCTCCATCAATCTGAAGAACCATTTCACCATGCAAAGAACCATTTAAATTTTGGTGAACTATTCCTTCACTGCTTTAGTTTAATACATTCTAGTTAAAACCTTTTATTGTCAGATTTTCATCATGACTTTAGCGCAAAGAAGTGAACCACTGCTCCACTAAATACATCAGAAGAGAACGTTGTGTTTTCTTTAAAAGAAGACGAGAAGATTAAGTTTTTGGCACCCAAAATCAGCCTAAAACTTACCTGATCCGCACACTACAAAGACGAAGAGTGCCAGGAGCCATGGCCCTACTGCCGCCTTGTCATCTGGTGCACCTCTCTGCAGGAAAAATAGGAAGACAGAGATGAAGATAAAGACAGTCCCTGCATCAATCCCTGCAGTTCAAATATAAACAGCACGTCTAACGTTAGCAATCTGTTCAAGCTGCCTTGCTTCAATTCAGCTTCATATTGGAAGTTTCCCATTCCATCTTAAACTGCTGCACCATTTAAGGTGGAACGGAAAATTTGAATAAGAATCTGACCAACTGCTGTTCACATTTTCTCGTTCAACCTTAAACCGCTGCACCATTTAAGGTGGAACGGGAAATTCGAATAAGAAGCTGACCAACAGCTGTTCAAATGTTGTCGTTCAAACTTAAACTGCTTCACCATTTAAGGCGGAACGTAAAATTCAACTAAGAAGCTGACCAACTACTGTTTACATTTTCTCGTTCAACCTTAAACTGCTGCACCATTTAAGGTGGAACGGAAAATTCGAACAAGAAGCTGGAGAATAGGAAGCAGATTTCAGTCAACTTGGCTACGAACATCAGCTACCAAGAAACAAATACACAATTATAAAATACAAAATGCTGCCTTTAATATTAGAAGCTAGTTACAACATTTTTAACGACTACTCGATTCTCAGATCAACGGTGGCTGTGAAACTGAGTTAGCCAGGCTAAGCTAACTCGACAGCTCCAACTTACTGATGATTTGGCCACATTCCCCCGCTGTGTGATGTTTTTGCTGTGCTTCTCGTTGGCCATGCGTATCCTCTGCTTTGCGACCATCTTTCTGTATTAAAGTAGACAGTTAGACGACAAGAAATCGTTTAAAACGCCGCTCGCTTGACTTTAAAAGAAATAAGCCTCTTCGCCAACGCTGCACCTTCGACGTACTCTACTCTGAGATGGCTACGTAAGCATTAAGACAAACCCCGCCCATCGTTCTTATTATGCACACAGACCCCGCCCATCTTTTTTATTATGCACAAGAGATCCCGCCTTTAACTTTTGTTCGCGTTAATAACTCCGCCCACATCTCCCGGTTTGCATACCCAGACCCCGCCCTTCGTATTCCGTTGTCGTGGCGAATCCAGACTGTCTGTAGGAGAAGCTGAGCTACGTTTTTATTCAGTCTTTAATGTTTTAACGGCTCACTGGAAGCTTTCCATCAAAAGAATGTGCTTCTCTAAGCTTGTCTTCTGACTAAATAATAACCCTAATAATAACCAGTTTCCACCGAATCGTCTTCAAGATATGTTTGCACATTCCAGCAGTTAAAAAAAAGCTCCTCACATGCTGTAACTTTCTTTCAGGGCTAATATAAATAAAATAAAAAATAAAAAATATATAAATAAAATAAAACAAGTGTTACATGTATAAATATATAAAATAATCTAAAAAGTAATAACAAAAAAAATAATCAGGATATTTTTTTAACATTCAGTTTAAAAAGCTCCTCAGATGCTGTAACTTTCTTTTAGGACTAATATAAATTAAATAAAAAAGATAAATATATATAAATAAAATAAAAAGAGCAGTACATGTGTAAATATATAAAATAATCTAAAAAGTAATAATAAAAAAATAATAATGAGGAGCTTTTTTAACATTCAGTTAAAAAGTAAAGCTCCTCAGACGCTGTAACTTTCTTTTCGGACTAACATAAATAAAATAAAAAATGTATAAATAAAATAAAACGAGTGGTACGTGTATAAATATATAAAACAAAAGAATGTGCTTCTCTAAGCTTGTCTCCTGACTAAATAATTAACCCTAATAATAACCAGTCTCCACCAAATCTTCTTCAAGATATGTTTACACATTCCAGCAGTTAAAAAAATAAAAGCTCCTCAGACGCTGTAACTTTCTTTTAGGGCTAATATAAATAAAATAAAAAAATGAAAAAAATATATAAATAAAATAAAACGAATAAAACAACAGAGAAATACACGTAAAAGTGTATAAAACAATCTAAATACTATGCATAAAATAAAAATAAATAAAAAAAATTAATTAAATTTAAATGGTTAATTTTTTTTTCTGCGACCATGCACCTTCCTATATTTATGAAGCACTGGTAAAATAATTATGTTTGCTGATTTATAAAAATATAATGAATTTTGCTGAATGAGACAGAAGGACTTTTTTCTTAGTGTCAAAGGGAGAAGAGCGGAGAAGTCACGTGGGCTTCTCTTCTCATGACCACGTCCAGTTCAGCATGGCGCCTCCTACACCACACTTGGCAGGTAGGCGAATGAATCTGAGGTTTTTAATCGTGCAGCGTTTTAAAATCTGCATTTTATCCGTGTGAATGTTTGTGGGATGAAATGTTGAAGCTGTGCTAATTTCTGCCAAAACTCCAGTATCGCACCGCCGGCTTGTGTTCAGCGCCGTTAGCCTCACATTAACCAGGAGGCCAAAGTGATGCAGTGATGTGGAGCAACTTTACTAAACAAAACTGTTCACTTTTACACTTTTAACGTGACACACTGAGGTTTCTGGCATCAGGTAATACTGTTGGCAAGTGGTCTCACCTACTGAGACCTAACTGCTCTTTAAAATGATCCCCAAAAAGGAGTGAAATGCTTATAAGCTGTCTTTCGTTTAGAGCTGGGCAATATATCAATATTTATCGTTATCGTGATAAACTATGCCACGATATGTCACAATAAGCTTTTCTGAGCATATCGTGTACATCATCAGTACTTAATAAACACTTCCCAACTCACTGTTTGATTACAAAAGATAGCATATTTAGTCCTGTTTAACTGAATTTAGTGCAGTGCAGTGTGTGTGAAATTTTGAATACGAATCGTTCTATGCATAGTTTTTATCCTGTTTTTAAATGTGGCAATGCTTTATCTTTCCCAATTTATCAATTTATCGAAAAAAATATATACACCGATCAGGCATAACATTATGACCACCTCCTTGTTTCTACGCTCATTGTCCATTTTTTCAGCTCCACTTACTATATAGGTGCACTTTGTAGTTCTACAGTTACAGACTGTAGTCCATCTGTTTCTCTGCATACTTTGTTAGCCCCCTTTTACCCTGTTCTTCAGTGGTCAGGACCCCCATGGACCCTCACAGAGCAGGTACTATTTGGGTGGTGGATCATTCTCAGCACTGCAGTAACACTGACGTGGTGGTGGTGTGTTAGTGTGTGTTGCGCTGGTACGAGTGGATCAGACACAGCAGTGCTGCTGGAGTTTTTAAACACTGTGTCCACTTACTGTCCACTCTATTAGACACTCCTACCTAGTCAGTCCACCTTGTAGATGTAAAGTCAGAGACGATAGCTCATCTGCTGCTGCACACTCTAGTCCTTCATCAGTGGTCACAGGACGCTGTTGGCTGGATGTTTTTGGTTGGTGGACTATTCTCGGTCCAGCAGTGACACTGAGGTGTTTAAAAACTCCAGCAGCACTGCTGTATCTGATCCACTCAGACCAGCGCAACACACACTAACACACCACCACGTCAGTGTTACTGCAGTGCTGAGAATGATCCACCACCCAAATAGTACCTGCTCTGTGAGGGTCCATGGGGGTCCTGACCACTGAAGAACAGGGTAAAAGGGGGCTAACAAAGTACACAGAGAAACAGATGGACTACAGTCTGTAACTGTAGAACTACAAAGTGCACCTATATAGTAAGTGGAGCTGATAAAATGGACAATGAGCATAGAAACAAGGAGGTGGTCATAATGTTATGTCTGATCGGTGTGTATCGTGACTTATGTATTGTGAAAACTTTTTGGAAGTATCACAATATCACGTTTTTGCGACATCACCCACCTCTACTTTCATTTGTATACATGTATACCCAGACCAGATATGAATAAAGGATTGTCATTTTAGCGATTATTTATGTAGAGTTTTCCCAGACCTGCCACTTTAGTTACCTGTGCTGCCTGTTTTAAGGTTTTCCCATTTTAACCTCATGGAAAATTCATGGTTTTAATTGATTTAGAGCAGTAAAACTCTGAAATGTGCAGGACTGGCCTAAGGAGAGGAGCAGAACTAGGGGAATAGGCCTGATATAATAAATAAATGTAATTAATCCAGCATTTGGTTAAAAAGTATGAGTATTAACACACTAAAATGTGCTGCATGTGGGTTAATACAGGAGCAAGATTGGGACATGTCTATGTGATAAAGACTGATAGAGGTGAACACATGCAAGGAAAGAGATCTCTTCTACATAGAGACAGTAAGCTGTCATGGTAGAATATACAGTCTGTGGTAGAAGGAAACCTCCACAAGTCTGAAAAACCAGTGTTGGAAAGTGAACTATGAACCAAAGTACCAACTGATGTCTCTGATGTTTTCTATTTCCTCTCATAACAGTTAGAGGGTCAGAAGGGACATTTCTGCTACATGGACCACCGAACTGTGCGGAAAGCACAGCTCTCCAGCGGTAAGTGATTAGGGTTGTGATTCATTGAAGCCGTTCTTTGACCAGTCAGTACAAATTTAAGATTTGATCTCAAACTAAGACTATTGTACTCTGTGTTTCAGAGATGCCCAGCAGAGCAAGTATGTCGCGTTCAGCAGTGACGGCACCTTGTTTGGCTGGTGCAATGGGGAGAAGTATGTATGAAAATATCCCTACATTTAATTCGCTTGCTCGTTATTGTTAAACAGGCCAGGGACTTTTTAAAAACTGGGTAAATGTATTGAGACGCTGTATTAAGGTGTGATTGCTGCTTGTAATATGTTTTTCGTCCTTTGTGTGCAGGGTCAATGTGGTTAAAGTCTCGAGTGGAGAGATGGTGAAGTCTTTCGATCTGCCGAAAGCAGCAATGATAGAATTCTCTCCTCAGAACAAAGTGCTCGCCACATGGAAGCAGTACACCAGTGAGTATTTTCAGTGTGATATGTTGATAATTGATAATCATTGTCCATTTTATCAGCTCCACTTACTATATAGGTGCACTTTGTAGTTCTACAGTTACAGACTGTAGTCCATCTGTTTCTCTGATACTTTGTTAGCCCCTCTGGACTGTAATAGGTAAGCTATGTTTTGTATTTTAGGCAGGCAGGCATTTAATGTATCAGTAGAAAAAAGCAAAATTATTGCAGCACTGTCAGCAGCACTGCTATGTCTGATCCACTCGTACCAGCACAACACACACTAACACACCACCACCACATCAGTGTTACTGCAGTGTTGGGAATGATCCACCACCCAAATAGTACCTGCTCTGACTACAGTCTGTAACTGTAGAACTACAAAGTGCACCTATATAGTAAATGGAGCTGATAAAATGGACAATGAGTGTAGAAACAAGGAGGTGGTCATAATGTTATGCCTGATCGGTGTACATCTGGTAGAAGTGCACATACATTTGAGCGTAATATTTTAACAACCTAAAGAATGTCTGATTTATGTTGGAATAATCAAAGTTATTGTCAATAGCATTAATAATATCAACAATACAAGGATAGTTATCAAAATACTAATCAAAATAGAAAGTAACAAGGGTAATACTAGTAACAGTGCACACGGCAATCTTTGTTCTAAAGAAGATGTGTTAATTTTTTCAGTGCACACTGAGATAAATAAATGCTGCAACTGTACATTCAATTTAAATAATTTATCTTTTTTCTACTGATACAGTAAATGCCTGCCTGCCTAATATACAAAACATAGCTTACCTATTACAGTAAAAGTACATATACTGTAGTATTATTACTCAGTCAATCAGTGTTTAATGAAAACTATCACACTACATAATCACATAACTTTACCATCTGAAAAAAGGCTACCACATTTTGATAATTTCACATTCTATTTTTTTTTCAATTGTTTTAATTTTAACACTATAGATGTATGTAAGCTTCGGCAAGTTTCGATGGGAGAGTGCAGTGCACTTTCTGCTTGACCCCAAACTCCACCAATGAGAACAACCGTTGGCTCATGAGCTGCTG